CCTTAGATGACTTCTGGGAAATGATTCACCCTTGAGAGTATTTTAATTTCATTTTGTGAGAATAACAAGGATACTAAGGGTTATTGAGTTGATGTTAGATATTTAAATTAGAAAGTTTCTTTTCCAAATTTATAAATGTTGAAAAAAATTAAAATTCAGATTCTTTCTCTTTTTTTCTTAATAGTTTTCGGTAATTTTAAAGTCTCTCCTTAAAAAGCTCTTATTTTTGTATCCGAATAATATTTAAAAATTACACATTTTGGAATTTCTATTATCTATTTTTATAAATGTACCTTGCCAATTTCAATTCATAAATTCTTATCCCAAATCTTTTATTTAAGTCTAAATTATAATTCTCTTATTTTATTTTGTTTAACTCATATTTTGACGAAATCAAGTATACGTAGGTACCTAATATGGTTAAAAGATAAGGTTTAATGGTTTATGTTCATTTTCCGATGAGCACGAAATTTTCAAGAAATGAATTTTTTAATGAATTTAAATCGAGCGTAGAATTTTACCTTCTTCTTTCCTTGGGTGTCACGTATTTGTATAAATTTAAAAATTGAAATATGGATAATTTTTGTACGAATTTCCATTTCCTATTGTTATGATACCTTTATCCGAATAAGTAAGATCGTTATACTTCAAAGATTTTCTTGTAGAATCCACAAAATTCTCATCGTTTCGCAGTGAAATGCAAATCTAGAGTTAAGCTTTTTCACGCATGAAAAAATAAAATCACAAAGCAGTAAAAATTACATTTCGTCTCAAAACTCTTGGAAACCGCACCCGCACGTGAAATGGTATGAAAAGAGAATTTTTCAAGTGGAAACTCACTTTTAGATTGCATTAAACATAAAGCTGATTCAATATAAACAAGAAAATTATTTTTAAAGTTTATTGAAGTAACTATTTGAAAAAGCATTTGATACTCCAAGGTAGGTAGTAGCAGAAGAATTCAGACATCAATTGATGGACTTTGCTACGAAGACAGTGAGATGAAAACTAATCGAAGTGTTGACGTCCTAAATGAAATAAATGTAATAAATCATTTCCATTAAAACGTAAGAGTTTATTTAGCCTCATTGGCTCAGGGTGCTTTTGTCATCCAATTTGTTGGCCCCTGGTTCGAACCACGATCCTGAGGCAGGGTGGAGTTTAGATACTTCGGCCTGAAACAAATGTGTTTCACTTGAACAATTACCCATCTTTAATCTTTTTGTAAAAAATAAATATTCGTATCAAGACGAAAAATGAGAAATCAAAGACTTGAACATGCAATCAATTGCTACCTGCACAATTGATAAATAAAAACAGAGCAAATCTAAAGTAAATCCAAGCAATACGAAAGAATGTTGCAATATTACGCGATTCAATACAATATTAACTTGAGTTTCCATCATCATCATGAAAACATTAGTAGGGTGTGGTACGAGTCTAGTCCTTGAATGAGACGGATAAAGACTCATTATGGGCAAGTTTGTTCTTCAAACACACTTGCCGAGAACAGAACATTCTATCCATTTCTAATGATGATTCAAATGTTATTTGGCTTTAGTTCAATCAAAATGTTTCTGCGTTTTAAATTTATCCCTTCTCGACATTCATGTTGAGAGGCTTATCCGACCTTTTTCTCTGCCTTCTTGAGTTAAAATATCCGTTGTATTTCATTTCGTTCTAGAATCATTTCAAGTCTTAAAGCTGTTCAGATATAAATATTTCAAATCAAACGTTCTGAAACTATGCTTTATAAGTATGTAGGTAAATGTCTTGGTCTCTGAGATCTAATCTAGTGATAAATATTTTTGTGATTGCATTTATCAAAAAGTTGTGGTATGTATAAGATTTTTAAATAGTGGAATTTATTGCAAAAAATCAAAGTACCTAGATAGTTAGATCAATATGTATTAGGTGTTTTAGGTATTTGACATTTTATTTTCAATTAAATAAATGTTATGACAATGAAATTAACTTGAGTATTCTTAGCAATGCTTCATACTCATAATAAATAAGTATTAGAAGCCACTTCCAAAAAAAGAAGAAAAGATACATAATTGGGACGCCATCATTAGATAAAGACTACAAAATAAAGTCTCAGTTTTTTCGATACATCCGGTATAAAACAATAAATTTCTTTATTATTTTGGTTTGACATTTGATTCGACATGAAATGAATAATGAGATTGTCGACATATTTTCTATCATTGATCGTCTTTTAATAAAAAAAGATAAAAAAGTTGCTGATACATCATTTAAGAATTTAAGCAAACGAAAAAACCCAAAACTAAGAACATTATGACTACTTTCGTTACTATAACTTTAGCAAGTTAGATAGATACCTACATTTACGTTACATTCTTAAGTTGTTCTAAAGTGAACATAACATTGATAACTAAATCATAAAATGGTTATTTATTCACGTTCTGAAAAGGAAAACGGAAAATTTGGAATGAAATTTATCATCGAATACCTACGTATGTAAAGTGGTCGGAATATTTACGTAAATATGGTATGGCCTCACTGATGTTTTCCGTCATAAAATAAACGTATGACCGCAGTCATCGATTTTAATTTCTGGAGGTCCTTTAATAGCATTTTGTTAATTTTTTATAATTCAGAAACGAGGAATATAAGCCCTTCTTCTTCTTCTACTGAATATAAGTAAATTTAAGTATTCAGTAAGAAGTATAAAAATGTTTTTGAAATAAGATATTTCGCTTATTTAAACAACATCACTGAGAATGAAAACTTGAATGAAAAGTTGTATTTTCAAAAATCTCAATTCAGATTTATAGTTTTTCGATAACTTTCAAGTTACACTTCATAAGATTTTAAAAAAAATTAAAATAGAAATACATTCTCTGTAGGGCTACGCTGATCTTAGTTTTCATGATGTTAACTAAAATGTTTGTGATGAGATATGCACCAATTTATTAAAGATAAGCAAGTTCCCAGTGAACCATAATTTTTTCCTTATTGAGAGAGCTTACTCAATTTTTTTATAGCGGAAAACGTCAATGAAGCCATACGTTTCGACCACGTTATCATCATTTGTAGCTCTTCTTGCATTTTTTGCATTCCCATAAACTAGGAAACTTTTCTCCAAAAAAATTTACCCACTGCTTTTAAAACGGATGAAAAAGAAAAACTATGTTTATGTGCGAATCAACAAAATTATATTCGACTGTAAAAATTCGTGAACTTAATGTCATGAATAACAGCACCAATTTAGGAGATTTTCATTTTGAACCGAAGTGACCCTTGTCAAAAAAAAGTTTTTTTTTCTGGTGTGGGAGGGTTTTGAGAAGAAAATAATGCCTTTTATAAACTCGTTCGTCAAAACGTGCCATCATTCAATTGATAATATCTTTGTAAATAATTCTAAAAATAAAGCTGCAAAACAAAGAATAGAACTAATGCTCTGGTTTAAGATTGATTCAGTTTTAATTCAACTGAACTTTTTTTCCTGAATGATCTCGAGAAATTGTGAATTTTTGAAATGCCAAGGTTGAAAAAAGTTTTCATATTTAATTTCTGATTAAGACCAATAATGGAACAAAAATTAGCAAATTCTGGAATTTTGTTTTTAGGAAATTTGCTTTGATTCAACATGATAACTAAAAATATGTTGATTGAAATGAACAAATCATACAAAATTTAAATAAATTGGATTATTTCGACAACTTTTTAATTTGGCAACATTCAGGTTTTTTTTCTTAAGAAACAGAATGCTGTAGGTGAATAGATTTACGAAACCGCATAATCTTGTAGAGTTACCAAGAAGTTATCTAATCAAAACCTAATCTTTAATTTAAAAATTCTTTGACGTTATTTACATTAATAGTTAGTAATTAAGGATGAAAACTTTGATAATTGTTATGATTGATAAAGAAATAATGTTAAATGAACTTTTTCATCTATTACAATAGAACGAATAATATTATAAAGGGTAACGATAATTAATTCATGAAACCGATTATTGTTTTCTATCTTTCGTCTATTCTTTTCTAAAATGGAAAAACGTTAGAAATTTCTGTAGCACCAGAAATTTTTGATGATAATGGTTGTAGTAATTCTAACGACTAACTTGGTATAATCTGTTGCCAATGTGCTTAATGGACCGAATATTACATTGTGTAATGCCAAATTTAATTCAATGAAAAAATCATCAATTTCAAATTGAAGCATTATTGTTATGTTCCTCGCCTCTTAAGTTAACCAAGATGTGAATCAAAGTTATCACAGCATCGTCTGCTGTTTGGAACGATCAAGGATAATCAAGCGATAAAATTATAACTTTCGCTTCTTTGATAACCATAAAACTTCTCGCCAGTTTTTTTTTTCTTTTTAAGAAATCTTACTTCTCGAGCTTAAATATTTTTCTTTTCGTCAAAAACCGATTTCTGGGTATTTTCCACTTGAGATATTTTCCATTCGGTGCACGCACAAGAGAAAGGAAAGTCTAAGGTTAACTTAGATGATTGAGGTTTTTGTTTCAAAGAGCTGTCGTCATTGAATAATATTGAAAAAGTTCGAAAAAGTAAATCGCGTTTAAAGGATGATTAAACTGAAAATCAGGTCAATTCCAGCTACGAAAAATAGGCAGATCTATGCTTACCTATATCTTGATAAAGTGGAAAAAGGTTGGCATTTTTTTTTAAACTTTGCTACATTAAGATGTTTAAAATTTTGTTGTGATGTACTTAATGGATGATAATATAATTATTCTCGAGTACTTCTCGTATTATGACAGTAAGAGGCTAAAATAAATTTGCTTTTCTATTTATAATGCACATTCTGATTAATTTATAAAGTTGATCTGAGTGTAGTGAGTTTTAATAGATATAAAAATTTAAACATTGTTGTTGATAACTTTAAAAAGTAATCTGCTTGATCGGCAAGTTTAAGTAAAAATATTCTTTCTTTATCAGTGTATGCACCTTGAGAAATAAAGTATAATTTATAACGAAGTTAACTAGAGCTTTAATGACGTTATGACAAAATTACGAATTAAAATACTGAAGACATATATACATAGGTATGTAAAACGACAATGCCAGAAAATTGCGAAAAATAAAATTGCGTCAGCTAAATTCTACTTCAAATATTTCTTTGTAAGAGCGATAAAACTGCATTGGAAGCCTTTGTACATGCGTGTACCATCGACACCTTTAAATGCAAAAGCCTTCACTGCAGTTTCATCGCTCTTACAAAGAAATAATTGAAGTAGAACTTATCTGGCGCAATTTTCTGGCATTCTCATGTAAAACGAATGAAACCGCGTTAATTGTAAAATTGACATTAATTGGAATTATTATTATATAAAAAGAAAGGAACAATATGTAATAATAATAATAATGTCATTTAATGTCAATTTTATATTTAATACATTTTCATTCGATTCACCTATATAAATTTTTATAAACGGCTGAATTTTAAAAAAAACTTTAATTTTAATAACTTTTAAACTTCTATAAATAAATTTTAGCTGCTTCTAATTAAAGTTTTATTTCATAGACATTTAGAAGATAGGAACAGTCAAGAGTTATTGATATGACATACTCTGAAGGGATCGGAAAATATTATGTTTCGAGAGAAAATAATGTATCAAGAATATTTTGCTCCAGATTTCAGCCAGATGCAATTTACTATTGAGAGCATGTTTTATGAAGAGATGGCTGTATTTAAGCTTATAACTTGTAATATTATTTTCATATAAGTAGGTTTTTATAGGTACACATGAAAAGCTCATCTCAATTTTGATCCGTTTCCGATACTTTTTGAACCGTTTGTATAATAAACGCCTTACTGCTATTCCCTTCCCATACATTAGTGACCCGGATAAATGCAGTTTTTCCGCGGACCGAAAATTCTTCAAAACAAAGCAAAAAAAAAATTAAGTAAAGTTATTTCTTTCTTTTCTTCTTTTCAAAAACATATTATGCTGTTAAAAGTATGTTCAAATCGCGAAGCTGGTTTGGATTAACACAAAGAGGACCAAAAAATCGTTTATCTCTTGAAAATCTCAAAATTCTGTATGGAGTGTTGGAAAAGAATCAAAATGTATCTGAACAAAATCGTGAATTGCTTGTTGAGTCATTGCGTTGTATAGCCGAAATTTTAATTTGGGGCGATCAAAACGATGGAAGTGTCTTCGAGTAAGTATAACTTTTTACAAATGTATGTGAACGAGAGTTGTTAATTATATTATTCTTTTTCAACAAAGTTTCTTTTTGGAAAAAAATATGCTGAGCTATTTTCTCTGTATTATGCGTCAGAAAAGCGGTGGGTCTAGTTACGTCTGTGTTCAATTGCTGCAAACTCTAAATATTCTTTTTGAGAATATTCGAAATGAGACATCTTTATGTAAAATGATAATCGGTTCTATGCACAATGAATATATCTAAAAATCCTATTCTATTTTCAGATTACTTACTAAGCAACAATCATGTGAATTCAATAATCGTTCATAAATTCGATTTCTCTGATGAGGATGTCATGGGCTATTACATTCTGTTTTTGAAAACACTCAGTCTTAAGCTCAATCCTCATACGATTCATTTCTTCTACAACGAACACACCAATGATTTTCCTCTTTACACTGAAGCCATAAAATTTTTCAATCATCCAGAATCAATGGTAAGAATTGCAGTACGTACAATCTCTTTGAACGTCTACAAGGTGGAAAATGAATCAATGCAACAGTTCATTCGTGACAGAACAGCAGCTCCATATTTCTCGAATCTTGTGTGGTTTATAGGAAAACATATTTTGGAATTGGACGCATGTGTAAGAAATGACACTGATCATCAGTCACAAAATCGTTTATCAAACCTTGTTGCTGAACACTTGGATCATCTTCATTACTTAAATGATATCCTTCTTTTGAAAATTGACGGATTGAATGCGGTATTGACAGAACATTTACTTCACAAACTTTTTGTTCCGCTGTTTGTTTACTCTCTTACACCACCTACACCCGTTTCAATGGCTGTTGTTACAAGGAATCTTGCAGCCGTGTTGAATAAGATTGTAGATATAGATGAAGACGTTCAGGACTCCTCAAATCCTCGAGTGTCAAGCGTTGTTGCATTATTTCTTCTTTCTTTAGTATTCTTGGTAATCACTCATAGTCCGTTAGTTCATGCTTTGGCCTGGGTGCTACTCAATGGTGATCATAGTGTTTTCAAAGATGGAGCTTCTGAAATTCTTAATAATTATGTTGATAGACGAGAAAAGGTGACATTAGGATTTGGGGAGCCAAGTGAAAGTCTTGAAGAAGCACTCGACGGATCAATTTCTAATATTTCGCCGTCAGCATCTGGCAATTATAATAATGAAACTTCAACTAGCAGCTCTTCATCACCAAGAACAAATCAACATTTGGATTCTGGAGGTAGAGTTTCTTCTGATGGTAGTTTAAGTGAGGAAATGGAAAAAGTAAACATAACTGATGAAGAAAAAGAGCAAATCCTTGAATCATCTTTAAATGTTCAAAAAAGCAATCGACCTTTCCTTGATATGATTTTACAATCACTCGAATGTTCAGAAAATGATTATTTAACGCTGCTGGCTCTTTGTTTGCTTTATGCACTTGCCAACAACAAAGGTAAATTTATTAAAAGTTTATAAATTAACTCTATCATTATATCGCTAACAAAACGTTTGTCCATCTTATCAAAAAAAATGCAAACATGTTTGGATTGATTCCAAAGATGGTAAAGTCTGTTGAAAGAATTATGAGCAATTAATATTATTAATTATAAAATTTATCAATTTTTCAGGTGTTAACTCTGACTGGTTAGATTTAGTTTTAAATAAATCATCATCATCTGTTGCTACGAAATATAATGGAGTTTTAATGGAAAAACTTTTATCAATTATTCACACTTCAAGTCAACCATGTAAGTTAATCTCTCTTGGAAAGTGCAAATATGATTCAATGTTTTATATTATATGTCTTGCATATAGCATGTCGCGTTCGTCTCGTCACAATTGAACTAACTTTGAAACTTCTACTACAACTATTTCGTTTGAATCCTTTGCAAATTCAAGAAATTCAAAAATCATCACTGCTTCAAGCTCGCTCTCAATCGATGACAGTTCTCAAAAACTTCTATAAATCCGAGGATATATTTCTTGATCTCTTTGAAGACGAATATAACGAAATGATGAAATCGAACATAAATGTTGAATTTCTTTGTATGGATTCAACAATATTACTTCCTCCGACCGGAACTCCTTTGACTGGAATAGAATTTAGCAGGCGATTACCATGTGGCGAAGTAGAAAAGGCAAGGAGAGCAATAAGATTCTTTTTCCTTATAAGAAAAATGTGCCAAAGTATCAATGATGAAGTAGAACAATTATTACCACTTACCAATCAATCACAATGTGTTCAGATTGAGAATGCTTTGGATTTAAGTAAATTTATCATAAATTTTACTATTTATTTTTACTATTAGGTAGTTCAATTTTTTTCTATTAAAGACAACAGCGATTTAATTGCTTGTACAGTCATCATGAAAGATACAACAAAGTATCGTCGATTTCTGGTTATCGACATTTTACAATTGATACTTGTTGAACCAGATCCTCGTAAGCTTGGATGGGGAATTGCGAAGTTCGTTGGATTGCTGCAAGATGTAGAAGTCGCTGGTGACAAAGATGATTCACGTTGCTTACACATAACGATACATCGCGGAACAACAAATCGTACTCCGATTTTATCAGCAAAATTTATCTTTGACGACCACATTCGATGTATGGCTGCAAAGCAAAGATTAACAAAAGGACGTACAAAAGCGAGACAAAAGAAAATGTATCAGATTGCACAATTATTAGAGATCCCTCAACTAAACGATTCACCAACACCGATTTACAATTCAATGCTACGAGAATCGAGGACGGCACGAACACCTCGTGAACATAGACCTCTTTTTAGTACTGTTCAGCATCGTCCTGGAGTTGCATCAGCTTTGAGAAGGGAAAGCATGCCGTCAGGGAGTGTAAGTCGATGTCAGATTGTCAACAATAGATCGGATGGGTAAAATGTTAAATATTAAAATAAAATGTAGAGTATTTATTTTATTTTCTTTTAGGGAATCATCCAGACGACGCAGTTCATCGAAGACAAGTTTACCAATTAATACTCCATCAGGTTCCAAAAACCGCTCACATTCAGGAACACCAAAGTCACGAGAGTCAAGTCCTCGCATGCACAGAGAGGAAATTCCTTTAGAACATTTAAATTCATCACCTTCTTCCCGATGTTCATCAAATTCAGCATCACGTTCGCAAACGCCTTCAAGATTGATTACAGATCTAAATATTGGAATGAGTGTTGCAAAAGAAGGAACATCTCAAACAAATGGTGAGTTTACGATAGAAAGTTCAGAAGAGACGTCGTTCATTGCTGCAGAACGAAAAAAAGGAACAATCGAAACGGTATAAAAAGATTCCGTTTATTATACATATTCTATTACCTTATAAAAGAAATTATTATCTGAAAATTAAAATGTACGCAAAATAATCCAAAAATATTGTAGTCATTAAATAAAATTCTGTTGAGAAAACGAAAAAAGTATTTATCACAATATAATATCACCGAATGCGATCGCGAGGACACACTTTGAATTTTACTATAATTAACATTAACCTTTATACGTATTCCGTGGTATTGTCGAGCTTCAGAAGAATTACGATTCGTACTCTAAGCAGTAGATTCGTGTTTGGTGATATTATTTTGTGACATTGAAGTCATAATTATTTCCTCTTTATTCATAAGGGTACTTATTAAACACATTGTAATTGGTTTGAGCTTGTTTCATTAATAATAGTATCCTTTTTTAATTTATTGCAATTTCTAATAATGAAATGAGCTGAAATTTTTTTAATTAATTTATAGTTTAAATTCTCAGACATTTTTAATTCAAAACTTACAAGCAAAAAAAGAAATCCCAACTAATATCCCACATTTTATTGTGTAATGGACTGGATACATCAAAGGATGAAGTAATAATAATAGTATTAAGGCGATCCAAAGAAATAAGAGCACAATTAAACAACAGATTTTGAAGATTTGTGAAATAATTTTTAAAATTCGATTCAAAGTCATTTTTTGAGAAAGAATATCCTTTATTATTCAAAATGTTTACTGCAATATAGAATAACATAGAATAATATGAAATTCGATTAATTTATTATTAACATTATGCTTGAAGATATCCTGGTAATTTCATTCTCATGAAAACCCATGTAGTGAAAAAACTTATGATCACGAATATGAAGCCAAGTGAAGTTAAAAGAAGTTTATTCAATTTCGGCTTTCCATCTCCAGCAAGATCAAGAATAATGAAGCCAACACCTCCCACTGAAAAAAGAAAAGAAGATGCTAAACCTTCCATGATGTATTGGCCATTAACTCTATAAGGAAGAAATGCCACCTAAAATAAAATTAATGAAATTTAAGCATTTTAAAATTAAAAGAGTAAATTTTACAGGTTTTGTATGGCCATTTTCAATTGTGCTCCCTATTGAGGGTGGCTCAACGATGATATCATATATGATTCCTATTAGAATAAGAAAATTAGTTTATACTAGCTCATTTTAACTTATTTCGCAAACAAAACATTTCATAAATAAATCCAACTCACCAGCGCATACCAAAAAATACGATAAAAGTACCATAAAAAATATTGTTTTTGCTGATGGAATTGGTACTGTTATTTTCTTAAGCTTTAGATTGGGTGGTTCGAGGAATAGAAATGGAATGTTATATAGTATTTCCAACATTTCAAAATTGATTTGAGTATAGCTACAGATTTAAGAAAAAAAAGTGATAGAAAATCTACGTAGATCAATTCTTGATCAATATTACGGTTCAAATTTGAGCGGTTCAAATATCTACACTCACACAATTAAAAGAAAAACAAATTTTCTTTAGATGGAATTTTACCGGCTTGTTTTTCAAAACAAACAATTCAACGATAAAAGTAACATAAAAATATTGTTTTTGCTGATGGAACTGGTATCTACTGTTATTCATTCATAAATTGAATCATTGAATATTTTTATGAAAATTGCTTGATTTAAAAAAAATAATGAATAAAACTGTCTGAATAACATTATTGTTTTTATCTACGCAGTCAGTCCTTTGAAAGATTATTAAGTCTAAAACATTCACAATTTATCAGTGAATGATTAATGTTGTTAATATAACATATCAACTACATGATGCCATAATATAAGCTTACATATTTCAACGTCATAGGTTTGGGCGAGTCTATTCACTTTTTGTTATCTTATGGAAACTCGAATTTTGAAGATCTCAGAATTGAAGAAAATGCCAGCCTTTAAATCATCTAAGTTTTATGTATGAAAACTTTCTGAACAATTTATATTTTACATTTTTATCAGTGACACTGAAGTGTTTTTGTACATAAACATTAAAAATATTGATAATTTTATTGCTTAATGCCAAAGAATCTGCTTAGTTGGATTCAATACTTGAGAAGTTTTGAAGATTGATATAGCTGTCGATGCGTTCAACGATTTACAATCAAGCAATGACATGTTGTTTTGTTGAATAAAAAAGTGAATTGAAAAACGCCCCCAGCCACAAATTTTAATCTTAAGAAAGTACTATCACAAATAACTCGCAATCTTTGAAAAATTATCGATAATGTTAAAAAAAATTATATAACAAATGTTTCAATTTTCTTTATGTTCAATCGGTTTTTTATTATTATTATCTATTATTTTTATAAATTATTGTAAAATAATCAAACATCCTACATTGAACGTTGTCGAAAAACTTTGATTGTTTAAACCTGCCTATATCCATTCAAGTTCACTTCATTACATGACTTCTTGACAGATTTTCAGTCAACTACTCCCATTTCTGACATGAAGAATATGAAATTAAAAGATGTCATATAGTTTTCTTCTACTTCTAAAAAGGAAGAAATCGATTTGGAGCATTTTATAAATTAATAATTTTGTCCCCTGCAAACACACAGCGCAATGGTGTCTGAAATAAATTAAAAAAATACTAACACATACTCAAACGTATACCTATATATTTACCGGAGTTAAAATTATAGATCTCAAAATAATATTTAGTCGAGTTCTATTCTCAGTTGAGTTAGACGTTTTGAATTTAATATTCCGGGCAAAATAAAATATATCAGTAAGTCAATTCAATTCGTACATACACAACAAATAATTATACTTTTATTAGATTCCAAAGATGCCTCATTATAAAGTAATGTACTTCAATTTGAAAGCTTTGGCTGAACCCATTCGCTTATTGTTGTCTTATGGCAAATTGGAATTTGAAGATGTTAGAGTTGAAAGAGAAAATTGGCCGGCTTTAAAACCATGTGAGTAAATAACTAATAAATAATTTGTGTAATTAAATGAAATTCATGAACTTTAATAAGTACCTATTCATGATTAAGTAAATTTAATTTAAATTCATAATAAAAATAATGTTGAATTACTTCATATCACCTATTCTTAGGTTGAATTTTGAATAATTCATGAGATTATGTTGTTATTAAGTCTTTATATGAACGTATTCTGATACACAATTCTTAGTTTTTCTTACTATGAATAAATTGAATATGTAGGTATTCGTTTCGATCTCAAGGTCACAAAATCAGAAAAACGAAACCTCTCTCTGAGTATCTAATTGCTCTATTTTGATATAAACTTTCGGCTTTTTAACTTAAACACCTTATGTTTGAACAGTAGAGATAATATGTTTAAGAATTGTTCCTCCATAAAATTATATTTCGAGCAGAGATTAAAATTTTGAAAGTAATGAGTATTAATCAAGAAAATGCTTTGTCATCATGATAAGCTATGCCAATGGGGCAAATGCCCATTTTGGAAGTAGATGGAAAACGTGTCCATCAATCTACAGCTATCTGTCGTTATTTGGCTAAAGAAGTCGGCTTAGCTGGATCCAATACTTGGGAAGATTTGGAGATTGATATTGCTGTTGATACAATCAACGATTTACGATCAAGTAATGACAAATTGCTGTTTTGTTGAAAAAAAGATGTTTTAATTTTTTATTGCAATTCAGAGATTGCCATTGTATCATATGAGGAAGATCAGAAACTTCAAGCTACTAAACGTGAAAAATTGGAAGCTGAGATTCTGCCATTCTACCTTGAAAAACTAGATGCACTTGCAAAGGAGAATAATGGTCACTTCGCTTTGAAGAAAGTGAGTTTTATAATTATAATGTTTAGTTACATTCCCATGACATCTTTTAATTATAGCTTACATGGGCTGACTTACACTTTGTGGGTATCCTGGATTACTTGAATTACATGGTTAAATATGATTTTGTTGCGAAATATCCCAACCTGAAGAAAGTCGTTGATAACGTGTTGAGTGTTGACAACATAAAAAAGTGGATTGAAAAACGCCCAGTCACTGAATTGTAATCTTTCATTACGTATATATTTTTTTAATTATCATCTTATATTCAAATATGCGAATGAAAATAAAGTTCAGCTTCTTTAAAATTTTCAATATTCCTTTACAATTTTTTTCAGAAATAAATGTTTAGTTGATTAAACTTAGTTTACACGTATACAAACATATATTTTCAAAATTAGGTATTAAAGTTTGATTGCGTACCTTAAGGAAAGCGGATGGATTAAAATTTCCTTATATAAAATAACTGTCATAAATTTCAAAATGTAAAATTGTAGAACCCCGGGTAGAACACGACGGTTGAACCGTTTTCGTAGTTTCTTTGAACTGGAATTTTTTTGAACCGTGAAGATTTTTTTATTTACATACTTTAGTATAAAAAATTAGTCTTCGAGATAAATCTTACGTTGAAAGACAAGATGAGTGACAGTAGTGATGAAGATTTCAACGAAAATTACGTTATGTATAAGGAGCGATTAGAATGGAGAGATGTTAAGCCCATTAAGCAGAATGACGGCGCTAATCCAGTAGTAGCGATTGCTTATTCTGAAAAATGTGAGTAGTTAACATTTCACGGTATTTTTAATATAAATAAAATCTCAACCAGTTGCCGATGTTTATAACTATTTCCGGGGAATTCTTGCAATTCAAGAAAAGTCAGAAAGAGCTCTTGAACTAACAACTAATGCTCTACGATTAAATGCAGCCAATTATACCGTATGGCAGTATCGTCGTGAAATTCTTAAGACCCTCAATAAAGATCTCTATCAAGAACTGGGTTACATTGCCGACGTTATTCATGAAAATCCAAAAAATTACCAAGTTTGGCATCATCGTCGTGTTATAGTTGAATGGTTAAACGACCCATCATTTGAATTGGAGTTAACTGAAACTATTCTCGATATAGATGCAAAAAATTATCATGCTTGGCAACATCGTCAGGTAAGAAAATTCCTCCTCTGAAATTTGCTTTTCGTTCATATAATGTTTTTACTTTTTCGTTATAGTGGGCAATACAAACTTATGAGTAAGAAAATTTACATATTTCTCTTGCGGTTTTTGTATTTGACTATTATTATCTTTTTTTCTCTTTTGAAGTCTTTTTGATAACGAATTAGCTTATATTGATAAACTTCTTTCTATGGATGTCAGAAACAATTCGGCTTGGAATCAAAGGTTTTTTGTTTTAAAACACATAGGACTCACAGATGAAGTCGTTCAGATGGAACTTCATTACGCAATGAATCGGATTCGTCTTATTAAAAACAACGAAAGTTCATGGAATTTCTTGAAGGGTCTTCTAGAGTTTGGTGACAATTCCATTTCTAAGTTTCCAGACGTTGAATTATTTGCTGAAGAACTTTACAATACAGGAAATCGATCACCTTATTTACTAGCGTTTTTAGTTGATATGTACATCGAAAAGACCATGCATGTTTATAAAACAAATAATTACGATGATCCAGAGATATACGCAAGAAAAGTTTGCGAACTTTGCGATATGCTAGCAAATCATTACGACACAATTCGCTACAAATACTGGAAATATGTGCAACAGAAATTCAAAGATGATAAAGAGCAAGCAAAGCAACCTATAGACGAGCCATCTGAGGAACAAAAACTTAACGTAAATGGAACTATGTAGCTAATCTCAAGTTATGGTATTATTTTACACAATAAAGCACAAATCAATTTTCCAAAATATGTATTTTTTTTTCTTTTAAACTGAATATAATTCGATTTACTTATCGGTGTTAGATTTGTTTCGGAATTGAGTTTTACTTTTAATACTTATTTAACACATGAAAAATTCAATCAAAGCAGATCCAGTTATACTTCAACCGTTTTTAATGGAAAAACTCATTTAAAATACGGAACAAATTAATGTGTTTAATATCAAATTACATCAAGATTTTCATATTTTGATTCTTTTTTATCAAGAAATTCGTCGACATAACTTTGACACTCTCTTTTGGCGTTTTTTATTCTCGACATACTTTTTAATTTGAGAATGAAAGAAACTATAATGTTTTAAATTTATCGAATTTTCATAACTTGCTCACATTTTCTTGATCTGAGCAGTGCAAACACGATCAATTATCTAAACGTTTTTGAGAGAGGCTCGCATGCATAAAAACGAGCATTAAATGCGCCGTCAAACTTCGGCATATAAAAATTTAAAAAAATAAGAAAAGGTTTTAGAAAATTAAGAAAAAAAAAGACAAGATAGGAAAATGCGGAAAATCTTGGAAAACTTCGGAAAGGTTGGGAAAAATTTTGGAAACTCAAGATTTTTTTGTGCGGAAAACTTGGAAAAGAATTGAAGAATTAAAACCGTAGACCATTCAAGTCTAATTAAACATCTAGCGAAAAAAATATGTCGAAGTTTTCCGAACATTTATTTAGTTAATTTCATGGGCAGCTTTTTTATATAGGGCTATGATCGAGAATAGTTTCAGCCATCATTCTTCCTGCAATGCTTAAATGGGTAACTGAGATTGGCTAAAGTTTAACACGAATCATCATCATCAGAGTAGTTTAACACGAATCAAATCGCAAAGTATTTATGCGTTACAGATTTCATTCTATACCAATAACTAACGAAATACTTACGTCTTAAAATCATCCAATAAACAATTTTAACTTAGACATTCATTAATTTTCTAAAATCATTGAATGAAGATACGTTGGTAACGAATCCTACAAAAATCAAATTAAGTAATAAGGCATAAGTTTTTGACTATTTTTCTTTTTATTATTATACTTTGTAAGTTTTTTATGTTAATGTTTTTATAATTTATATTCTGTTTGAATCGTAATCATAATTATATTATTGCACACACAATTGGGGATTTCCATTTCTGTCGTTATAAATCAATTATAGGTTTGTTTCCCTTTTCCAACTTGATATTATGTTCCAATTTAGAGTTTTAGACACAAATGTTTTATATAAGATTTTATTAATTAATTTACTTTTTATTAATTTAACAGTGAACTCTCGATATAACACGTACTTTCGAGAGAATTGTTATATCGATAGTATGTTTTATCAAAAGTTCACTGTATTATGATTTTCGATCTAATGATTTGACCATTTTTCGAATTTCACCGCTTTATGTGTCAAAATATTTTAAGGGCATTTTCAAAATTATTTGTATTTATAGTATAGCATTTATATTTGAGTGTTTTGAAACTTTCATTAAATAATTTTTTGATTCATGACTTTTATTTTGCTTTTATGACTCTTTTTTCCTTCTATAAAATAAATTTCCTGTTTTACAATTTGATTGGCCTATTTATGCTTAGAGAAATTTGGTTCTTTCTATTAATGATCTAATTCAAGAAAAAATAAAACATTTATTAAAATATTTAAGTAAAATTGTAGAATGAAGGAATCTAAATGCATATTAACTTATTTAGGAAAAAGAAGGTCGATGCTTAAGCAGCACCCTTTCAAAATGATGACTAAATTCTAAAATTACTTTAAATTGGTTACGTTATTGTTTTACTGTCATTTCACTTTAACTCAACATTAAACTACAAAGGATTGTTTTTGTTGCAAATTCATATATTTCCCTATTTTAAATTAAAAATTAAAGACTTGCGATTATACATTAATGAAGTTGTATAAACGAAAGGTTATCAAAACTAATGGTGAGTTAGGTATTTGTAATGAAACGGAACTTTTAAAAATTAAAGATTCAGGAGCAAATGCATTTTTATTGGGCGTAAGATTGTTCTTATTCGAAGTAATGTAGATAAAGTTATGACAAACGATATTGAATATCACTTTTAAATAAATAATGTACGGATGGGATGGGCTGAAGTGCCAAATCATGAAATAATAAATGACAATTCGAGTTGATAATAATGATGCTTTCATATATTGCTAGATAATACTGCATTTGACTAACTCGAATTCTTTTTCCTTTTCTTAATTTCTTTAAATGCCTAGAAATGCATAAAATTTATAAACAAATCAGAGTTAATTTACACATAGCTATGTGTTAAATTGGGCTTTTCATGGATTTTCTTTTTCTTGCTAAAATGAAATCTCAAAAGATGAGTTTACACATGTGATTAATAAATTTCTTTTTGAAGTTAATGAATAATTTACTTTTTTTCAATATGAAACAAAAGATTCTTGTAAATTTAATAATTCATTTAATAAGGAAAACTAGGAGAAAATATAAAAATGTTGACTCGAATCCTTTTCATTTTTCTAAGTTGAAAAACAGACTGCTTTATGTGCATGTTTTAGCCTTCATATGCTGTTATATGTAAATATACTTGTAACATATATATGTATGTATATTATATACATATATTGTTATCACTGATTGATTGAAATAACTTGTCCTTAACAAATATTTTGATAATTTTTCATGTCGTAAGTTTTGCCGATTATCATTCTACAAATATTTTTTATCGTCTTCAAATCATAATTTATGTAAGTATTTTATGACTACAAATTTACAGTGCACACCAAATATTTATCGATGAGTCAATGAAATATGACTTCAGTCACCCTTTGGAGCGAGTTTATTGTTTATAACAATTAACGCTTGGTAAAAAAAAAAAAATTTTTTATTTATATATCTACCAATGATATGGCCAGCGAACACTCAACTTAAATGATTGATTTTTAGTCTGAGTGTTCTTCAAAATTTATGGTATGTTATTTATATGTGAACAATCAATTTTTAGTTTACCTACTTAGAATAAATGGTTTATAAAAGTTTTTATATGGTAATGGCATGATATATATATTGTACATAAGTAAATACCTACATATTTATTTTTGAACTTTGAAATTTATCAAACTCAAATTTTGAAGTGAAACAATTAACATAAAATAAATCTAGAGAATCTCAGATGAGAATAGTAACAGTAGTAACACTGTAGACTATTTCTGATTTTATTATGTTGTTTACTAGTTCATTTAGGTTTAAGAAGTATGTACTCATATAATATTATATAGGTATGAAAGCATGTAGTATATTATATATTTATATATATACAAAATATGTATATGTTGCATCAGTTATTTGATTAGAAAATATGATGATTAGTTCTGTCATTTCATTTTTCTATTAATTATGCTCGTCTTGCTTAGCTTCTTATTTTAATAAAGTTGTGTATACAAACGCTGATTATCAAAAGTATCTCAAATTTTAAAATTTGCATTATTCAGCGTCTTTAGAATGAATTCTCGATAATGGAAAGAACGATTTTATAAGCAGAAGATATTTATGGTATATTTTCATTTGTCGTCCTTAATAAAGGAACATTCAACAAAAATATTTGGATTTTACAAAACCTTACAGTTGTGCGACCATTTTATAGAATTTTCCAGGTTTTTTGTTATTTACAGAATCACAGCATGTGATATTTTTAACTCTCTGTACGATAAAACTTCACAATTAGCTAATGAAGAATATTTTGGGTTCACAATTATGAGGTTCAAATGCTTGCAGTAGTTATGTGAGCTTCCGAATATTTTAGTACGAAATTGTCACATAATTTATACTTCCGTATCATACGAATAAGTAAAACTAGAAAATGGTGTATCCTACTATTTTCTAATTTATTTATTAACATTTGTTACAAAACTTGCGTAATATGTGCTGTCGATATTAGTTTAAATTTTAACATCGACTTATGGGGATTTTTTCATTAACTTCTCTTTTTATACAAATACATAAATATATGTATTTTTATTACGTCATGTTAGAGTTGTTGGTAAAGTTTTAACAATACTTTCTTATAGAATCAAGTCGTATTTAATTTTATTCTAAGCTTCATTTTTTTTATTTTAACAATTTGTCTATTGCATCCTAATACTTATTATTATGAAAAATTAAACAAAACTTACTCATCACTAAGACTAGAAGAAAGTGACGATCACGACTTGCTCAAGTGCTCATTTTCAGGGCGGCGCTCAGTTGCAATTTGAAGCAAGTTATTGAATTCCATTTCTAGCGTTTGTCTTGCCTTTTTTAAAAAGATTGAATAAAGTTAATGGTTTAAAAGAAAATAATAATTTATTACTTGTGTATTTTGCGTGGGAATTTGCAATGCCAAACCCATTGAATTAGCATCAAAACTCTCATCTAAAGCTATTAGTGCACCATGAACGCCCGACTCTAATAAGTTGCTGCCATATTCCTGCAAATAAAATTCATTAACATTCAACCGAATCTCTTTATATTGTTAAGTTAATTACCTTGAGACCAATACTATTAACCCATCGAATAACTCTTTCATTACTCCACACTAATACTTCAGCGACAGCATTTTCCGAAGCTTTTCTTCTCTCTTCAAGCGAGTTACGATCGTAATTTAATCGCTTCAGACAGGAAATTCCGTATTGTAAACTAGTACGATGGAAGCTATCAATCATTTTAAGTTGTCCACGCAAATCTTTTTTATTAAGATGATCTAACATTCGTGCATCCACGAGACACTCCATAAATGTTGTACGGTATTGCGGTAAACCTAAGCTGGGTAGCCAATAGTTGCCAATCCATTCATGATTCATGTCACCTGTTATGAAAATAATAATTATTTAATAAGTGAATTCTCTAATTATGTTTGAATTTTTGATATAATACCGAAGGCTAATGTTGTGCGTGTTGTTTGAGGCGCTGACGGAGATGTCAGTGAAACCATTTCCTGAATAGCCAATCGCAATTTAAGTCTATGAAGTGGATTGCTTATACCTGTATGCAAACATTTATTTACTTAATCATTTTATTTACACATAATCACAATAAAATTTATTTACCTATTTCTCTTTGAATTTCAGTATCACTCAAGGCACTCATAATAGCACCAGATTTCACATTTGCTCGACATGCTGCAACGTACCACGCAGGCATTCCCACCCATAATTCAAGCCATGCCACAATGGTCGGTCCATTCCATAATGCAAAAGGTGTTCCTGCTTTCATCGCTTCACCAAGCAAGTCATGTCGATAATCGTGCTCTCTGTCAATAGAAATAAAAAAAAATGTAAAATTTAAATTTTAGAAATTAAGATAATCACTTTTTCTTTTGCCTTCCATATTCCATTTTCGACGTCCCTGAGATATTAATTTTGCTACTTATACTCATTGTATCATAGTTTGAATCTATATCACTCATATTCATCGACAAGCCGCTCATGATACTGCTTGAACCATCAGGCATTGAATCTTTTACACCTTTTACCTGCAATTAATTTTTTATTAGTTGCATTAATTCCTAATAATTAGAAATGTACGATCCTTTTACCTTCTCTTTTTTACTGAAGAATCTACCAAGGCTTGACTTAATTCCCTTCTTCTTTTGTGCTCCGGTGATGTCACGATTACCTGTTGGTGTCTGAAGCATATTCATCGAAGACATGCTGCTTAAATGTCTTAAAGATTCTTGACTTCCATGGCGTGAACTAAGTGGTGATGTAGCATAATTTCCCATAGTATTTCTATCGGAACAATGTGGTGTAGCAGAGATATTGTGGTTTATGAGCCACATTTATGGAGTAGTCATTTGAATACGAAGTTTGTAATATCACAATCAAAAGAAAAGTGGAAATGAAAAGGAAATATATCAAAATAAGTTCTTTTTCTTATTGTTTCGAAGTAATAAAATAATACAGTGGACTCTTGATATAACGAAGGCTGAAGGGAGACAAAAACATGTCTCTCTATCGAGTAAATAATGGTGCAATTATTTTTGAACGGAGACGAAATTATATCGAACTATCAAAAAAAAAACTTTCTATCAAGAGAATGTCATATCGAGCGTCCACTGTACGCACTTCTAAAATAATCTCATGCAATCAAATTAATCTTTCAAATATTTAATAATTAGGTAATTACTTAATCTTGCAGAATGCCATAAACTAAAAATAATTCTCATTGTGTTATAATTCTGATTGAATTGATTAATTGAAGCAACAACGTTTAATTTACATAAGCAAAATCAACAGATAAAAAGTTTTAAACATAAATAGGTACGTCATAAGTAAATAAAAAATATATATTTCTATATATACAGGGTAGTTGGCTTATTAGGAATCACCTCGAAATTGTAGCCAACAGGAAACCACTAGTTTCGCTAAAACTTGATAGAGAAGAACTTTATATACTCTACTTCTCTATAAAGTTTCAACCTATAAATAATAAAAAATAGCGAATAAAATTATGTTCGTAACTAGTGGTTCTCTATTAGTTACGATTTCGAGGTGTTTCCTTATTGACTAACTAGCCTATATTTATTGATATATATGTAGGTATATAAGGAAAAAATTAATATTAAGGTAAAGCTATTTATTAAGTCAGATTAGTTTATCAATTAACCTGATGTGGTTCATATTTTGAGATCCATGCATCGAAGGCAGCCCCATAGATCTTTAGATGCAAATAAGACACATTTTTCAAGTATTCAATAGACATATGACAGCGTGTGGTAAAGCGTGTAATAGAAATTAATGAAATAAAAGAAGCAGATATTTATTACACAACAGAAAGTTGAAACCAATTTTCATCATTGTTGGAAATAAAAGCATTTATTTCCAAATTAATTTAAGGAATTAAAAAATAAATATTGTATTGCAATAAAGAGAACATAAAATCATTCTAATCTTACGAAATAAAATTAAAGAACAAAAACATTGACTTACCGGCGCAATTCTTCCTGGCTATTAGCTAACGCTTGTGCAAAGCGTTCAAGGCGGATCGATCGAGCTGTAAGTGGAGATGCTCCACCACCAGAACTTGAATCACCACCAGAAATAACATGCAACTCATCACGATTCATATCGCCAGACATATGCGCAAGTTGCAACTGTAAAAGATGTAAAAAATTGATTTAATTTAAATTTACTAGTTCATGTATGAATATAATGTAAGCAAAAATATATTAAATATATTTGAACGTTACGAGTAGATATCATGCAGAAGATTATAATTAGTGATATTTTAAATAAATTCACCAAATTCGGCAAAAGAAAAAATTAGGTGCCTATAGATAAGAATGACAATGAGAATCAAGAAAATTATTCTCCTAATTTTTCTTGATTTTTTTCTCCACCATGCGAGGTATAAGCAAAATATAAAAAAAAATCTCATTTTAATAGCATTTTTTCTTTCGTGTACTTTCTTTCAAAATTCCAAATGAATTTAAAACGATTAGAAAAATATTTTTGATTCACTCAAATTACGATTTAAATGGTATGAAAAAATTAGTACGAAGCGACATGGGCCATGAATTCACCTGGCTTGAGGGCATAGATTCAGAAAGTTGACCAGACGATGAATATTGTTGCAGGTGAGCTGGAGACATCGATGCTGGTGCCTGTTTTAATTTATAATTGATGCTTTTTTTTCTCTTTTCTGACTTTTAATTATCATTGAAATGTGTCAATTCGTTTTAAAAAGGTATTGGTGTATGTCATTGTTTGTGTAAAAAAATGTGATCGATTCAAAATTTATGGCACTCAATAATTTCTCGGAAGAGTTTTTGTTTTATGAAAGTCAACTTTTTAGTGTTTTTCTTTGCTTTTGTTTGACTTTGAATAATTATTTATCTTTGTTATAAGTCTTACCGTATGGTATTTATGAAGATAATCCCGATTGGGACTATTTGGCGTACTCCTTCCAGAGATCGGCGGACTTTGACGATCTGATGATCGTCCACGAACAATTAAATTCATATGTTCTAAACTGCCAACCCGCGATTCAAGCTCTTCAGCTCTCGCTTCTGTCGATTGTTTTTCCTCTTGAATAAGTCTATCAAAACGAAAGAAATAAGATCATCGAAACTTATTATTATGAGTAAAATAAATAATTCACCTGATTTCGTTATTGATGGCATCTAGTTGTTCTTGAAGCATCATGGCCAGAGTTTGAGCATCTGTATGACCAGTTCCTGTTGGCGAGAGTAATTCAGCTGTACTGAAAATACTATCAGCGTCGTCTCCGTCAACTAAACCATCAACATATGCTTGCTGAACATTTGCCATAACATGGGCTTGTTGAATATGTTGAAGATTTTCCCACTCTTGTTCGGCAAGCGACCGATGATATTGCTCTTCATCTAATCTTTGTTGTTGTTGCTTCCTTCGCAATGAATGAGCATCGAAACTTGTGTGGGAAGCACTTCTTGAGAACTGCGCCGCTGCTGCTGCTGCAAGTTGTTGTGAATCTGTTGCATTATTTGGTGAAAGGCTTCTTGTCAATGCTTCAGTCTGCTGAATATTGAATGCTATTTCTTGTTGCAAAAGTTGTCTTTTGTAATTCTCCGTTTCAAGACGTGCTTTTGAAAGCTCTTTGATTATTTCGCCTTTCTCATGATGAAGCTCTTCAGCAAGTTTTCTTGCTTTCTCTAGCTCTTGTGTTAGTTGATTCTTCTCGTCAAGAGCATGCATTCGCTCTTTAAGATGTACTTGAAGACGATCGTTTGACTCAGAAAGCAACTTGTCAACTGTCGATGATAGTCGTTGATTATGCTCTTCATTCATTTTTAATCTTTGGTTTAAACGAAGAACTTCTGCATTTTTCTCTTCGAGATTTGTCTCTAAGCGTTGAATACGATCTTCTGCAGATCCATGGCGTTCCTGAGCCTTTGAATAAGAAACAAAACCAAGAAAATTTATTTTCCAGCTACTTAACTTAATCTTTCAGTTACAATAACTAGATAATGAACAAAAATGTATGTTTAATAAATAAACATACATGCATACATATTTACACATAAAAAAACCGAGCACATGATACCGTCACAAATATTTTAAACCAATAAAAGCAATTTGAAAAAAATAATTAAATTCATGTTTAAATCTTATGCAGTGGAACTCTCGATATAACAATAGCTCGATATAACGATAGGAAAAAAGTGTTGTATAGAGAACATTTTGCTCCAGATTTCGAGCCAGATGCATGATGTTATATCAAGAGTAAATAAAATATAAAACGGTTAGTACGAAACTACTAAGTAATATTATTTGTACTAATTTGTAACAAAAACGTAGATACACAAATAAATAGATGATTCCAATATGAACTGAAAACAAGTGAGTTTTCAAAATAAAATAAGTAATATTATAAGTTAGTTTAACTAAGTTTGGTAAGTAAGATGGAATTTCATGAGTACAAGTGTATTCACATGTTTAGTTAGGTTAATATTTAAATGATTGAAATGTTTAAATAAAATTTTATCCTTACAGATTATCGAGTTAGAAAAATAAAAATAAAAATTGGAGTAGAGTAGTGCAGGGTGTCTTAAGATGTATATTTTCATGAACATAAAATATTGCCTTTCCACTGCGGAAAGTAACCAGAATGTAATTTAGAATAATCACATAATAAATTAATTAATTGGTGCAAAAAAATAGAAAAATTAAATTTCAATTTCAACATAGAAAATCAATAACGTCCTATTTAATTTAAACTAAAATGCTTTTCGGAGAAGACAAAACTGACAGAACTATTGGATTCTTCTTTGTGAACATGAGCTTCGAGTATCTTGAAAGTTGGAGACAAGACAATCTCTTATCTTCTTCAAAGCTTATGTAAGTAACAAAAAACAAAAGATAAACATATTCAATATGTTTATAATTCACTTTCACAACATCAAAAGTTTACTATGACAAATTTCTAACTAAACACAATCAGACTTAATTAATTAATTTAATATATTTTGAATTGACAAATAGTTTAAGTAACATATAGAACCGATGTTTTTGTTTCCTGTTGGTCAACATCTGAAAGACCCTGCCTACCTGAGAGCCTACCTGCGTTAAGGCTTCCATACGTGCCTTAAGCTCTTCTTCCATTTCAGGTAGTTTCGAATATTGAGCCAATTTCTGGTCAGATAATTCAAGTTTCTCTTGAATTGCTGCAATCTTTTCTTCATGAAGCTTTGAAAATGATATACAAAAAAAACATGAAATAAATATTTTGCTTAGTAAACTTATGATTAACTTTAAAAAATTAAAAAAAATTACTTTAATTTGCGCTTCTTTATGACGAAGTTCCTGATCAAGTTTTTCATTTAAATCATGAAGGGAAGAAGCTTCTCTTTGAGCATTAAGGTAACGCTTTTCAAGTGTTGTAATTCGTTCTTCCTGGTCTTCTTTTTGCGCAACATTTTCTCGTAAATCTCTTTGCAATTTCATGTTCATGTCTTGAGATTTTGAATAATCCTTTTGAACCTTAGAGATATTTTCCTCCAATTCGTTTATTTTATTATTTAAATCAGATACTCTACGTTGCCATTGAGAAAGTTCAGCTGTCTGTTTTTCAATTATTGTTTGAAGCTCGTGAGTTTTTGAAGCAAACTCAGCCATCTCATGTTGAATATTTATCTCGCCATTGTTTTGCTTCGACTGAGAATTTTTATCAATTTCTCCATTCTCTTTAGTAGAATCAGTTTGAGTATAGTTGCCCGATTTCATTTGCTGCAATTCATCTTTTGACTGTTGAAGTTCTTCCTCTAACGTGGTATTTTTTTCTAATGAAACTCTCAATCTTTCGCGAACCTTTTCGTCTAAAGCTTTGTGATGTTCAAACAAACTTTTTAAAGCTTTTAATACTTCAACTTCACTCGATACCCCACTTTGAGCTGCTGCCTGACGTTTCACTACTGTCATGCGAAGTGATCTCTCGTGCCGGGACACAAGGCATTCCAAGTGTTCAAGAAGCAGCTAAAAAATAACAACAAATGAGTATTTATTGAATGATAGGCTTTATTATATTTTTAAAGACTCACCCTCGTGTTATTACGTTCAGCTTTAAGTTCACTAATTTCTTCATCTCTCTCTAGTAACGTTTCTCGGGCTTGAGTTAACTCTTTTGTAAGTGTTGAAAATTCCTATTAACATATTTGCAAAATATTTTTTGTAGAATAAATATCTAACTTTAATACTTTACATGTTTGTCAATTTTTTCTTCCAGATTAACTATTGGAACATTGGTTCGAACAGATGAAGTTATAGTAAAAAAGCGATGAGGTAATAGTGTTTCGAATTAATGATTCATTAGATTTCTTATCGACTAGTTGAATCAAATTATCATTTAACTCAAATATTTTTTATCTAAACTAGAATTTTACTCATCAAAGTCAATAATTTGAAATAAAATTGCGATATTTTCATTACAGAACTCTCAATGATCAAAAGCATATTAAGATTTTTAAATGTAGTATAACCAGATTATAAATATTTCTTACTAACCTGTGGAAGATTGGCATTGATCTGACGATGCAAACTGTCTCGTTCCTTTTCACAATCATTCAACTTTCCTTCCATTTCATTTAAACGTTCCTGAGCTTCTCTTAAACTATCCATTAATTTGTCGCGTTCATCCAACATTGAAACCATGAGAGATTCAAAATTTGCATCAGCTTCTCCACCACTGAACTGTGAAGATCGCTGAGAAATTGAATCCTCACTTATAGTAGGGAGCACGTCGCACATCATATTCCACATTTTCTCTTGTGAAATTTACACTTGTTTTACCAAAATAATCTACTAACACCTTATATTCGCCACAAAAATGATTAAGTAGTTTGCTATGAAGTAAAAGCTGTGGAAATTTTCTTTTCCCCTTTTTTGTACTCTATTCGGAGGAGGGGTGATTTTTGACCAAAAATGTTATATTCTTTTTTCTTATTACACTTAATATTATTTGTTTGCGGCACTTCAACCTTATTCTTTTTTTAACATCAGTTTTTTTAACAAATTCATACAATTTTAAAGTAGAATTCCTCAAAATCTACGAAAACTTTTTTTTAAAGAAATGATTTTCACGAAAATCAATCATCCTCCGGAATTTATGAGAAAGTTTGATCCATCCGAAAGACTGTGTGATTAGTAGTTTGATTTGGCACGTTATAATCCATGATTTAGTTAGTTTTTCGAAGATTTTAAGAGATTTTTCAAGATCTGGATGGTTTAAAAAAAATAAATTTATTGAACGTACATCCAATTACTAAACATACCTTTTGTTTGTGAAGTTTTCAAATTTCTTACCCCTTCTGTCAGTAAAAAATTTATTTATCGGCCTTATGAAATTCGAACATTAAACGTATTCCTTTATAATTGAACGGAAATAATTGTACTAAACACACCATTCTTTGATTTTTTAAATTTATTGTAAAAAAAATTAGATAAAATGAATGAAACTGAGCCTATAATCAAGTTAGAACTAATTTTGAACGAGTTTTACCATCAATCAACCTCTAACTTCAGGAAGAAAGAAATCGAGAGAGATTTGAGGGTTTTTCAAGAAAATCCTGAATCATGGAAAATTATTATCAGAATCCTAGAAAATTCTTCATCCTTCAATAATCAGTACTTGTGGTTTTTTTCAATCTCAACAATTGAAGTGAGTATTTATATATCTAATATTGCAAACGTATTAACTCATATTTTTCTGTTAGTTATGTGTCACCAAAAAATGGAATTCCTTAGATTTAAAATCCCGAACATATATTCGCGATTTTCTATGGCTAGTGTATTGTAACTTTTCACCCAATATCGGTGCAATGCAACGAGATAAAATAGCCCAAATTATAAGTCTTATAGGAAAAAGACAATTTCCAGATGAGAATCCAGAGTTTTTATTACAAATTCTCAATCTAATTAAGTCAAAATTCATTCTTGGAATAACGTTACTCAAATCAACTTTCGCTGAAATAATAAGCACGAAACCAGATGTGACATACCAGAAAAAAAGAAATTTCATCCAAGGGTAAAATTTATTTCCTGTTAAAAACAAGTTGATGATATATTATTTCCTTCTAGGATGACGTTAGGCCTGAGAGAAATTTTTCCTCTTCTTAATAAATTTTTGACACTCTGTGTATGCCGTGTAAGCAACAACGAATTAATCTTCGGTTCTTCCGATGAATTTTTGAATACTTCACTGCCAAATGACGATAAGTTCATTTACTGCTGCACTGAACTACTCGTCTGCATTTCAAGCATTTTTTCGTGGACACCAACAAACGACACCAATATGACTTCTGAATTCTTTAATAATATCTTTGAGCTATGCATGTTCAGTGGGGAAAAATATGTCAGTGTTAATATTGCTGCTCTTATGACAATCAGTGAATTGTTTTACCTTCAAAAGCCACTTCCACAGCCGCAAATACAAGCAAATGGAATAACAGAACTTTTACAACAGCATACATTGTCTCAGTCTCTTGATGAATACCAAGATAAACTTACTGAGCTCATAAAATTGTTCATAACTCAACAGTGGGGACGTTGTGTCAATTCAAAAGATTTTCCATCCAAGGAATTTCTGCTTTATTTATTTAATTTCACGTTTTGTGGCGGCATTTCTGCATTAACTTTTACAGAACGACTCTCCATATGGAAACCAATCATACAAAGTTTCAACGAGAAATCTGCTGGAAGATATACGGAAACTATTTTACAATTGATATCAAACGTTTTCAAGAAAATGCAATTTCAGTGTTACTCAGAGCTTGATCTTCTTGATACTGAAGAGTTGGATGAGAACATGCAAACAGAACTTCAAACATTTTTAAATCAATGTATTGAAATTATATCAACTGCAGCTGAAGTTGAGCCACTGAAAATATTTGATCTTGTCAACAATGAATTTAATCGTGATGATGGAAAATTTAAAATTTTCCTTGCCTTTGCAAATTCTCTGCCAGATTTCACCAAGGAAAATACAAAAATTCCTATAAATATCGATAATTTGCTACGATGCTTTACAAATGAAACATCTAAGGCTTTCTTCTTTCATTGTTTGATTCGCGATCTCTCAACCATTTTACAAACAATAACACAATTATCAAGTATTGTTTTACTTACGACTGATGAACGTTCACATTCAATTTCAATCGTGATAAGAAGTTGTTTATATGCTTTGAAAGTGAGTAACAAAAAAAAACTCTATTTATATAATTTTGGAAACCATCAGTCAATCACAACTGATCTCATTGAGTTACAAGCTCAAATCATCACATCAGTACGAAGTCTTCTATTGTTAAGAAATGATGTTCTTGAAAATTATGATGAGATGTATGGATTAATTGGATCTGTAGCTCAAATACTTCTTCCATCTCCATTTGGTATCGATGAACCATTAGTAGTTATTAATTCATCGGCTCAACTGATGCTTACGATAACATCCGGAGTACGTCCTCACTACATACTCAAACATCCGACTGTTATGGAGATTTTACAGAGTGATTTGAGTCATCATGCTGACAAACATGTGCGACTGAGTATAAAGAAAATTGTTTTTAACTGCCTCTTACTTCCATACAACAAAATTGCCATTAACCTGATAGAGGAGCAAGATTTCGAGAAACGAAGCCAATTTCTTCAACAATACATTTCTTTTATAAGCAACAAATTTCTGATGATGGATTTAAACATTGAAGATCCAATGATTTTGGAGCAAACTAAAACTGAATTAGGCGATTATGAGGAATTACTGGAAGTTTTTGGAGACACAAATACAATTTCTAAGCAAATGCTTTTAGGTGGAATGCAAAAAATTATCAACAAGTCTATAGAACTATTTCAGAAATTTGGAAAGAATCCATTGATTTATGAGGAAATTGTAAACTTTTTCCTTGGTGTCATTAAATGTCTGCAACTTCAGCTTGGATCAGATTTTGTCATTCAAGTGATTAAAATGATTCTTGATATGTCCTCGATATCCAACAAGAATTCCCATCCAATGAATAAGCTTCTTCAAATGCTCACTTTTATTGTTCAACAGTCGGGATCAGCTGCTAACATGTTAATGTGTGATATCATGAAGTTAACATTGGATGAATTGTTCCCATTAGAACGGGCGCAGACTATTGACATTTCGACCAACTTTTATACTCTATTAGATGCAATTTTGCAAAATCACTGGAACTATTTCCATAAAAATCCAATAAATTCGACAAGAAATAATCAGGAAGATTTATTAAAAATGTTCACTGCATATGGACAGTTCTTATGTAATGGAGCAAATAGTCAGGATCCAAATGTGATAAGAATAATTTTAAGTTCTTTGGAGAAGCTCAACGAACTTTGGCATTTATACGATAAAGTTTTCTTCAAGGATTTCCTTCTAAAATCATTTCTTTGCACACTCATTCGATTGGTGATTTCGGCTGCTGGTGTTCTTTTTTACGATCAAATAATATCAATGATTTATCGTATGTCTGAGAAAAGCAAAACAATTCTTCAAGAAAGTTTCATATCTGTCGGCTATCCTCCAGAAGTCAAAATCATCCAACAAATATGTGAAGCTTGTGATCTTCCAACATTTTCAAATCAAATGGAAATTCTTATTCAAGATACAATTTATTCTCAATTTCTTCAGTGAAAGAAAGTTTTAATACTTTTTGATGAATTCCATTCATTCCTTATCATAAAATATTTTACTATTTGAATAAATAAGAAATGGGAGAGCAAAGTGAAATTAGAGCAAAACATAACTTTCGAGATTGTCATTTTTAATTTCAAAAATTTTGGTATCTCAGAATTGGATTTTATTCTAATTATTTATACAAATATCATTTTGTCATATTATCTTATATGATCCGTATCTTATTGAAAGAATAAAATAGCTATGAATCTCATATGTTAGAGAATTTGAGACTTGTTAAATTTCTGAAATTCTCGAACATCTGAAATTTATTTTTTCATAGAAAGAATTTTAATGTAGATAATTAAATAATTAAATATTTTAGTACCTAATGGAAGAATGAGTTGAGAAATATTTTCATTTCTCAGTTTGTTCTTAAATCAAAACATACCTTTTACACAACATTTTATAGAAATATTTATCTAAATATAATTAATAAATGCTTGATAGGTATGTAAAATGAAATCTTTATGATGAGATAAGAGATGATTTTTAACAAACTTTACGTAGGTATATCGGCAAAATATTTGAATCGTGATGCCAACAAGCTTTTTAAAACAACTTTTTATGTTTCGAATTTATATGCTGAATAAATTTTATTAAAATAACATTTTATTTTATTGACTCATAACAATGAATTTCTACTAACTGATGCCAAAAAGCACAAGAAAAAGGAAATGTTAGTGAAGCATAAACGACTATTTTAAGGTGTATGCGGAGCTTGACTGAAGAAGGGAGCCGAGTTTTGCTCGAGCAAGGTATAACAAACCTCACATACTTTTGCAGTTCTTCCACTGACACCACTTTTAACAACTTTGCTGCAACATGATTCACAGAAAATTGTTCCACAATGCCGACAATTGATCTGGAAAAAAGAAGACTCCGAATTTCAAAGGAATTTTAAATAAAATTATTCAATAATTTACTTTTCTTCTTGTTACTGTAAAGTTTTGCTTGCATGTTGGACATTTATAACAATCCTCTTCATCTTGCCAACGTACTTGGCTGTCGGCTGAACGAATTTTTTCCAATTGCATCTAAGAAATTTTAAAAAGTTAAGATTAGTATAAATGGATAATTTAAAGCTTTTTCATTAACACACTTGAAGAGATTGCGATAATTTCACAAAATCTTTCTGCACTGCTTCACTTGTAGTTAGTTCCTGTTGCATCATTGCTACTTTTGATTTTAAATCCATATTCGATTTTTCCATTTTATCGACAGTTTCACTAAGTTCAATATTTTGCATTCTTAATTCACTAATTTCTTTTTTATTTTCGTTTTCAACTTTTTGCTGATCTTCTTTTTCACTGAGCATCTTCTGGTGGATTTGATGTTGTTGTTTGAGTTTATCCTCAAGATTATGCATTCTGTGATTTAATTTCTGTTCTAAAAATTCTTTTTCTTTTTCCTTTCTTTGAAGTTGATCCCTCAAAAGATTAGCTTCATCTCGAAAACTGATACATTTTGCTTCATTAAATTCTTGTCCAGATTTTGAGACTATTAAATGTTCATTCAATCTCAATACAAGTTCATGGAGTTCTTCAATATTCTGTGGTAAATCAATCTCCTGCTCTTTGAGCTCATTTGAATGTTGCAAATATCGTCCAGACAAATAATCGTTATCTCTTTGAAGTGTCTCTAGATGCTCATGAATTTCTTGTCTCTCGTCACTCACTCGAATGAGTTCATGATAAATTTCTTCTTTAAAACTACTGAATTCATTTTGAAGTTCGAGGACGCATCGTTCACTCCGATTAAGAAGATCGCATAGTTTCTGAACTTCTTCTTTATGTTCTTCACGTTTTTCTTGCCAAGTTTTTTCCAACTCACTTCTTAGATCAGATTCCTTGATCAAATCTTGCTTTAAACGTTCAATAATTTTTTCAACCTTAAATTTCTTTTGTCTTTCGCTTTCGAGTTCTTCTTGAGCTTTTACTAATTGCAGCTCATAATTTTGACACATGCTGCAAGCGTTATTTTCTGGTTCGATTTCATTACTTAATTTCTCTTTTTGAGCTTCACCCAACAATCCTACAACTGCTGATTGAGTTTTAAGATTTGATCCTTTGGTTTGTTCAATCTCATCATAAGCTGACCTTAGTTTCTCTTTCAACTGCTGAATTTCATCTTCCAATGGTAAAACAAGCGATCTGAGTGTTTCTGCATCTTCTTGAGCCTAAAATGTAAGAAAAAAGATTAATGCACATTGTAATCCTTTTGTGAGCTATGAATTTAATTACATATTTTGATGAAGGTGTCACAGCAACTTTACGTATCGATTCATCTAAACTCTCTTGACTGTTACTATTAGCTCCAGTGATTTTTTTTACATTTCTAGCTAGCGTTTTAAGCCCTAGTAATGATTCTAAACTCTTATTGGAATCCTGTTGATACTGAATAAGATTTTCTCTCAATGAACCAATTTCCAGACGAAACTTTTCATTTTCATCTGTTAATCTCGAAATTTCATTATTCGCTAAAGTTGCCTCGTCACAAGTTTCTTGCAAGAGTTGTTGAAGTGTTTGAATCTCTTGTTGTGAGTTTTCTATTTGATCTTCCAGGTCTTTCTGCCTATTATATTCAGCAATTACTGATGAATGTTTAAAAAATTCAAGATGACATGACAGTATTTAAATAAACTATAAACTTTACCTAGTTGTGAATCTTTATCTTCAATGTCCTTTTTCAATGATAAAACTTTTTGTTTCAAATGTGAACATTCTTTCTCTTTTTGCATGTACAACTCTTTCATTCTAGCTCTTTGAGCATTAAATTGCTCTTGAAGTTTGAATGTTTCATTAGAAGATTCAATATTTTCTAATTTAGATAGAAATTAAATTTACTTTGGTGTAGGTTAAAAAGAAAAATATGTAATTTACCATTTTCCATGATTAATTTGACATAACAATAAGTTTAATTCGTAAAAAGCGAAAGAAATAATTAACTATCACTGAAATGAAGAATGATTACTTAGGTAATAAAATTGTTGAACAACGCGTGCGTTCAGAAATAATTATATTAAGAAATAGGTAATATTATAATTTTCGATATTATCAGAAGCTGCTTTGAAAAGTAAAGCGCTAATGAAACATTGTTATGGTAGAATACTGTTGATAGATAAATCCAGTGGATGTAAATTACTTCAAAAAGGACAATTTTTTTTTCTTATAAGACTACGTTCAGCAAATTTAAAATGTTTAATGCTTTATTAAAAAATAAGAAAAAAATTGGAAGAGGGAAAGTTCAACATTGAATAAAAGTAACTCATCAATATCATCAAAAAATTGTTTGATATGGAATATGAAGAAAGGAAATCATCTATTAATTATAATGAAATTTGTCGCTGTTGCTTCAAATCTTTTACGGCGAAATCTAAATCCGTTAAAATAGATAAAATGATAGAAAAATTATTTTTGGAAATAACACAAATTGAGGTTTGTATAACTTACTAACTATATCATTAAATGCATTTTTTGTACCTTTTTTCACTCATCATTTTAGTTAAAAACTTCAAAAGGTTTACCAGATACAATGTGTATAACTTGTATCAATGACCTCAAATACTGCTCAAGAATGCGAAGAATTTCAATTGCAAATCAAACTACATTTTATGATTCTTTAGAGAAGAATAACATGGAAGTATGTACTGGAACTGCGTCTTCAGTAGATAAATATAATACTTTTACAGATGACCGACTTATGCAGTACGACATAGAAAATTGCGATGATTTTATAAAAACTCATAAAATGTAAAAAAATTCTCACATTAATTTATAGCTCAAGTAAATATAATTTGATGTTTCAGAATGAAATGTCCTTATTGCTTACAAACATTTAATGATGAAAGCAAACTCAAATATTTGATGGAAACCGAATTCACGATATCGCCATTCCATTCTAGAAATTCAAAGAATTCAATTTCTTCAGATAAAGATTTTCGACGTCAAAAAGGTACAAAACCTGCGGAAATTGCATTAACCGAGATATTAACCATAAAACAAAAAGAAGAAAAGCATGATCCAATAATTGCAATAATGGAAAAAGAATTGAAACTCAAAAATCAATGTCCAAGATGTGGAGTTTTTGTTAAGAGTCTTTCAGAGCACCAGAAAATAGTTCATGTCCAAGAAAAAAGATTTCAATGTGACTTTTGTAACTACTCGTGTTATTTTAAAACAAAGTAAATGAACATTACCATAATTGTTAGCGAGAGGTAAACAGATTGTTTCATATTATGTTCGCTTTCTTTGTAGAATTACTCGTCACTTGCAGCGTCATATTCCTAAGCATTTACGAGACCAGCTACCTTGTGAATTTTGTACCTTCATAGCAACTAGAAAAGATGCACTAAAGTCACATATTCTTACAATGCATCAAAAGAAGCGGGAAAAGGATTGTTTGTGCATTGAATGTGGAAAAAGCTTTTTCAACAAATCACAGCTCAACACACATATTAAATCAGTTCACGAAAAAATCAAGAACCATTTATGTAATCATTGTGGTAAAAACTTTTTCAATATTAAAGATATGGAAATGCATATTAAACGACATGGGGAAAAGGATCTTGCTTGCGATATATGTGAAAAACTTTTTTACTGTAGTCTCGACTTGCGAAGGCATATGAGAATTCATTCTGAGCCTAAAATATGCTGTGATATTCAGGGATGTAGTAGAAAGTTTTACACAACAGGCAAATTAAAAGAACACATCAGAATCAGACACGAAGGTGCAAGAGATTTCTTTTGTGATTACTGCAGGTCAGTGAATATAATTATTTTTTATCTAACTAAAGTTTCTTTTCTTTCAGCTCACGATTTTCACAAAATAATAATCTCAAACGACATATTAACTCAGTTCACAAGAGTCTAAGAATCAACTGTCCAATCCCTGGTTGCAATTATTCAGTAGCAAGAAAAGATAAATACAAAAATCACCTTTCGTCGCAACATAATCTTCTCGACGATAAAACAAAATACAAGATTCTGAAAAATATTAAGTTTGTTTGATTTAAATTTCAAAGAGTAACTTTATTACATTTATTGACAATAGAAGCTTAAAATTTTTGACACGGCAGTGCTTCTTTTATACTTTGAAGGAGGATTAATAAACCTTCCGGACCGAGGCTTTGATGATGTGCAATGGCATGTTTTTTGTAATACTCACGTCGTGAAAAATTTCCGTGACATCCGGGAACTTGACAAAAGAAGCGCATTTTTTGATGTATGGAAAACAAATGTCGGTTGAGATCATTCTGGTAATGAAATAATACAAAATATTAAATTCTTATAATAACAAATTTAATAAATAACTTACTTGTGAGAAGTAACTTTTTTCACAAAATGTACAACCAAAATCTTTCTGTCCATTATGCGTCTGAAATTGTATCATTAAAAATTATAATTAAATATTTATAAGAAAATAATTTCTTAGTCACTTTAACATGTGCCCGCAAACGCTTTCTCATGTAAAACTTCTTATCGCAGTTAGGAAAGTCGCAAATAAATTTTGGCTCGGAATGATAATAAAGATGCGTCCTGAGATTGTTCATACATGAAAAAAGTTTTCCACAAAATTCACAAGGCATAACTTTTGCGCCATGAGACTCAACATGCTTTTTGAGATTCTCTGCTGAGAAAAATGCTATAAAAACGAATTTTATTATTTCAATTCAACTTCTTTCGGTTTATGTAGATATTTTTAAATATCCTTTTCTCTCACCTTTTTCGCAAATGGAACACTGATGAATTCGTTCTCTTTTTGTATGTTTTGCTTTAACATGAGCATTGAGATGAAAACGTTTTTCAAAATCAAGACCACACATTTCACAGAAATATTTTTGCGGTTCTTTAGGCTGCTTTTGAATATGCACTCTCATATGTTGTTCTATAATTCAAACATATTATTGTCTATTTAGTAAACAGTTCAAGCTATATTTTACCTAAATCATATTTGAAGAAAGCGCCATATGGACATGAATCGCAAAAGAAATTTTTTATATTCATGTGAACTTTCATAACATGGCGACGCCAATTTCTTACTAAAGAACCGCAAACGTTACATTGCTTCTTAGGCTGTTTTGTTTGTTCGTATTTGGAATCTATTTCGTACTTATGAACAGCTTTCATATGCATCATGACTCTTCCAAATCGGGATGCACTATAACCGCAATCTTCATGTTCGCATTGAAACTTATTTTGTTTGAAATGTACAACATTAATATGCTCTTTAATTGAATCACGATGAAGAAATTTAAAACACCTTGGGCATTGAACGCTTTATAAAAATAAAAAGAAATCTTAATCATGTTTAAACTGGATATCTAATATGAAAAATCTTACTTTTTATCCTTGTTCTTTTTTAATTCTATTTTGAATTCTTCGAGAAGCTTCTGATGTTCCTCATTGTTTACTTCAATCTCTTTTCTTTTCTTATGAATTTTTTTGTCATCATAATAATCAAAATTTTCTACTTTCAATTCATTATTTCCTATGAAAGTTGGACAATCAATAAATATGTCTTCATTATTTAGTTCATCTTCGATCTCTGCTTTTATTGTAATTTTCGGAGATGTAGTGAGCTCAGGATAAGATATTAGGTAACCACATTTTTCTCCAGCACGATATAATTTATTTTGTTTCTCAACAAGACTAAATCTTTAGAAAAACAAGAAAAGGAGGTAAAAATTTATAATATTCTCAAAAAGGAAATAATATTACCGAAATTTTGAAAACACTTCCAAATCATTATCGCAAAAATTGCAAATGACACTTGAGTAGGCTTCATTTTCAACCAGCTAAAATATTTATACAGATTCGTATCAAGATTTTACATACCTACTTATATTATTTTATACATGTTAATTTGAACAGAAAAGTTTCTAAAAAACTTACCTGAATTTCTGTTAAATCAAAAAATCTTTGCTGAATTAATCTTGAAATTTTTACGAAACCTTTCTCATCTTCCAAGTTCCTGAAACAGCATCGGCATTTATTGAAGTATTCTTCAAGCTTGAAATCTTCCTCACTCATAGTAGACAAGTTATTTCTTAAAAATTTTCGAAAAAATATTTATTTTCAATTTGTTATCATTTTAATTGTAAACATTCAATGTGTTTAGAAAAAGGAACTACTTTTAACTAAACGTACTCATATAGTTGTTTTGCAATTCTTTATGAATATTTCGGAAAAAACACGTAATTTCAGGAAAAAATGTAGATAAAACCAGTTTTTGCTCTAATTTCATTTTTTATTTAAGCTTTAATGCATAATTCATCCAGCTCTACAACTGAAGAAATGCCACAAAGCGGAAAAAGCTGGATCGACATAATTGTAATTATCACCTGCATAGTGTTCACTCAGGCCATTGCATACTTTGCGACACCACAAAAAACGTTGGAAGAAAGACGCTATGTTCTTAATATTTTAGCTTTGTATACAATGGCTGTGCAGTGGATTGCTTTTATACATGCCGGAGGATTATTTGGAAATGAGAGGACGGAAAAGTATTATGATTTAGTAGGCAGTTTAACTTTTTTGACCACATTAGCTATCAGTTTGTATTTAATCAATGGAAAGATAACAGCAAGACAAATAGTTCTTTCTACATTTGTTGCTATCTGGAGCGCTCGACTTGGTTGGTTCCTTTTCACTCGAATTCATAATAACTCTGGCGTTGATTCACGATTTACTGAACTAAAAAAATCGTTGACAAGATTTTTAATGGCATGGACTATGCAAGGAATGTGGGTTTTCTTTACGATGATTCCTGTCTTGATTCTTAACCAATATACAAAAAATATAGCTTTTGGGATATATGATTACATAGGAATGCCAATATGGATAGTTGGATTTCTTTTTGAAGTTATAGCTGATTATCAGAAAAGCGCCTTCCGTAAAATTGCTGAAAATAAACATAGCTTTATTCATTCTGGTCTCTGGAGTATTTCAAGACATCCGAATTACTTTGGAGAAATTCTTATGTGGATTGGGATATCTTTGAGTGCTTTCGGAGGATTAGGAGCAAAGCCACGTGGAGCATTTGCTTTTATATCACCGGTATTTGTTGCATTATTATTGATATTCGTAAGTGGAATTCCATTGTTGGAGCAAAAAGCTGATAAAAAGTTTGCTGACAATGAAGCCTATCAACACTACAAAGAAAACACTCCTGTTTTAGTTCCATTTATTGGGAGAAAAGGAGATGCCATGTTTTAAAACTGAATCGAACACGTTCGAATCAAACGGCTATGGATCAATTTCCTTTTTTTATTTCAACTGTGTGTACCTAAAACTTTAAGAAAGAAACCTTATCAGGAATTGAAATACAAAAATAAATGCTGATCAATTTATTAGATATTTAAGAATATTGAGAATTTTAATCAAAGTGTCTACCAATAAAAAAGCAGTTTTCTGTTTATAATAATGAAATAGTTGGTTTTTTATTTAGATATCTATGAGCATAAAATTGGATTTTTTTTTTCATTTGATACTTTCCATAACAAGTTGTTTCATCAAATTTATTTCGTATTTATCACGTCATTTAGACACTTAACAATAATACTTTCCTAGATCATTTTTTTCACAATAGAATTCTTTCTTCTCTGAATTAAAAAAAAATCTTTTGAGGGAAAATTTTAGTAAACGTAACATACACATAACTTTTAAAATGAATAAATTCATTTTAGATATATGCCTAATACTAAAGAAGTGTATTTATGTATGAAGTGCTACAAAATGGCTCATTTCCTTAGATCTTTAGTTCGGATAACAGGTGTTTGTAATAAAAGAGCAGAATCAGCTGATATTATGGGCAACCGATTGCTCCAGTGATAATTTATCAAATGCGTAATGTTCTCGAAAACTCGATCCTTTGTTCTCACAACACCTTCAGGATCAATCAATAGTAAATGCTTCGGTTGACCTGAATTCAATCCAGTTAATACATACTGACCAGCACTTCCTTGCGAATCTCTTACTAGAAAATCTCCGTCATTGCGCAAAAGTGATTCAGAAATGGCTCGAGAAATATTACCATGAAACCAATTCTCAAGCAACAATTGAGAATGTTGAACTTCAGGTGACAGAGAGAAGCACTGCATGTCAAAGACGTCTCTGAGAACTTCCGAACCCATTAATGCTGTATTGTTTATGCTGCTACTATTGCAACTTCCACCACAGGCACTATTTTCAGATAGATTTTTTGATTCATTCATGCAAATGTCTTGCTGATCTATGGACGTGTTTAAATCAATTAAGTTACTTGATAGTCGCTCACGTTGTGTATCGAAAGAACTATTCGTAGCTTTTCTAAATTCTGGAGGCATTTTTCCAGGCAAATCGTTGTAATATTCTGTGTCACTTTTCACAGTTTTAGAATTAAAAATCTTATTATCTTTTCTGCTTCTCAATGTTTGTTTTTTGTCAGGATCATCAATGCAGAAATTTTTATAGCGTAATTCAAATGCTTGACCCATTGTTGAAATAACAGTCTGTGCCTTGTCGACACCACATTCAAGAACATAACAGGCTCTCCATTCCATTCCATCTTTTGCAACATAAGCAACATATATTGAAGATTCACTATCAGTTGATGCGAATGAAATATTTGGCATCTCATGGGGAGCCACAATTTCATTTTTTGCCACGGATGTCAACTGAAGAGATTGACTTGATATATTAAGAACAACACTAGTTCCAGAATGTTCCATACAAGGAACTGTGCTTATACATTGTTGAACTCTTTTTTCAACTCTTCGTTTTTTTGGTGAATTTAAATTGGCTGCATCACAAACACGATTAATGCATTCCTTAGCTACTAGGGAGCGTGACTGGAAATCAAGTAATTTCATTGATGTAAAAATTTCAACACATCCAATATAGTTGACTATAAAAGAAACTCCATTCTGCATAATTGCGTTTTCAACATTCACTTCCTCTTCGAAGCAACAATCAAAATTATTAGTCCCTTCCATAGTGCACTCCATAATATACAAAGATGTGATCTATCAGTTTTGCAATACACACCCAGAAAAGAAAACTAGAAAATTCAATTTTAATTAATCAACCGTAAAGGAGTTTCACTAAAAATGGGTTTCACTTCATTAATCAATTCTTTATAGAATAATTTGATAGGTTTTTGAGTTCAGTATTTCAAATATTCGTAAATGTTTTGTTCTGTTTAGTAAATTCCTGATTTTTCAATAAATCGAGATGACTGCGTTTCAAATTATTTCCTATATTCGAGGAGTGTGTTCAGCAATTCTGCAAATTTATTGGATTCCCTATGTTTGCTTTTATTGCTTTTACATAAAGAGACAGGTAGTTTGTGACTTTTAATATTCTTAAGAAAGGTGCAAAACTTCTCATAAGAAAAATGGAAGAGTACGAAATGAACCCTTTCGCTAATATGCTGCTTCAGCATCAAAACACAGAGCTAAAGGAAGAAACGTTGAATTATAATATCCCGCATACTACTAATGAGATTTACAATGAAGGTAAATGCAAAAAAATTATATAGATCGGATTAATCGTTCAAAAATAAAAATAGATATAAGAATTTAACGTGAAACTTGTTAACAATTTTCCATCTGTTTTAGATTCTGTCATAAACTTTCAAAACAGTCAAGAAGAAAATCTTCTAATTAAACAAGAGCCGGTGACAAATTTTGATTTGAATAATGAAGGAAATTCAGAAGTTAAAACTAACGATAGTGTCGTTTTGGATGATATCCAAATATACCAAAATTTGAAGAATAAAAATGATGAAACGTATAATGAAATATCAATTGTCCCCAAAGAAAACCAATTACCAAAAAAGAAAGGGAGACCAAAAGGAACGCCAAACAAAAGAAACATTCCAAAATCGAAGCCTTCTATGAAAAAAAGTCCTGCTGCTTCTTCTGATAGATTACCAAGGATGAACCCAAATGTACATAAAAAAGGTTTAAGTGCAGAAGATTCTGAAGAATTGAAAAAGTTGGACAGTTTCTTTCAACTTGGTGTTTGTTTTAAGATTGCGCCAGAACTTGACCAATGCAAAGAATGTTTTAAACGTACAGAGATCAAACGTCCGAAACGTCACAGACGTCAAGAAGTAAAAGGTGAAGTCGATTGCCGTTTTTATCAATTCAGAAAACTTCGGTACAATGGAGACAAGATTGAAGTATTCGGCTTCTTACATCCTGAAACTGATCCAATCGAAGTAGATAAAAATGTTTGGCTTGTTAACTCTGAAAAGTCAAAAAAAAGTAAAAATTTATCAGCTCAAAATGCTCGATTAATATTAACCCATGTTGGTGATGAGCTTTGCAATTTGATAGAAAACGAAAAAATTTATCTCCAAAAATATAAGTCAGAAGAAAAGGAGATTATTTGGAAGAGATTAATTGTTGGAGTTGTCGAAATCTGTGACCTGTGTTCAACTACTTTGGTAATTATTAACAATAAGTAACAAGATGTTTTTTTAAATATATTTTTCTTACAGTTTAACTTTCATTTTATATGCACCAAATGCGGCTTATCACTTTGCGTGGATTGTGTAACTGAATATGGAGAAAGAGATTTCGAAATTTCATGTTCAAATAAATCTCGAGACACACATAGCTTTAATGATTTATCACTCACACAAATAATTGTTGGTGATTGTATGGAAAAACTTCAAAAACAGCTTCATGATTCTTGTAAATTATGGAATGTTAAACATGACTGTACCTGTAAAAGCTATGAATCAACATCAATTGAACAAGCTACCAAAAATCTTGTTAAAAATCTCATTTATGAAATGGAAACAGGTAAATCAGTGATTGGACGTGAGCTACCCCACCAAAACTGTACGATAGATGTCGATTTCAAGAAAATAGAAATTGAAAAGCCTGAGCCTATTGAAGATATAAACGAAGCCTTCGATGATTATTTCAACAAAACAAAAACTAATACAAATCGACAAAAATATTGTAAGCCGATAAAACATTACACAAGTTTAAAAAAGGAAAATGTTATCAGCATTTCAAGAAGTATGTGCCAAACATTTTCGAATATTTTATATCCAGATGTTCCTCATAAATGGCTTTGTGAAAATAAATTGCTACGTCTCTTGGAACCTCTGCATCCTGGAAACGAGTCTTTCTTTCATGGGCAATGGCAAAGAGGACAACCAGTCATTATTTCAAATATCTTAGATCATCTACAAAAAGATCTTTGGATTCCTCAAGCATTTTCAACTGAGTTTGGACATGAAAGATCCGATTTTATAAATTGCATGAATGGTAATTTAGTGTTGAATCGGGAAATTTCATCATTTTGGGATGGTTTTGAGAATGTAGAAAAACGTTTGAAAGATAATGAAGGAAAGGCTATGCTTCTTAAATTGAAAGACTGGCCTCCTGATAGTGATTTTAAAAATATTATGCCATCAAGATTCAATGATATTATGAAAAATCTTCCATTGAATGCATACACAAATCGAACTGGTGATTTGAACATTGTGAAATATCTTCCAAATTGCTTTTTACATCCTGATCTTGGCCCTAAAGGATATTTTGCTTATGGATCTCCTTTTTTTCTTAAAGAAGGCACAACAAATCTTCATCTTGATGTGTCAGATGCTGTTAATGTAATGTGCTATGTAGGATTTCCACGTGACAAAAATATAACAATTGATGAATATGTTGAACAAGGATTCAAAGCAATTTTAGAAGCAGATTGTGACATTTCAAATATTAATCGTGTTATAAAAGACGGAGAGATTCCTGGTGCCATTTGGCATATCTACGAGGCATGTGATGCTGATCGTATACGTGACTTCCTTTTAAATATAGCACAAGAAAGAGGATTCAAGGTTGAGGAAAATCATGACGTGATCCACGATCAAAATTGGTGAGTTTTAATAGCTTTTTATGTAATTTTTTTTAAGTACATAATTGAATTTTTTCAAATATTTTTTAAAGGTACTTAGATGGAATGTTGAGAGCTCGACTTTACAAAGAATATGGTGTAAGAGGATATGCAATTGTTCAATGTCTAGGAGATTGCATCATTTTACCAGCTGGTACTCCGCATCAAGTTCGAAATATTTATTCATGTATTAAAATAGCCGAAGATTTCGTATCACCGCAACAAGTAGCTCATTGCCTTCATTTAAGCAATGAATTTCGTAAACTTACAAAGGTAAATTTATTAAGAAAAATGAATAAAATGTTAGAATTTATTGTATATTTCAGTCACTTTAATTTTTGTTTTTTTAATAAATTAATTTTAGACGCATACAAACAACGAAGAGAAGTTAAATATTAAAAATGTAGCTTACCATTCATGTAAGGAAGCATTAGCAGCGCTTGCAAATTTGGCCAACAAGAAAAACAGTTACTATAAATAATTGACGCAAGATCATAAAAACCAATTTCAAAACGTTGGGAAAGTGTTTTTTATTTATTTTTTTGACTATTTGAAACTTAAAAATGACTAATAAATATAGATCAATTCCTGACATTAATAAAAATTTAGATAAACATTATTTTTACAATGTTATTTGCTATACGTAGAAATCCGATTCAAGAATATGACAAATAATCACAATATAGAACATCCTGATTATCATCTTAAGTCATAAATTTAATTTATGTTTGATGATAAAAATTAAAATAACGATAATTTTTTTGCAAATTAATAATGAAATCTTTCGTGATAAAAATTTTAGCGGTCGACTATCATGGTAGTCCACCTTGTACTGGTTGATCAACCCGTAGATTTAATTTCTCTTTAAAACGGCTTTGAATTTCTTTCTTTGTATTCAAAAATATCTCCTTATCTGCACCTGCTCGAACTTGCCATTTTTTGATAGGAAAAAATTATTGAAAAAATTATCTTCGACTTATGGTGTTCTTTCTCCCCTTGGTATTCCCCAAATGGTATTTTTCAAATTTCCCCTTGTATTCCCCAAATTTCAACAATTTTTGTTTTCTACATGTAGGCTCCAAGCCCTGTTTTCAAGGCAAATTTCCATTTGTTTGGTTTAAAATAAAGCTAATTAGCTATCTGTGGTGCTCAGGGTGTACGACTTCCTTTAAATTGTATAAATTAGAGATATTTTAAAATAATCAATGTTTCCTAATGTTTTGTGAATGTTTCATTTGGTGAGCGGATTTTATGTTTCAGCGTTTTACAAATGTTTTTTCCTCAGAAATACTACGGTTCCTATTTTTCCAGGAAGAGAGAACAGTTTTCATTAATACATTTTCTTTCAATGTGGCATTGTGGCAGCTGAAATATGCATTTTTGGAAAGATGAATAATGCATGCACAATGACCTCATACTCAACTTTTTGAATGCCGTTGAATGCCGAAACGAAATTGCATTCAAAGTTGAGCAATTCAAGAAAAAGATGTTTTACTCTAATGATTTACTCAATGTTCAAAACTTCGGTTGAACATTCCCGAGGATCAACCAAAACATTGAGTTCCGTTCTATAAAGGTTTCACAAAAAAAACTTGACAATTACTTCTAGACGCACTCTTTTAATATTAAAATTCCCAAACAACTATTTAAAAATGAGTTCAATTCAAGACTCATGTGAATCAGAAACGTTATTAATGGATAATTTAAACAAATGTCGCTGTTGCTTTCGTTTGCTTATAGATGATCGAAGATCTGTGAAAATAACAGAGGAAATAAGATCTCAATTTCATCATTTAACTCAAATTGAAGTATGTGGAATGCTAAGAAGAAACAAATACATAAATACCTAATTATAATTTTTGCTTTATAGTTGCTGGTATCGGAAATATTTGCAGATCGAATATGCCAACTTTGTGCAAGTGATTTAAAAGTATTTTCAAATTTGCGCGAAGATCTTATATCGAAGCAGGAGTCACTTTATCAACTAGCTGGCATTGATTATAATTATAATGTTTCAGCAGAGGCAGCAATTGAATTTGTTCGAGAAGAAAATTCAGATTACGAAGATAACTTTGAAAATATTCAAGAACCTTTTTTTCGGGAAGAGGAAACTGAAAATTCTCCTGAACAAGAGGAAGACAACTTAGAGGATGAAGCCTATATAGAAGAGTCAACAGCATCTGAAGCTTTCCTCAAAATAGAAAAAGTTGATGAAAAATCAACAGGAGATATGAAACAAGAGATTGAAAATGACGAAAGCTGTGTTTCTTTGGGACTTCAACTTGAAGAAATAATTGCGACTGAATCGAGTGATCAAAATTATACTGATATCGAAATGAAAGATCCATTTTCCAAGTTTGTTTACTAAACTAAATTTTTTCTCATTAATTTTTAAAATTTTATATTTTATTTTTATGTTTTTAGGGTAACTTGCGATATATGTGACATTGAACTATCTAAAAGTCATTTCCAGCAACATATAAACATAATGCATAAACAATTTACCTGTAAAACATGCAATGAGAGTTTCGAAAGCAGAATTTTAATGAAACATCATGTCAATGAAGTTCATTCTAAAGATAATGGAACAGCATCTCGCTCGAAAAAACGTCATTTCTGTCCGCTTTGTCCCAAAGATTACGATTATCGAAAACAACTTGAAGATCATATCCGCTCGTATCACGACAAGGAAAGAAATTCACAATGCCACATTTGCTTAAAAAGTAACTCATTTAACTACATATTGATATGTTACACGAATGATTTTAAATAATTAATTTCTTTCTAGCTTTCTATCATCGAGATTTGAAGAAGCACATCATTCATGTTCATGGTGACAGGAATGTTACATGTGAAACGTGCGGAAAGAAATATACATGCGTCGAAAATTTGCGATTACATATGCGTTATCATTACCCACCAGCTTTTGCTTGTTCCAAGTGTGACAAGAAATTCCATCAAGTACACAAATTTTCCTCATTCATTATAGGCAAATAACATTTTCATCATAATTTTCTTTTACAGAAAGTTCTTTTGGAGCATCACGAGAAAAAGCATTCTGATATCAAACCGTATATGTGCGAGGAATGTTCTTCAGCATTCCATAGCGTTCGTGATTTAAGACGCCATTTCCAACGTGTTCATGAGAAAGTTATTAGAAAGTGCTTCTTATGCGACATTCAGTTTTCGAGAAAAGACAAATATCGGGTGCATCTAATTAAAAAGCATACTGAATTATCTGAAGATGAACGAATGGAGTTATTAGAAACTATTCGTAAAATGAAATGGAATGAAACATAAGAATCAACATTTATCTCTATACACCTAATAAACTTTTTTCATAAATGCAAAATAGAATGTAAATCTCATGTCTTTAAATGTAGAACCACGCTTTATTCAACCAATTAAAGTTGATTGATGGAGAAAGCAAAAAGATTTTGTAAATTGAATAATCTGTTTATGTGAGGAATGTTTTATCTGAGTGAATGTGAGCTGAGCAAGATTCAGTTAGCTTTGGTAAGCCTAGTATGGAATATCAAGACATAAATTCAACGCTCCTTGAGCGTAGTGAGAAAGATTATTTCAAACATTTTTTAACAAAAAGAAAATAGTAGGTTTTTCTAATCCATTGCTTTTAAATTTCTATTTCACACATATTTTGTTGTTTATTAATTTTCATTTCAATACTCAGTGTTGTGGTTGGCGTTATAGTTTTAACTACAATTTTTATTGTGTCTATTGGTTTCAATATTCGCTTTTTGACCATGAGATGTCAATTAGTTAAAGGCAATAATGATGATCTAAGGATTCAAATTCATCCAAAGGAATTGAAACAAAAACTAGAGAATGAAACTATAATTGAATGTCAACGCGAATTCTTCCTGTTCCACCAAGATCAAGTACCTACGTAAATCTTCAAATTTATTTTAAGATTTTAATAATTCAATTTTCTTGCTTATAGAATCATGTGTGTGAAGTAACAGGACTTTTCATAAAAAATGAAACAAATGTAACAATTATCGGAAATAACATCACGAATGTCCTTTACATATTTAGTTTTCAAGTATACAAGTTGCCGAAAGAAATCTTCAGAAAATTTATAAATCTCAAATTTTTAATTGTGAACGGTAATCATCTTCAAATACTAGAAGATGATACATTTGAGTTTGCTGGAAATTTAGAAGTGCTTAGGTTAAGCAATAACGATTTAAGTGAATTACGACCTTCAACATTTCACTACATGCATAACCTTAAGACACTGGATTTGGGAAGAAATAAAATCGAAAGCATTCAAAGCAAATGTTTTCAAGGGTTGGACAACTTGGAACGACTTTATCTTTCAGATAACATTATTAAGTCACTTCCAATAGACACTTTTCTTCCATTGAGAAAATTAATATCATTATCACTTGAGAACAATCAAATTTCCGATCTTCATTCTAAAACTTTTGAAAATAATAGACTAATTCGTTCAATTGGTCTTTCCAATAACACTTTTAAAACATTACAGAAGGAATTGTTTCAATATTTTGAGAACTTAACAGATTTGTCATTATCAGAGCTTAGGATAAAAAATTTAGATTTGAATGGAACAACAGTTAGCACACTTGTAATAAGAAACACTGATTTGTTAAGCATTACTTTATCAAATTATCCTAAAATTCTTGTGTCATATGGTACCAACATAGAATTTATTCAATTTATCATTAATAATACAACTGCGGACTTTAAAAAGATCCCTAATTGGGGTGGTATGTTCTATAACAAAAATATTCGTTTTCTATTCTATTTCAAAAAAGAAATTGCAACCCGTGAAAATATAGAATCATATGATGGAGGTAATAAATATGACATAGGTATTAAATAAAAAATTGCACTTAATAACTTTGCTTCTTCTTACAGTTATAAGAACTCACATATTCTTGCCATCTTTGGATTATCGAATGGCTGATGGCTCACAATATTTAGCTGTCGAATACACAGTTCGCAACAATTGAAAATCCGTAATTTCGCAATAGTTTTATAAAATAATGTTAAATAATAATGATAAATTATAGAATAAAGTAGGAGAAAAATTTAAAATCTAAAGGCTATGATGGCAAGAAGGTATTAAAAATTCTTTATTTATATTGATAAGGAATATTGCACTCAGATATTAAAATGTTGGAATAAATCGTCAATATTGTTGATGTAATTAATATGTTACATAGATATCTATTTACAGGCGATTGTTATACTGGCTCATTTCTAAATGATTTAAAGGGTAACTCCGAACCCTTAAAAAATTTTGGGGATGACAATAAATTCGAAGAGAAATTTAGAATAAAGCTTTGCTTATAAGATAAAAATAAAAATAAATAAAATAAAAATAAATAAATTAAATAGAAATTTTTTTTCCACAAAAGCAAACGTTTCAAAACTTTAACGGCACTATGAATTTTGAAAAACCGAAGGGCTGTAAACAAAGTGGCGTAGCATTTCTAAGAAAATAAAAAAAAATAAAGAAAAGATTTAGGAAACGAAATACCTACATTTAATTTATTAAGAGATCAAAAATCATTCAAATAGTGATTGCATAGTTCTAAACTAGTCATTTTTTCATAATAGAAACCAACATGGTTACAATCTTTCCATTATTCTTATTATTACAAATCACATATGCTACTGACATCAGTGAACTTGTTTTTGGGAATATCGATGATGCAATTCCAGTTGCATACGGTGACTTTAACTCTGATGAACTTACAGATGTTTTTGTAATAAGAAACGATTTCACAACTATCGATATTTTATTGGGATCAATTGATGATCATCTGCTTCATCAATCTTCAAAGTTCAGATGTTATTATCCCAACATGAAGATTACTAGTATCGTTCCTGGAGACTTCGATGGAGATGCATTCATGGATGTTATGTTTACAAGCCAAAAAGAAGACGAAAACGTTGAAATTTATATTAACTGGGGAGGACCTGATTTATATAACTGCACAAGTAACTCATCCAAGCCAGTTATAACTACTATCGGAGAACCTTTAGCTTTGGATTATAATGATGACATGATAATTGATTTGTTTGGAATGGATGAAAACAACAATCGTAACTTTTGGATTTTCAATAAGAAAAGAGAAACTCCCACTTCAATACCAATTTCTGATGATGAATATCTTCGAAAAAAAATAGCGACTCCTCATTCAAATGCTTTTCTGGATCTTAATGATGATTTTCGTCCTGATTTATTTATAACAGCTGAAGATAAAAGCGTGGAAATTTGGCATGCGTCAAAAGATTTGAATACAAATCACTTCGTTTTTAACACTACAATTCATTACGATCCTTCAGGCAGTTCAAATCGACATTATGGACAATCACTTTTTATAGATTTGGAATTAGGTGGTGAATTAAACCAATTACTTCCTGTCTGTCATGACAATGAATGTCAGAATAGCACTTTATGGGTCCATTCAGGTGAACATTATCATGATTTGAATATAAACTTCTATAACGAGGAAAACAAAACGCAGTGGGGCTTTATTGTACCCAGTAATGACGACTTTTTAAGAAGAGCAATCACTTTACGAAGTGGTGATTTTAACAATGATGGTTTTCCTGATTTGTTAGCAACACTTAAAAGAACTAAATCAAAAGGGTTTTTCTCAAGTTCTGAAACTATCTATCAAACTTTTCTCTTGGAAAATGTAAAGGATACAAACGCAAAACCATCAGATAAATTTAAAAGAACTTTCGTTGTACGCTGGAACGCTTTATCACCATTCGGAGAGAATACAGTAATGGGATCTTTCTACGATTTCTACAGTGATGGAATTCTCGATGTGATATTACTGCAAAAAAATGGTAAAAAATATAAACCTCTCGCATTTCGAAATACATTAGATTATGATGCAAATTTTGTAAAAGTCATTGTTCTGACTGGCCTCACTAACAAAAAGCCACCAGCTAAGGAAACACCGTTTGGCGCAAAACGTAGAAATTATGGTAACTTAAAAATGATTAATTTTTATTCTTAAACGACACATCGTATTTTCTTTTTTAGGAACAAATTTACCAGGACCTCTTATCAAATACAACACAACAACACAAGAAGGTAAACCTCAGCATGGCGTCTCATCTCAACTTCCTCAATCTGCATATCTGTCACTACACCTTCCATATACTATTTTTGGTCTTGGACGAACACCAAACTTTGTTGATTATATTGAAATTGGATTAGCTGGACAGAGAAGACAATGGCCCCAAACGATTCCGAATTCACAAATATTTGTAATACCATCACCAATTGACAAGCCTGCTTATTGGAAGATTCAACTTTTCGTTACTCCCAGCAAAATTATTATCAAAAGTGTTTTCGCCTTGTTAGGAATATGTTTTGTTATTTTATTAATAATCTTAGGACTGCACATAAAAGAGCGGCGTGAAGATAAACTTGAGAAACTTCAAGAGGCACAAAGATTCCATTTTGACGCTATGTAAATTTGAATACCATAGATGGTCATTATAATATTTCAATCAATTCTAAATTATTAAATATTTTCATTGTGTTAAATTTATTGTGATTATGATCTTTTTATTTTTATGAAAACCTTTAGCATATATAATTGTACTGGAATGATAAAAACCTCTTAATAATTTGTTGAATGTTTTGTCGATGAGTAGAAAATGAAAGTATTTATAATTAATTTTGAATAAAGGTCGTTTATTATTTCAATTTGTATAAAAGAAAATTCATTTTAAATGATAGTTTTAAGTAACTCATTTAATTTATCGCCTCTAAAACCAGCAACTCCACCTTTCTTGAATGCAAGACCTTTTTTTCCCAACCAGCCATCTTTCGGATTTGGAAGAACGAACGGATACATCATTTTAGTGACTTTATCAAAGTTGGGACCAACTGAAATAATTTCATGAACAATATCTTCAACACATATAATTCCGATATTTCCAAAAATTTCTTCAATCTGTATGTTGCTTGAAATGGCGCTTTTCTTTCCATTATATTTAACAAAGCCATATTTGAAAATAAGATCTCGAACACTTCCCACATCTGGTGTTCCATAGATAACGTAAGGCTCAACCAAGCTAAGAATTGTGCTTACTTCCGGAGTGAATCTAAGGAACACTGCTTGATGCATACGATGGAGATTGAGCATGTTCAGCATAGTCATGCACTGTTCTGAAGCGATATGTGTGCTAAAATTAAACCTTATCTAGTCAAGAATTCTATGAATAATAATTTTAATAAAGTTACCCTCTATGTCTTATAGCAACAATCAGCGTATTTTCTTTTATGTTTTTATTCTGTATTCCATTACGCATAATTTGACGTTTGATTCTTTTATCATCACGTTCAGCTTTACGATATTCAGCAACAAAGAACTCTGGCTTTTTGAAATGTTCGCCATCATTGGGTTTCACTATTTTTTTCTTGTGTGTTTTCTGCAAGGCAGCCTTTTTCTGTTCAATTCTTCGTTTTCTATGAGTTAGAACTGTAATTTGCTTTGAAGGAAGTTTGTTAGGTATCGCATATTTATCCATTTGTGAAAGTATATTTGATTAAATCTTTTCTTTCGAGATTGTTTGAACTCAACTTTAATATTTCATTAAGAAATGAGGTAAACTTGATTTTGGATGTTTTAACCTGAAATTTCAAAGGGGCTTTAACTAAATGATGCAAAAATATTGATATACCCCTTAAATTTAGAATGCAAAGTTTTAATTTTTAACTATTTACATATTTCTTGAAAAATCCAATTTATATAGAGTTCCTATGGATGATTCATCAGAAGATAATACGGAAGAGATTCTTGTTTACATCGACATAGATCCTACGTCTTTACCAGCTCATCAAATTAAAGAATTTAACAATATAAAATTTTTTGGACTAGATATGAAGAAACCTTTGTTGCAGATTAAAAATCAGTTTTTTGAGGGTAGGTACCTAATTGAGATAACTACGTTCTTTTAGAAGTATGCTAAATAATACATATTTGATGCAATTTAGGCGAATATGATTATTCTATGGGAACACATTTATTTTTTGAAAAAAATGAGGAAGCGCCAGTTGACGAGCTTTACTGCAAATGTGACAGCTACTATCAGTATAGATTAAAAACCAACAAAGTCGTTAGAATGTCAAGAGTGTTATTGCGGGAAAATTGTCCCAATGAAAAATTATCTCATGAAAAAGCGCAAGATGAAGATATTCCAGTTCATCAAGACCAGCTTAAAGTAACGAAGACGTACGAAGAAGCTCTTAATTTATTTTTAATAGACGGAAAAGATCCTCCAAGAAAAATTCCTGAAGAAACAAATTGTTCTCATCTCAAAAAATTTATATCTACAGAAGAACATGTAGATGATGAACACAAAGTAAAAGAAAAGAATAAAAGTTAATTACTACATTTTTGTTTTATAAGATTAATGATTAAATACTTTTATATTTAAGTAGGTATTAGTTATTTTAGAACATATCTATTCCAATAGTTTTTCGTAAGTCTATGTGTGTGAAATCAAAGAATAAAAAAATTAAAGTTAATATTATCTGGAGTGACTTAAGCTTTGAAATATTGGATAATTAGATTTGTAGTGCATCTTTTTATTAAATTTCAGCTATGAAATGAGGTGGTACTATACGAAGACGTATCATTGTATTAACTGGACACTGTAATTTTAAACATGATGATGATAAGCCCCTCTGAAAAGAAAATTTGTTTTGCTTTAAAAACCAAAACAAATGTTTATTTTTTGTAAAATTCTTTGAAAAGTCATAGAATAACATATGAGTGAATTTAAAAAGTTACTTCTTCCAAATACATATTGCATAAACTAACAATAATGGAAAAACAAGAGAGAATCTGCAGAGTATGTCTAAAATCAAATACCGAAGAAAGATTTGTTTCGATTTTCTCCAACAACAATGAAATCGCATCAAACTTATGTCAAATTGGGGGAATTTCAGTAACTTTTGACATTAACTATATATTCAAATTCAATTTTAAAAATAGATTGTTATTATTGTAGATTGACCAATGTGTCATGAGTCTTGAATCAACTATGATATGTCAACAGTGTTTGAAAGAGCTTTACCAGTGTGTTTCGTTTCGTAAGAAATGTCAGAATGCAGAAGAATATTTCAAAACGCAGTTAATAAAAACTGAAGAACTTCAACTGAGAGAAGATGATGAAATTCATGAAGACATTAGTGAGTTCATTGAGCCACCTTCAATTTTGGAAGATAATATTTCGATCGATCAAGCCTTCGAATATGATTACATCGAAGAGAGTCAACAAGAAACCCTTGACATTTCAATAAGGCCACATAACCGAAACAATCGAAGGACTAAAATACATTTCAATAAAAGAAAAACCAATACGTAAGTTTACAAAAAAGAACTTCTTATATGCTTTTCAACGGTTCTAATATTTACATTCAATCATATTAAGTCTTCAGTGTAGATTCTGTGGCATCATATTATGTCGAAAAGATCGAAGAATACATCACGAAAGACTTCATTTTATAGAACAGAATCAAGAATATTACGAATGTTATCTTTGTGGAAAACGTTTCAATCAAAAATTTGGTACATATAAATTATATGTAATTAAGACTTAAAGTAATCTTCTTATTTTTAAGGAATAATTCCACACTTCAAAAAGTTTCACAATTTTAAAGCGTGAGTTAAAATCATCAATTAATATTTTGTTCCTAAATATAGTAGATATCTATATTCATTTTATTTATTACTTTCTTTTTAGTGGCCCTGTTGAAAAATGGAAATGTGCAATATGTGAAAATAAGATATTACAGCCTGCAAGCATGCAGAAGCATTATGAAAGACAGCATAAAAACTTATGGCCTGTCAAATCGATACCATTGATTAAGAACATTATGTGCCAATCCACAAACACAGAAATGCATCAACTTCCAAATAAAAAACCTAAGAAGTATGAGAAAAAGAAAGAAAAGAAAACTGCAAATTTCTTTCCTTGTTCGATTTGTGGTGAATAATTTATTTCTTCCAACTTGTATACACGTGTAATGATTAATTGTTTTTTTAATCATAGGTAATAATTTCACTGTTTATCAAAGATACTTAAAGCATCTCAAAGAAATACATCAAGTAGATAAAAACGAAGTTTTAGAAGATTCCATAACATTGAATCATAATACCTCGTTAGAAAATAAAGATTTAATCGAAGAGTTTACTGACAAGTAAGTGATTGAATTTTGTTATGCGATTAAATATTAAACATCTTTTGTTATATTTAGAACTCAAACGAAGTTTCCATGTACAACGTGTGGTAAGGTATTTGCATCAATTATGACCGTCAGAGCACATGAAAAAACTCACTTGAATGTACAATACATTTGCGATTTATGTGGAGCATCATTTAGGGTTAAAGCTTATCTCACTGCTCACGTACAAAAAATACATTTGAAGTTGAAAAAGTGAGTTGAAATTGGACTTTTAAGTTTTCGTTAAATAATTCCTTATTGAAAAAAATTCAGGTACAAATGTTATATTGAAAGTTGTTCGGCTTCTTATGTTCATAGAGAACAATTGAATTATCACGTTAAGAGGCACCTAAATATTCGGAATTATTGCTGTCGATATTGTGGAAAATCTTTTACTACAAAAAGTTGCTGCCTTGTACATGAAAGGTTATTTACTTTTAAATATTTAGTATAATTTACAGAAAAAAAATATTTTTTTTTAGAATTCACACAGATGAGCGTCCATATGCGTGCAGATATTGTGACCGCTCTTTTATTCACCATTCTGATCACAGAAGACATGAAGGGAAACATGTAAGTTTAATATTAATGCTTAAAAAGTATTCTATTTAATTTTTTTTACAGAAAAATTTAATAGTCAAATGTCAAGAAAATCCACAAATGTATGTTAACTTCGATACCCATTAAAAAATGTGTCTGTACAAATAAAATTAAATTAGGACATTTTATCAGGAATAATTTTTAAGCATAACAAAAAAACTAATATTTTTATTTTAACCAGATTATTGTTTTGTTTATTTTAATAGAAATTTTCTCATGTTGAAATTAAATAGAATGGTAAATGTATTTTCTAATTTTAAAACTTTGACTATTTACATCATTTGATACTGGAATGGTAACGGAACATTTGGGCGTACATTCAGATGACAACGATTTTCGTGTGCTGACAACTCACTCTTTTTCATAAATCCTTTCAAGCAAGACTGATTTTGACATTTATATGGGCGTTCGCCAGTCTGAAAGATTAAAACTTAATCGGCTTGAGACATTTATTAGATTTTTAATACACTTACATGTCCCCAAACATGTCTACGAAGATCTGTCTGATGTGTGAAAGCTCTCGAGCATCCTTCAAAGCTACATTTGAATGGTTGTTCTCCTGTGTGGATTCTTACATGACATACTAATTTATTCTTTTCTCCGAATTCTTTTCCACACCTAAACAACATTTTAAAGAATATTACAAATTGATGAAAAAAAAATTTATATTAACAATTACCATTCACATTTGAATTCTCTTATATTGTGATGGAAAACCTTAACATGACGTTGTAATTGAAAAAGAGTTCTCCAGGATTTACCGGGACAAATATCGCAAGGGTATCGAATCTTATAAAGATGACGTTTTTTTATGTGAACTGTCATTTCACCACGTCCTTTGAATTTATTGCCACATATATCCTGAAAAAATATTCATAAGTGACAGCTTACATCAAATATTTGTACAAATTTACTTACGCAATACCAATAATCGTCGGGAGATAAAATTCGATGAGTTTTTTCATGTGTCGAAAGATTTCCTTTACTTTTCAAAATTTTTCCACAAATCGAGCATGGCAAGTGATCTTCGTTTCTGTTTATTTGAAAGAAAAAGTTGAAATTTTACTTAATAATACTACAGGTAGAAGTTGCAAAAATATTGCAATATCTACTTACTTCTTTTTATAAGATAATGTTTTGAGATGTGATGCTCGTATATGACGCAACAAATAATATTTCAATGGAAAATCTTCGAAAAGTTGAAAAAAATATTAATTAGGTAACTTATCATAAAAAAATATTATTATTTACCTTTGCCACAAATATCGCAAAGAAATCTTTCTGAGTAATTGATAAATTCATGACGAACACGAATGTGGTCATTTAAACTATGTTTACTAGTGAGAAATTTATTGCAATAAGGACAATTAAGCCCAACAAGTTTCGCTTTAAAAATTTCATCACCATCAAGTTTTATTTTCGATTTAGTGTTTTTCTCTTTCCTCTTGAGATATTTTAAATGATAACTTTTAATATGGCGATTGAGATAATATTTCATCTTAAATAAACGATCACAATATGTGCATTTGAACATATCAGACTCATCAAGCTTCTGATGAATCGCACGCATATGATCCTTCATACTATGCAAACTAGTGAATGTTTTATAACAAAGTTTGCATTGTACAATTCCATCATTGATACTGAAAATATTTGTTATTAACTTATTATAATATTAATCAAGAATAAGATTAAACATTACTTGATATTCAAGTCCTTATCGAATAGGCTGGAAGACGTTTTCTTGCTCATGGTTCCCTCAATCATTTCATGTTCACTTTCACTGTCATCAGTTTTGTTATAGCTCTTTAAAAAACCTGCTAATTGTGAATCAGACGATACATGAAAATTTTCTTCCAAAGTTACATCAATATTTTCAAAAAGATCAAAATGCGCTTGAAAATCATTCGGTTCGTCCTTAATATTATTATAGTCAATTTCATCCTTAATTTTTAAAACTTGGTCTGTTTGAGGATCGTACTCAGTTTCTCTATTCATCGAAAACTCCTTTTCTTTCTCAAAGGAAGAATTCCTAAAAAAGTTGTCACTTGCTCGACATTGCTTTCGGAATTTTAATGCTTTGGACAAATCTTCAATACATTTCCTGCAAATCAATGCTGGAATTTTAAATCTGCTGAATTCTGCTACCTATAATAAGAAAATTTTAAGTTTTTAACAAAATTGAATTTATCCAATAACATTACTTTGACTTGAGTTATTAAGAAAATCGCCATAGCAATTTTATTATTTTTCTCAAATATTGGTAACAGTTCTCCTTCGCCTTCATGTGCTGTACATACACGGCACAGTCTATACTGATTATTCATATTGAGAATCCTAAATGGCTTCTGGTTTCTCTTAATATTTGAGAGTAAAGACTCTCGAGAAGAAGAATGAAATTGAAATTTTTGTTTTCTTTTCCAAGGAGACAAATTTTTATCTTATGATTTAATTTAGAAAAGTTCGATAATTCTAAATTTTTACAAATTTTGCATGAATTTTATTTGAATAATGAATAAGTTTTAGTTAGTTTTAAAATGGAGTGAATTTAAAAATGCAAGATTGAAATAAAATTTCACTTTATTTATAAAGCGCATTTGAAAAGTTTTCCTGGTCAAAAGTAATATTAATTTTAATGGCATAATTCATTACAAGCATCAGGTAAATGAAATTCTTAAAAAAAAAGCATTATTTTCTGGGTTCTATATTTTATGCCTTTGATAAGAAAGCTTCCATAATAATAAAAATGAAGGAACAAGTCATAGACGTTCCTACATTCCTAGGCTTTGAATTAAAAATTATGATTCTAGATAAATAAAAATAATTACGGTAATGAAAAATGACAGCATAGCTCAGGATGATAGGGAATTTTATTTGAACCATTTAATTTTTTGTTAAATAATTTTTTGTTTACTGTACCTTCTTTTTGGGGAAATTTCGGTCTCAAAGTCGTATAAGCAGATTTCTTTACGTAGTAGGGATTTTTTTTTCAAAACATAAATTTTTAGTGTCCCCTATAAAAAATAAACGTTCAAAAATCATGTTTCCTATTGTTTCATCAAATTAAAATAAAAAGTTTTTTTTTCAAAATTCTGAATCAATGTCGTTAGTGTGTAGCTTATACATTTATACATTTGATGTTTCTCATCAAAGTTTCAAGAGTTATTTAAAATTTACCATGGAATATGAGATTTTTTAATTCATTAGGTGTAAAATTTCATTACAACAAATTTCAACAAATAGGTATAAAATCATATAAATTCATTCATCAAAGAAATATCAAAAACTTGTGTGTGATTTTCGTGAAATGATTAATTTCTGGTTTTTAACTAGATTTGGTTATTGTTAATCTATGTATTTTACAGCAGCTCAAACAAATTTGTACTCGCTAATATACATTAGAAATGTCATAAAAAATTGTAAATTAAATAGTTGAAAAATGTTGAATTTTAAGTTCTCTCTTGACACATTTCACTCTTTAAGTTCAATTATGATAGAAGACAATTGGTTTTTGACTGCTGGTTACTTCCGTTATTATCCTTTTCAATATGTTGAAGCAACTGCAGGAAGATATCATCGACTGATTCATTTTGTTTTGCTGATGTTTCTAAAAATGTTGCCTTCCATGACTCTGCCAATTTTTTACCTTCATCAAATGTTACTGCACGTTCTTGATGTAAATCGGTTTTATTTCCAACAAGAACAATAGGAACACTACAAATATAAAAGTTAAGTTTAATTCATTTCGAAATTATGATAATAGATTTTTTTATACTCCTTACTATACTTTTCCCATCACATCTATGAGTTTTTCATAAATTATTTTTATAACTTCAAATGATTTTTGGCTGGTGATCGAGTAAACGAGCACGTATCCATGAAAATCCATAGAATATTGAGCCGGAAAGATACTGTATTCATCTTGCCCCGCTGTATCAACAAGTTTGACTTCATAATCAGAATTATTTATTCGTGTGACTTTAGTAAAAGCTAAGGAGAGAACAAAGAGATAATAATATTAAGAACAGATATGTTGACAATGACATGTAAAGTAAAAAGACCACATTTTTGTGATGTTTTAATTGGCTTTAAAGCTGACTTATTCATCAAAGTTTTAATGAAAAAAAAATCATCATAGGGAAATTCCGTATTTCATATATCTAGACACCGATTTTAAATACTTACTATTTTCTATTGTAGGATCATAAGAATCAACAAATTGACCTTGAAATAAAATTTAATGAATTTTTGGAATTTTAATTGTGATGATAACAAAGCTTAATTTACCTTCTACAAATTGTATACTTAAAGACGATTTTCCTGAAAATAATCCAATATAATTCAACTTTAGAATAGAAAACTTACAATTTTTGTTAAGTTGCTTCTGATACAAATTATAAATAAACAAGCAGTCAAAATGCTACATTATATGTTTATAACAAAGCAGTTTGATCTTCAGTCTTAAAAACCATTAAACTGGAAACCTTGTTTGATGTATCTACTCACCTACGGAGCGATATCCCATCATTGCAATATTTCTTTGTTTTGGTGGCATAGTATTGATTTGTTGGTAATATTTTGTATATATTCAAAACACTTCTTTATGATATTTAGGTAAATAAAATTACGAAAAGTAGGTTCGAGCGTAGTTTTACTGAGAAGACATGATAATTCAAATTTTTTCAGTTAAATTAATCTTATAAGAAAATTCATGCTGATAGGCACGTAGAAGCTTTATAAAAAAATGCACAAGAAATGTTATTTAAAGTATAATTTTAACCAAATTGTATTCTGAAACTCGAAGAACTTTTTCATTTTTTCGGATTTACCTATTTTTTTTACTGGACTCAAATGTTACCTTTAGGTAGAAGAATATCAAAACAATTTGGTCAACTCAGATGTGACTACTCTACAACTCAACACGTGAATCTAAAGAATAAATAATAAAATATCAATTCTTTCATAATAACAATGGTGTTAACAAAGCAATATCTCAAATATAATTACTTATCGACATTCAATATTATAGCAAGTGCAAGATCCAATGGTGTTTTAGTAGATTTCAATGATATAAGAGGACGATATTTTGCTAGCGCCGCAGTTGAAAATGTTATAATTTGGGATTTGAGGTATTTTTTTATCTTTACCATTGCACTATATTTTAAGTTATTAAATTGTTTTATTGATAGAACTGGGGATAAAATAGCTGAACTTTCAAACAACAACAATGAAGAAGTAACATATCTGGAAGTTTTTGAAAACAAATTAGCTGTTGGTTATCAAAATGGAAGAGTTGCTCTTTTTAATTTGAAAACTCAGTCACTAGAATGTACATTACCATTGCATAGGACAGCAATTTCATATCTCAAATTTGACGGTACTGGAACTAAACTTTTATCGGGTGGACTGGACAATGATGTAGTTGTTACTGATACAATCGATCACATTGGTAAACAACGATTATGTGGACATTCAGCACCTATCACCTGCTGCTTGTTTCTTGAGAAATATGATGGAATTGTTTTATCAAGCTCGAAAGACAAACAAATTAAATTCTGGGATATAGAAACTCAATTTTGTTTCAAAACTATCATGGACAACGATTTCGAAATTTGGGGGATGACTTTGCTTCGTGACGACACATATTTGGTAACAGGTTCAAAAGAAAATGCACTGAGTGTTTATAAAATATCTGAAGAACTCAACTCATCTAATGATATAAACAATCCTACTGCTACCATCGATGCTTTCTGTCCAATTAGATGCGACCTAGTAGGAAATATTCAACGTTGTGGTAAAGGAAGAACAGTGAACTTAAAAACCGATAAAGAAAATCATATTCTGGCTTGTTCAGGCACAGATAGTGAGATTGAATTGTTTTATTTTTGTTCCGAAAAAGAATCAATTACTAGACTTTCTAAGCGGCTTAAAAAATTGTCAGTAACAAATCCTTCTGATGAGAACAATACAAAACTAAGTTTAACAGATGAAATCAAGAGAATTCCATCAATAAAAACAAAAGAGAAAGTAAAATCATTTGATATGTTATTGACTTCTTCAAATGAACTAAGAGTTTGTGTAACATTCGCAAATAATCTAATAATGCTATATAAAATACTAGATATCACTCAAAAGAATCCAGAAGTATCTCTAAATCGTTCAATATCATTACAAGGACATCACACGGAATGCAGAAGTGTGTGTTTCAGTTCAGATAACTTAGCTATTGCATCAGGAAGTGGTGATTCTTTAAAGATATGGAACAGATCAACACTAAGTTGCTTAAGAACTGTAGACACTAAATACATAATCAGCTCATGTTTTGCACCAGGAGATCGACATATTCTGTTAGGATCCAAATGTGGAAACTTGCTAATCGTTGATATAGTAGGTGGAGAAGTCATTGAAACAATTCCTGCTCATGAGAAAGAAGTTTGGAGTGTAAGCTTATTGCCTGACTTGAGAGGATGTATAACAGGTGGTGGAGACAATACTGTTAAGTTTTGGTCTTTTGAACTTGTAAATGACACAAAAAACGGAAACGAGAATCAGAAAGTTCTGTCGTTGATACACAAAAACACTTTACAACTTGAAGAGAGTGTTCTTGGAGCAAAAGTTACACCTGATGGAAAATATGTCGCTTGTGCGCTTCTTGACTCTACCATAAAAGTTTTCTTTATGGATACATTCAAGTTCTTTTTATCATTGTATGGTCATAAACTTCCAGTGTTATGCATGGACATCTCTTACGACAGTACACTCATTGCAACTGGTTCAGCTGATCGAAATGTTAAAATTTGGGGAATGGATTTTGGTGATTGTCATCGTTCACTTTTCGCACATGATGACTCCGTCATGGCACTTCAATTTATTCCAAAAACTCATATGTTCTTCACATGTGGAAAAGATGGGAAAATTAAGCAGTGGGATGCGGATACATTTGAAAAGATTATTACACTTCCTGGTCACATTGGTGAAGCTTACAGTCTCTGTGTCAGTCCAAATGGAAAATTTCTTGTTACGTGTGGATCTGACAGAACAATTAGGATCTTCGAGCGTACAAACGAACCTTTGATTCTTCAAGATGAACAAGAAGAAGAAAGAGAAGAAATTGAAAACCGAACACTTGCAACTGGTGAAAATTCATTAATTCCTGGTCTTCCCGGACTTAACTTACCTTCTAAAAAAACTGTTGGTGCTGAAAAAGCTGCTGAAAATATTTTAGATTGTCTCGAACAAATCAAAAAGCTTGATAACGACAGTTCAAATGAAATCCCACTGATCATGAAATTTTATGAAGCATCGAATACAATTGATTATCTCGTTGCAGTTTTTGGATCAATTAGAACTTGTGATCTAGAAGAAGCTCTTCTTTTACTTCCATTCTCATGCGTTTGTGAGATTCTTGAGAAACTACCTGTTATAACATCTCAACGAAAAGACCAAACAGAACTCATCTGCAAAATTGCTGTTTTCTTATTAAAAATTCACCATAAGCCCATCATTTCAAATCGTGTTATGTTATTATCAATAAAACAATTAATTCAACATCTTCAAGAATCTGTAGCTCAGTTTCGTGATACCATTGGAGAAAATATCTGTTCTATGGGTTTACTTCAGCAACGGATTGAAAATAAGGATAAAATCGAATTGTTCAAAGATTCATCAAAAGCACAGAAAATCAAAGATAAAAAACAAAAGAAACGACAAATTATGAAACGTGTGCATATGCAAATTTCGAGTTAAACGTTTTAATTCTTTTCATTTTTCTATTGAATAAATTTATATAAGATAATAAAAGAAGTTTATTTCTATTTTATTTCAGTTACCTAGATATCGTCAAAATATACAGAAAGAAAATGTGTCAAGTAGAAGAGATAAAAATTATAGTTCAGTGTGTTTCGAAGGAAATTTCTTCAGAACTGCATGATAGAGATTATAAAATGCGTAAATGGACACGCATATTATTGTCAATAGGGCACCACCGAATGCGATAGATAAGAAGTTTCCATCAATAATACCTGAAGTTTGCTTTGTACTTTTCCAGAACTCTGTCGTGTCTGTACCATTATAGAAGTTATTATTTGACATTTGTGGGCTCCATTAAAAATAGTCAAACATTTAATTATCTACCTGGTGTACTGTTAGATTGTTGTTGCCTTTCTGCAACCAGCCTTTTCATAGCATTCAATCTTTCTCGCAAAACTTCCACTGACTCATTTGATAAGTCATCTAAAGTAATGTCAATAAATTGTTTTTGAAATATTTCATATTAATTTTTCCTTTTCTCACCATCTTGGCTAGATTTTCCTTTTCCAAACTTATCCGACATTTTTATTTTTATTAATATTCAGTTAGAACTTTTCAGCAAAACTTAAAAATTACTGGAATATAGATGTGCTATGAAATTTTCAATGAAAATATTGATTTTTCTTCTTTGCAAATAATGAAAGAGATTTCATCTCCTCATTGCGCATCACCCTGAAAGTGAAGATGAAAGTTTCAATATTTTATATTTGAATATAAGAAAATATTTTATTTATTCTCCTTTATTTAATTTTATTTTCTTATTTTTAATTTTTTTTACACATTTGATATTTATTCATGATATTTACAAAGTATTAAATATTTCTTTTGACACTTTCTTTTTTCTAGTAACTGAAAATGTCAAAGAATAAATAATCACGACGATGAACATTGATAATCGAAAGAAAATATAAGATCAACATGAAACAAAGAGAAAAAAGAAGAAATATTTTGTAGAAAACAGAACATTAATAACTAAATAAAATAATAGCACAGCTTTTCGATACTTTTCAATGCTTAAACTTTAAATTATTAATCTTTTCATTCATTTGAATTTAACTTATGAGTCCTTATTTCATCATATGTGGTAAATTTCGTGGGACGTATTCGATAAAGTTTGCTGGGAATTGCCCATAATCACCACGCATATTCGATCCGTAAAGCCAGTCATGATTGATCTCAAACAGAACATTTACAATTTCATTTTCCTAGAAAATTGAAATAAATTTTTACTGTGATTTTTTCATTATCTGGTCGAAGAATGCTAGAGATTTTATTTCGCCCACAATATTAAATAATCTAAAGTCCATTATTTATCAAGAACCATTTTCGTTCTTATTTAGAAACATTACTTACCCTTAGTGATAAATCTTCATCAGTCTCCGCGTTGAAATTGTATAAGGCACGTATGTGATGACTTTCAACAGCTGGACTTACTGAAACACTACGTGAAGCTGTTCCAGGATCAGTTTCAACATTTTTTAAAGGAACACGGATATCGACATAACTAAGCGGAAAGATCCCTTCACAGCCTCGTTTATCCCGTCCATATAACCATTCTTCATTCATTTTCTTTAAAAGATAAATTTTTTCATTTGTCTGAAATGAATTAAACGCATTAATTAAATCAAATCTTAAAAAAATATTAGGTATTTATAGCCTGCTTACTTTTAAGTTTAAGTCTTCAACAACGTCACTTGTATAGTCGTATAAAACAATAGCGTAGCTACAAGTTTCTGCGTCTTCATCGTCACCTAAAATTGGTGGAGGTGGTGGAGGAATTGTTGGCATAGGTGGTGATGGTAAATCATCATCATTACTTTCATCTGATTTTTGATGAGTTAATTTAAGTGGTGCCATTTTCTTCATAACTTCAACAAATGTTGGAGAAGTTTTTCCTTTTCCTTGTGGCTTTATAATTGTCGGTGCATTTACACTTGACGGTTTGATTAAACTCTTTCCATTACTTAAACTCTCGTCAACATTAAATTCTGATGGCACAATTGTATTTGTAGATGCGTTTAAGTTTGACGATCCTCTTACTACCGGTTTTGGAAGAATTGTTGGTTTTAAGTTTCTTATATTTTGTTGATGAATATTTGTGGCTCTCGATAACGTTGGAAGTTCTTCAATGCATTCAAATGGATCATTAGAGAATGTCGTTGAACGGGATATTTCAGTAGATGTTGACTTGAAGTCAGAAACACTAAAATCATCTTCAAACCCACTGCAACGCAAAAAAGAAGAATGTATAAAGATAAAACAATGTTCTCTTTTGTATTTCCTTTGTCAGCTGTTTAAACTTTTATTTTTCGTTATCAAATAAAGAATTCACGAATATATGTATGTCTGTATGCATTTAGATATAAAAGAAAAGTATTTAAATTACCTTTCAGCTTGTGACATGGTACCCGATTCAAAGCACAAGTTATTTGGTGATGAATTGGAGGAACAAAAACTATCCATTGAAACAGAGTCACTTCCAGTGTTTGTTTTCTTAATTGATAGTGGACTTTCGATTGTTGACTCATCGAAATTAATCAGTTGGACATCACTGGTTGTTTGTTTTTGTTGATGACGTGAAGTAATTGCAGATGGAGGTGCAGGTATTTTAGGTGGACAAATTGCCTCAGAACTTGAGTTCGTTTGTTTTTCGCTAATTTTACTGCTATTCTTAGAAGATCCAAAAAGATTTGAAAAAATGTTGATCGACTTCTGACTTCCTGATTTTTTTAAATTATCTGAAACCATCATTTTTGGAGGTGGTGGTCTAGGTGGCGCAGGTTTTCTATTTAGACTTTGTTTCGTTACTGCAGATGACCGTGCTGACATGCTATTTGATGAAGCATTAATATGATTATTCGAATTTGCTTCATTACGATTAGGTGGAGGGGGTGCTGGACGTGTTGGAATCGTCATTATTGTTTCTATTGAAAAATTGTAGATAATATTTAATTAACAACAATTCAAAAAAATTAAATTTACAATTTTGTACAGAAAATGAAACTAAGTATCGTGTTGGTTTCCGCACAAGTACTGACAACGCTTGATAAGAAATATGAATACATAAAATGTCTGTCGTATTAAAAATAATGACGTTGTTCAAAAGATGTTTGAAATGTTTTTCCATGAACAAAAGAGAAAAAAAAAACTACTGAAGTGAGCCAAAAAAATTTCATCTAGATCGTTTCATTAGATGTTGTTGAAATTTTATTATTAAATAAAAATTACGACAAAAATGCGTTAACATTATATGTAATTGATTGAAGGTGGGCACATTTTTGGTTTGTGTTATTGAATCGGTTTTCATATATGCTTTTGATGTGCGGATTTCTTTATGTTAAAGTAAAGTTTTATTAAGAATACATAAATATTTTGCAATGTGTATTATCACTGAATGATCATTAGCAGAGTTAAGAAATCAAAAGAAAAAGAATCTTAAATTGTTGCGAATAACTCAAGTCGATTAACATGATTTAATTTTTTTAAGGAGTTCTATATCCATATTTGAAAGTAATGCAGACTCATCATATCAAATCGCAGCTGAATGATAGAAGCCATTACTGGGTACGACTTTTTCAACTTACTGATAACTATATGTTAGTTGTAACAAACACAAATTGTCTGGAATTTAATACACTTGAATTTAAATTTGTATTTTCATTAATCTCTTTCCCGGAAAAAAAATGGGAATTCCCAACGAACCACACCATCCCGAGAAACACAATTGCTTCTTGGTAATATCAAAAAAGGTATTTAGGAGTAACACTTGCGTGGTAGGTTGACTAAGGTTTATATTCAATCATTTGATTTCATAGCATTACGATAGGGAAGTAAAATACAAATTTGAAAAAAAGCATATAGCACTTCCATTAAATACTGAAAATTTCAATTCAATTTAAAGGTCAAAATTTTCAAAGCAGTTAAATAATGTGCAAGTTCTCTTCAATGTTTTCTTCATTTTTCTTTTGTTTACATTTTTTTCGTTGTTTCTGGATTTATTATTCATAATTGATGTTCCACTCATTCATAAATCACATAAAAATTCCGCAACAACACGTTACGCTCTGAATCTTTTGATATGTTTTAGAGAACTTCACTTAAACATCTTGTCATTTTATTATTATTATTAGGTCAAATATTCGCCAAATTAAATAGTACATAATAATAATTACACGGGTAATTTTTCACAGTCGGGATTACGAAAAAGGACTAGGTAGGAGTCTCCCAGTCCAGAACTAGCATTCCTTTAGTGCATTCTCGGAAAATTTAGATATTCGTATTAAAAAATAAAACAAAAATAAATTATCAACAAATGATGAAGTTGAAATCATTAAAAAAGGGATGATGAAAATGATTTTGTCGAAAATTAAAGAGTTAAATATATTAATGTGCTATGTACAACATACAAGATCGCACATTTAGAGAAAAGCAAATAACTTGTAGAAAACCTGTGTGAATTAAATCATGTATGTCTAGGTATTTATATAAAGCGGAAATGTTAAAAATTTGTTTTCTTTCATTCTCAATCAAAAATCAAGGATTTAATAAATGAGACATTGAACCTTAAAAATTGAAAACCTTTAAATATTCGCGAGGTAGCCTTGAATACTGAAATTCATGATCAAAAATATTCCACATTAATTTAATTTATACTTGAGACGAAAATATTTATAAAAAAGACCATTTTAAGTTCTTACTAATGTAACTTCTGGAAGCAGTAGGTAGTTAATTGTGATTGAACTTTTTTAAAAAAAATACTTAAGATTCTAATTCAATGAATTCAACACCCTAATAAACTTTGCGAATTATATTTAAAGTCTTGTTTTTATACAAAGAGTCTGTATGTTTATATAGATTAGGTTTAAAAAAAAGATTCTCGTTTCCGATTAGTTTCTTTTCTTTTTGAAAGGATTAATGAAATATTATTTTATGAAGCAGATAATTTAAAGCATAATCTACAAACTTCATAAAATTATGACATAAAGTTAAAGAAGTCTTTGAAATCCTACCTTGAAAATACTTGCGCGGAAAAAAAGTTTTTGCATGTGTATAATTTGAACTAACAGTAAGTTCGTTTATATTACGTATTAGGTATATTGTATATTATAAATAAATCAAGTTTTCATACCACGAAGGAATTAATTTTGTAATTTAATTTATTGATAAATTATTAAATCACGGACATTTCAATTTATCAATTTAATAATTTTTATAAATTTACTACTGAATATAACAGTCTAATAAACCTACAAAAAAAATTAAGAATAAACAAGTTCGCATTTAGCCGTTTTGTAGGTGTATTCTTTGCTTAGTGTATTAAACGGAAATTAACGTCTTTGTGATTCATCATGATTCGATTTTTTAATTTTTACTTCGCATTTCTCGTAATGTTTTTCTTTGTATTTTGTATACATACCTAAATAAAAATTTAAATTGAAAAAAGATGATTTTACAAATGCAGCAAAGTTTTAAATATTTAATTGAACAAAACAAAAGATTTTCATTGATTCCTTTGAACTTTGTTAGACAGCACGAACTTTCTTTAGCAAAAATACGACATTTTCTTTTCACTTAGTTTTATATGCTTGAAACTTTACCTTTAAACTTTTTTTTTTCTTTAAAAGAATCACTTTAAACTTTTCTTAATGAAATTAAAACTTTTAACATTGAAAGTAACTAACTAATTCTTGAAAATAATTCGACCTAAAACTCGCGAAGGTTTATGAAGATTTAAAACAAAGTGCGCTTCAACAACTGAGAAATCCCTTAGTTTTCTACAATAATGTAACATAAATCATTGAAACTAAAATAGACAGTCATTGAAGATCACAAAAATTTTGTCCTCTCAGTATTTTCAAAAAATGATCGTTTATTTTATTCAAACCATTATTATTAAAACCTTTTCTTGTGTTTACATTTATTGTTTACCCTAATTAATATAATGATAATAAAAAATACTCCTAAAGTTTTTTTCTTGTAGAGTATTGGATCTTGAAATGGGTAATGCTTCGAAATTTTGACTTTAAGAGTCAATAACTTCTTTCTGCATTACGTTTTTTTTATTTTTAAAGTTTTAAAAGATCAATCAACTTATCAAGAGTTGATTTGTCTTTACAAAAAAAATCTACAGCATCTACTTTCGTTACACGAGAATGAAAAGTAGACGCTTTAATGTGGTCATACAAAATCGATTGTGGACACATTAGTCGATCGTTTGTGGTCAGTGCTTGAACTCGACAACAACAATTAAAAAATTGTTTCTAGTGTTGTTTTTATCAAGTCAGAAGGCAACAATATACAATTGATCTTGTTTTTAATTAAAAGAAAATAAATTTTCAAACAAGCCTCCATATAAAAATGATATGACCACATTTGATCACGAAAATGTGTGAGCAAATGTTTTAATAGTTCATTTAATAGAAACTATTATGAAATTCTCTTTCATCAATCCTCTTCTGCACATAATTACCTATCTTTTGGTGCAGGTGAATGAATAAAATAACTTAAATTAATACATTTTTTTGCATGTTGAAAGTTCGAAGCGAGAAAAAAAATGGCTGATTTCGAAACAGAATTTCTACGATGAAATTAAATAATTTATTTTGGGGAATTAAACTCATTTAAAGGCCCAGTGAGTAGCCTAAAATGAAATTTACTCCCAAAACTATCAACACGTATTTTTTTTATCTTGAAAAAATAGAATTTAAGGCCTAAATATTAATAAATTAGGTGTCCAAATTTGATTCTACCCACAAACGATCACTCACCATATTCGATCCAATACTCTAATTATTATTAGCTAGTTATTATAGAACATTAAGATCCATACAATATTTACACATGCTAAAGTTGAAACACATTTTTTAGGAATTTTTCTTTTCTGCTTTGGTTGTACTTGTCATTTTACTTTCATTAGGAAGTACGAAATATAACGACCATGATATAATCCAGCACGGCAAAAGAATGAGACATATCAAATCAAATAGCCAATTCCCATAGATCTATGGAGAAAAAAGAAATTAGTGTAAATTTGTGTTAAAAAAATTAAAACCGTCGGCAGTAACCAGTCAACACTATCCATTTTCTGTTGAAATTATAAAGTGATTTCTTTGTCAATTGTCACTAAAGACTATTAAGTATCCAATTGCCAAATGCAATAGGATGAGAAGTTTGATAAGACCCTGTTTTGACTTGATTACCACCAAATAAGTATAAATTTAGACCTATTTAAGTATTTGTTTGTACTCACTAAAGAATCAACCACTGAATATGTTATTCCATCCAAAGTTGCTTTAAGGGATTTGTCAAAAATATAAGATAGACTCATTTCAGCAAATGAAGAGTAACTCATTGTAAAAACAACCACATAGATGATTGTTAGCGGATGAACAAGCAAGTGTATGAAACCTTTCATTATAAATGTAAACAAATTTATGGTATTTCTGTTTTGAATATTCATAACGATATTGACCGGTACAATTATTAAGCACAAGAAGAACCCCAACGAGAAATTCAACATAGCAACAGCTAATAACGTGGTTCCAAGTTCCAAAAGTAAAATGATGTTTAAAAATTGTCCATCTAAGAACTTTATGGAGAAAAATTTAGGTGCAATCAAACTCAATATGAATACAAATAATATCAAGTAGAAAATTCCATTTTGAGTTGCTATATTAAGAATATGAAAATAATCGTGTATCTGTTTGCTTTTCGTTATGAATAAAGCAAAAACTCCTACAAAATGAGCGAATAAGAACACTTTTCCCACTTTTAAAACATCAATGCTTCTTTCAGATTTTCGAACCATAATAACTTTAAATTCTTCTTCGCTCTTGGAGACTTCCTTTGAGTCCTTATCATCATCGGATTCACTTGATATCAGCCACAAAATAAATGATTTTATGAGTAAACTTCCAGCCATCATGCCGATGCTTGGCATGTAATCTCCAATGGATACAAATCGATCAGAGGAAACGATTACATAAAAAAAGAAACTTTGATGAAACCTCTCTAAGAGATTATTCAAACTTCGACTTATCCCTTCAACAATCTTTAGAAGTGCCATTATTTTGTGTTGCGTGTTATGATTGGGAACACTGGATTCCTTTTTGACGCTTTCAATTGTCAAAGCTTCAATACCATAACGATGAAATAAACCATGATTTCCATTCGGAACCTAAGAAATAATAAAAAATAAAGAAATCAGCATTATAAGTTACACCGCTACTTACACCGCTAGATTGAGTCCACATCATTGAAAAAAGGTTTTTTAAATTTTCAATGGAATCCTCAGGATTGTGATCACTTGGTTTCATTTTATACCCAGTAGATATTCCTTGCTTGTGTGATAATTTAACAACTAAGTTATGTAAATCTAAATTAGGGAGTTGGCCATTTAATCCTTCAATCTTGAGGTTGTTGAAATCAACTTCGAAATCTTGTATCTCGAAATTAATCGCAGCGATTATATTTCCAGCTCTTCCGTTTAAAGTGCCCGAATTAAGAATATTTGGATTCTCTTCTCCAAAATATGCTTCGAGAAAAGCCTGCATTCCAAGTTGCTCTTGATCAGTTACCACAAATATCAAATCTTTAGACCAATATTTTTGACGTCTTGCAAATTCAGCAAATGCAAGAAGAAGTGGTACAGTTGGAGTTATAGAAATATGGGCAGAATTAGGAGGCCTATATGGAATGCTAAGGACAATTGCTTCAGTCGATGCAGTTCTTGGTGCACGCAGAATTCCGTAAATATTTTTGCCTTTAAAGGATTTACCACCTCCAAATGGGAAATTTAAAGTGAAGTTGTGAATGTGGGTTTCCAAACCTATTTGCTTCATTTTAGCTAACAGATAAGAATATGGCATTTCTGACTTATGAGTGAGTCGTTCATGCTCAAGTTCTTGTAGTAACGTTCGTGCCAAATGTGCAGAATCCATTTTAATTTCTGATAGAACAAGGCCTACATATTGAAATATTAAATGAGTGATAAAATTAAGTAACAATTTAAATTAATAGAATAACCTACCAGGCAATAAAGCATTTTCTGAAAAATATGTCTTCGATTGCAATTTATTAAAACTTAAAGCCGAAAACCACAAAACACCAGATAAATATAGCATAAAACAAAAAGAGTTTGAATACTTTCTCACTATATTTACATACTTAGACTTCTTTTCAGAAGTGCTGATTGATGGGTCAGACAAAATTCCCATATTTATTTTATAAACCTATTATTCACTAAAAATTTTCTGTTTCTTATTAGATACTCCTTTAATAACAATAAAATATGAGTCGATGTTGACTACAAGATTCTATCATCTCGGAAAATATTATTAACATCTGAGGTGACCATTTCTTGCAAAACAAAAAGAATTCTGAGATAAAAAAAGTCTTAACAATAAAGGTTATTTGATTAATTTCAGAAAATAATAAAATCAATAATAAATTTGGGATAAAATCAAGCAGAAAAAAAGCTTTGAAATGAATAAAAATCTTGATAAGTTAAAACAATTTTTTCGTAGTAATAAAACTAACAGTTCTCAAGAAAAAGTATACATATTGAATCATGAGAATGAAAACGATTTACGCAGAGAAACAATCGAAAAGAGAATAAAACTCCTTCGAGATTTAGGCGACATTGTTATGTCTCATCGTTTAGAGGAGGTGACAAACAAAAATGTTTCCAATAATACTGGTTAATTAACATTTTTCTTACAGTATGCCATTCAAAAATTATGGTCCCTTACAAGTGATTTGATAGAGCCACAAAACAATTTCGAAGCAAGGCAAGCTGCTCTCATTTTCTACACAAAACTTATTCAAGGTCAATACCGGGATCTTTCAATGATGAGAATGCATTTCTTCCGGCTTATCCAAAATCATAATGTTCCTATAGATTTGCCCTATTGTCTTCAGATGTTTAAAGCGTTGACAGATAATGGACGTGACATTCAAAACTTTGAAGAAGAAATCGGTATTTTCATGTTGAAATGGATTGATCAAATCATTGAGGGTAAGTTTAAATATTTATCTAAATGTAAATATATTTAAATATATCCTGAAATTTACAGGTCACTTAACAGCTCCATATTTGGAACTTGTTGTTAACATAATAAAATTCAACACTGCGTACATTGACAGAGAAGTCATAGTAGGAATTGTTCATCGAGTGTGTAACGATGTTTGTATTCAATTTATGAACGATCAAGCAACGTTTTTGCAATGCTTGTTTGTAATTGAAACAGTTATTTGCTATACAGTTTTCCCAAATGAGATTCTAGCACCTTGTATTATCGTATTATGTCGCGCAGTGAAAACTCAAGCATACCTAGAAACATCTTATAGAATCATGAGGAATTTACTTGGTACACAGCTTGGATATGCTTCACTTTTAACCATGACAAGTATGCTAAATGAAAGTCGATACTATATTGATTCTCAAGTTCTGAGAGGTGCTGTGTTTCACACCAACATGAATCTCTGGGGAGGAAATAACAGTTCACTTCAGAATGGTATTAAATATTCATCGACTGTACTTTCAAGCTACTTAAAAGCTCTCCAGTCCAATCATACAATTGTGACACTTGAAGTTATCATCAGCATTCAAACACTGTTAAACAAATGTGGCAACGATTTGAGTGAACCTTCATGGGACATTGTTGTAGATATTCTTGAACGAATTCGAGAGAACATGATGCGTGATCAAATTCCGTCTGATTTAGATTTGAGGTTCCACAATATTATAGACAGAATTGAAGTTTTGATTGACAAAAATCTTCTAAATGCTGATGTTAATAAAATTTATAATCTCATCGAGAAAATAAGCAACCGAAGACCTGTAAGTTATCTTTTAATTACAGTTGTAATCATACTTTCTCAAATAATGAAGAATTAATTATATATTTTTTTATCACTATTCAGGAATCATCAGTTATGAAATTAATAAGCTTCAGAGTATCACAAATTTCACCAGTGCAATTAGGGTGGTTAGAGAAATTGGCACATTTAATGGAACGATTTTATAGAAAAGAAATCAATCAAAATGTTCGAATATCGATGATTGAGCATTTAAAGGAAATCATAAATATAAATCGCATTTGCTATGAAGATGAAATATTGGAAAAGATTGTTATTGTGACATTCTGTGACATTTCTCAAGAATTGGATATGAAGGTGCGCGTTGCAGCTTGTAAGCTTTTGCTTGACATTTGTTCGCATTGTGATACTAAACGTTGCCTAGAATTATTTGATATACTTGAAAAAGTTATCAATCATCCGTTTGATGTTTACAATCTTGAAAGTAAAATAACAAAAAATGAAAATGATTTTGAAGATGCAATTGCAGTCGTTAATGGACTTATAAATTTGTTTTTGGAAAAACTGTATCAACTTCCTTCTAATCATGCTGTTAGAATATATTACATCTTAATTGGGCATCTCGAGACTCATTATATTTATCCGAAAGTATTTGAAAACATAGTTCAAGTTCGATATACGATTATCAATTGGATGCTTAAAATACGTGCCAATTCATGCTATCAAATCGGTTATCCAACACCTCGACTAATAAGTGATCAATTCAAGTTCACTCATTATATTTCAATTGATGGAGATCATCATCATCATTACCATCAATATCATCAACAGTCTGTAACTCCTTCTACTCAAGATATTCCACCAAATGATGAAAGATCTTTGGATGGATATGGATTAAGTAATGTAACAACACTTTCCTTCAGACGAGGTTGGGACATCATTGTTAAATGCTTGAATATGGATAAAGATTGGCCTATGGTTCAACTCGTTTTACGTGAACTTCCGAAAATAATGCAAAATAAGACTTTGATACGAGGAAATGATATAGATGGACTGGGAAATGCTTTAGTTTCGCTATTCAAAGGAAATTATACGAAGGAAAAATTCATCGAACATTTTACAACATCAAATGAGCAAAAAGATTTTCGAGCTTTGATGATACCTGCAGTTGCGAGTTTGATTACATACAACACACTGTCCATACCGACTAAGAAGAAAATTGTTGAAGTTTTAAAATCTGAACTTAGAATAGATGGAAACTTAAGCATTTGCCTTCAAGCTTTCACAATATTGTTGATTGAAAAGTGTGAAATATTTGAACGTCAGTTGGGAGATATAATTTTAACACTTACTAAAGTTTCGGATACAGTAAACGTAGCAATTCCTATACTTGAGTTCCTTTCGACACTTGCTCATCTTCCTTATCCTACAAATTTAAGTCAGAAGCAATTTTCATATGTTTTCGTTACTTGTCTACCATATACGAGTCCCGCACGTTATGATCATTACACAGTATCTTTAGCACATCACATCATTGCCACGTGGTTTCTAAAATCTCGTATAATGTGGCGAAAAATTTTTGCTGATTATATTATTGAAGGTATTGCCAAGAATATAGAAAAATCAATAAGAGATGCCAAAGTTCAACAAGCACATGCAATACCTGATCAGGATGTCAAAGAACTTCGAAATGAAGATTCATCTTTACGTAAAAGAAGTTCAAGCTTAACAGAACAGTCAAGCCGTCGTCGTGAAGTGAATAATCCACAAGTTTTAAAAATGAAGCAAAAAATGCAAAGTCTTCAACAAGCAACTATCAACAACTTTGATATGGATGCATTTCATATTGAATTAATTGAGACTTGTATTGATTTTATGGCACGTAATACATTCTCTCAATCATCAGCTTTACCTAGAAGACTCCCAGCTGCTGATTTTCTATTACGCGGTGGAGGACAAACCAAAACATGGGTTGTTGGTCATAACATTGTAACAATAACAACGAGTGCCTGTATGGGCAATCATGATTGGAAGAGTTGTGCTTGCTACTGTTCTGATTGGGCTGAAATTACAATACGAAAGCCTTCATCGATGGTTTCATGGATAATGAAGTTTGAAAATCAAATCGGAACTTTTGCTAATGATTTCTCATTTCATGATTTAACTGCATTATTTTCTGATAAAGAAATCGATCCAGGCAATTCCAATGGGATTCTAATTCGAAAGAGAAATGAAGAATCGGATAATAGCTTAGTCGATGAGCTTCCACTTGAAAAGTCAATTGAAAATATTACAGTTCAGGAAGATATTAAAGAAAATATTATTCCATTGCAATTTACAGCAAGCGACTCTTCAGTTGGCAGTTATATGACACAACCGATTAATATTCCATCAAAACAAGAAACTGAAGAAGGTAATATAGCTGGTGATGATGAAATTTCATATGATGGTGAAGAGTGTGATGACCCTAAGCGAAATCCTGTTCGACGTGTCAACTCGTCACCTGAAATGCGTTCGAATTGGAAGATCAACTTGAATAATAAATCTTCGAAAGAGAGTAAATCAGGCTCAAGCTCTAACGATACTGTTTCTGACGATCATGAAGAAACAACGAAACCAGTTGAATTAGAGATTCAACAGAAGAAAAAATCGAGCTACTCTAAAGAAACGAAAGTCAGTTGCGAAGCTATTCCCGAAGAAGTTATTACTTCGGGACAAAAGGAAGATGGAAATGAAAAGTCACTAACAACAAGACCCGTTCAATTACTTAGTTCAATTTCTGCTCAAGAAACTCCTAATGTCGCTTCTGTTCCCAAAAAACAACATTCAGCTGATGACACTTTTCAACTTCGTCGTTCAGAATCAAATACTAGTCAAGCAGGTCAAGTGAAAAATAATGAATGGGGCTCTGTAGCTTCAAGCAATTTGCCTTTATCACCACGCTATGGTAAACATGCTCTCGTGACGCGTCAAGTAAGCCATCAAGCTCAAGTAGAAAATGACGAAATGGGAATACGAGCACGATCGAAAACAATTTCTGTTATTGGAGGAAACAAAGAAGCTTATATGAAACATGGCAATAATTCGGATTTCTCGGTATCAACATCATCGTTTGATCAGTCACAACAATCAACATTGGCTACATCAGGAATAAGTCCAAGCTTTGTTTTCGTTCAACTATTTAGTAGTGGAAAGATCAACAGTAGTGAAATCATACCAGTGACTGAGAAGCATATGGTTACACTCAATTTATTAGACTTTATTCCACCTTATGAAATACATAAGATTGGAGTTTTATATGTTACACAAGGACAAGCGAACAATGAAGCAGAAATTCTTCGAAATCGAAGTGGAAGTACAAGATATATTCAATTTTTGCATAATCTTGGATCGCTTATAGCTATCAAAGATGCTAAAGAAGAGAAACTTTTTGTTAATATGGAAGCACCTCGAGAAGGAAATTTCACATATGTTTGGCATGATGATATCATTCAAATGACTTTTCATGTTGCTACATTAATGCCAACACTAGAATCTGATCCGAATTGTCATGAAAAGAAGAAATACATTGGAAATGATTATGTGACAATTGTTTACAATGATTCTGGTGAAGATTATGCTTTAAATACCATCAAGGTAAATATTAATTCCATAACGAATATTAATTATTCTTACCATCATTCTTAATTTCCAGGGACAATTTAATTATGCCTGTGTCATTGTTCAACCTCTCGAATTGGGTACTAATCTAGTTTCGGTCAGAGCCAAGGGAGACATTGAAGATTTTTTCAAACATTTGGAACCAATGATAATTTCAGATCGTGGGGCCCCCTTACTTGCGCGTCAGCTTGCTTTACATGCCAATGTGAGTATTATTTATATCCATGAATTTTGAGTAATTTTATATTTATTTAGATGGCGTCACTGGTATCAACCTCCTTGAAAAATCGAAGTGTGAGCCCTTACGCTAATAATTGGCTCGAACGTTTAAGAAAAATCAAACATTTAAAGAGTAAACTCATCAATGAAACCAAGCAAGATAATCAACAGCCAACCTTAAATAACACAAGTAATACTTTAAATTTTTTAAAAGATGTTTTCACTAAATATTCTTAAATACATAATTTAGCATCTGTAATTATTACCATGCTACTTTTATTAATCTATTTTCGGATAATTTCGATGAACAGAAGAATTCGTTCAATAAAGAAAATAATAATTAATATTTAAATTAAGTTAAACATTCTTTTCTTCATCATTTAAAATCGGTAGACTCAGAATCCTTTAGTAAAAGCGATACATCGAGAAGTTGACCAGTAAGTCTAGAAACATAAATAAATTGGAAACGTTAGATACATAAACGTTAATTATTAATTTTTTTATAAATGATTGAGAAAAATTAATAATTGGACATAGTTACCTTAAAGTTTTTGAATCGGAGAAATTTTTAAGAGATGCAATTTGAAAAATTTTGTACGTGAGGCGATAAAGCTTTTCCAAATTTGATGCTTTGACATTTGTTAACACTGGATCGTCTTTTACAATCTCTAAATAGTTTGTCAATAATGAACCACCTGATGCTACATGCTTCCAATTTGATCTGCTATCTTGAAGGTGTAAGTCGAGACGTTTTGCAGCAATATCTAAAAGCTTTTTAACAATTTTTTCAGGTTCCAAAACTTTCTCAAGAAGTTCATCAGCCATATCATCGTAACCGTTCATGAATAATTCCTGAATTTGATGACGTTCTAAATCATTGATATCAAGATCCCAAATTGTGCCTAATTCTTTAATTTTTTGAATCCATTTGAAGTGGTCGTCTAAATATATCTTTTGTTGGCATTCAATGATTAAATCAATGGTTGAAGTGATTGCTTTCATTAAAAAGAAAATTCTTACACTTTGGCGGATTCCGTCAGGCTTGACAATGGAGTAAGTTAATGGCTTATTGAGGTCCATAAAGAAAGTTTTATTACAAACTTCATCAAAAAGTGTTTCCATTGGTCTTCTATATTTTATTCCCAAAAAAGCAATTAGTTCAAGCACTTTGACCATCTCAAAATGAAGATTCAATAATGGTAAGTTACCACTTTGCTGTTGCATAATTAATTCAATTAAGGAAAGTGATGAGACCGAATATCCTTGTGTGAGAATCTCTTCGCATTTAAATTCAAGTTTATTGTAAGTTGTACAACTTCTAAAGTGTTCAAGAAAGACAAGTGTTTGCTCTAGAAATTGAGGCATCAAAAAATCAGGAATCATTGTATGTTGTAAGCATAACTTTTCTCGTGGTAGTCTGCCAGTTTTATTAATAAGTTTTTGCGTGGCTTTTAAAGGAATTTTAAAATTTGCATTCCACAATAAAACACAGAGGCCTTGCTTCAGATGATAATCCTTTTCTTCAAATAATCCCAAATATTCTATACCATTTTTTAAATATTGAATTTCCGACAGCTTTTTAGACCAACGAGCTGACAATAATTCCCAAATCACATGACATAATATTACAGCTGCATTTAAGCTGTAAGGAAAATACTCGCGTAGAATCTCTAACTTCTTGATAACATTTCGTTTATCCGTTTCGATATTTTCATCGCTTGAAGAAGTAAAAATTAAATTTATTGGAAAATCGACACCAATAAGCCATGAAGCAACCAATTCGCTGATTATTCCTTTTCCATCATTAAGAATTTTTTTAAGAGAAATATTTGGAACATCGTATTTGTGATTTGTGTTGGAACTTGCAAATTGATTAATAAATATAGATAAAACCGCAACATCATTCAGTTTTTCTGTTAATAACGTCCACTGGCATTCTTCTTGAGTTACTTGCTCAAATCCAAATTCCTGACTTTCATCTTGTTTCTTAAGAGCAAAATTTTTACAAATGATCGCAGCTAAAAGACTGTTGATTGGATTACTGCTTTCTAAAAGATACTCGCGAACGTTTTGCCAAAACAAACAAATCGAATTGTATGCATAAGTTACGCTTCCTCCAGCATAAAGACAAACTTGCGTCAAAACTTCTTTAAACTTTGTCATTTCTGCGAGAATAAAATTTTCATCTGCACAAGTTACATCTTGTTGAAGCCAAAAATTAAGGAAACATTTCATTATATCTTCACTATTAATTCGACTTAGTGCAAAAATATCGAGAAGATTTGTCATTGGAATTAAATTGAACCAAGCATTTGTAAAAAGAACTGATCCTATTTGATCATAAGCATTTTTCTGATGTTCATTATTGATAAAAATTGAATCACTATGCACCACGAAACCAGTCAGAAATGACACTATCGATTCCTCATTATCTTTGAATGTAACATTTTTACTACCGTGAGCATGTTCTTTATTTTTTGTTAAGCTCATAAGCTCAGCAATCCTCTGCACCGTTAGATATTCGTTATCCATTAATTCAATGTCCTCATTCTTACTTGTCTCACAATCTTTTGATTGACCTTTGGCCAGCAAGTAGCATTCGATAAGTGATTTGTAATTGTGACATGAAGTTGATAATTGATTTCGATAAATTTCGTCTTGAATTTCACTACTTTCTTTCCCTTCATTTTCATCATTTCCACCATCTTTAGAATCAATTAATAAACTTTTGAGGAATATTTCAATTGCTTTCTTAATTATCATAGGTTCCGACTTCCTATAACTTGTTAATAGTTCTAAGCACTTTAATTTTATCTCCGGTGTTTTAAATTTTTCGAGAAGTTCTGTGATGCAATGGATTGTATTTTCATCTGTAAAGTCAACATTTTTCAGCAGTATTTTCAATCGTTTAAGATAATGGAAGTCTTCAGCGCTCTTTGAATTTGCTTCACTTAAAATGCAATGAAAAGGAATGGAAAAAGTTTTCAACGAATTGTCATCAGCATCAAAGAATTGGCATGACGTTCTATTACTTTTGGATAATTTATGTCCATCATGGCAATTGTAAATGAGAAAACCATTCTTGCATGCTTGGAATGTTGCAATTTTTGGTCCTTTACGTAAACACCATATTTCAATGATAGCTTTTCTCGGAGCATAAATAATTAAAAACAATCCAGATCGCCGAAATTCTGAAAATTGTTCTTTTCGTTTTCTGGCTTCAGTTATCTCTATGAAACCACATTGTGCTTCGCGATATCCCTTCCACATTCTTATCGCAATGCCTGTCGAGGTGTCGATTAAAAGTATTCTTCCTAGATTGTCTGTAGCTACAGCAACCGAATATTGTAATGGTGCCAAGTAAATATTGCATCCCAATCTTTGATAATCGTTAAGTTCGTAGCGAGAATACAAAGTTTCACAAACATTTTCAACATCTTCCACCCTTTCAACACTTTGTTGTGATTGAGATCCTGTTAGCCATGATCTTAATTTTTAAAAATAAAGAATGAAAATTAATTAATAAAACTTTTACAAACATTATAACTTACGGAAGTCGTGACGTTATTTTGTTGACGACGGCTTTTGCAACATCAGTAAAAACATTTTGACGGAAACCTTCTCGTGCTGAATGAAAACTCAAAAAAGGCTTTGAACCAATTGTTATAATCGATGCATGTTGTGATGGCGTTATTCGATATTTTTTTGTAAATCCCAATTCTAAGCTTTCCGATACTAAATGATCAAAAACACATGTCTTTTGTTGTGGAATCATTAAAGCGTCTGAAATGACGATTTCCTTGCTTCTATAATCCCATTTTTTAAATGTTAACATGAAGTCCTTATCCATTTGATCAACTTTAGTCGTTTTGGATTTACTATACATTTCTTTCAAGGTTTTAAGAAGCGGAACTAAGTGATCCATTTGTATGACAATAATGCATGAAGGATAAAATATTATAATTTCTTCCGCTACAATTCTCATGTTGATAACTGACTCATTATGCAATTGTTTCTGATACAACTTTGTGCCATTTTCAGAGTAAAATTCAACGTCTCCTGTACTTAATCCAACCATGATACATATCCAATCTACATAACTTGAACCGCCTATGATGGAAGTACTTGAAATCGATGTTATAATTTGATTTTCATCCTCCAGCTGCACATTTCTTGAGGAATTTCCAAATACTTTTTGCTGCTGATCTTTATCATATTTAGAGTTAAGAATAACAATTTTTGAGCCATAGCCAAAGCATAAAAAGTCGTTACAAATAGCAATATAAACACCATGAAGCCATGATTTATCTGCAAACAAACAAAGAAAGAAATAAAATTATTTGTTTTAAAAACAAAGAAAGATTTTCCAAAATTAAATTTTTACACCTTTAATTCCACTAAGCCCAAAAAACGATTGAACTTCATTTAAGTTTTCAACCAAAGCAGATGTGTGTATTTCGCATGACATGATTGCAATATAAGTTAAAGATTTCTCTCAATACAAGATAGCTCAGATAAAAAATCGACGAAACAGGAAAAAAATACAATTTTCTTTACTTTAAAAATATGTCATCTCGGTTTGTTTATTTACAATCATAAACAAAAGATTTTAAATAAAAGATTCCAAGTTTTAAATACCTAATACCAATATTGTACATAAAATAGGTTATTATAATTGAATTATAAGGAATGCCATCGTTTTGTTTAGTTGAAAATTGCAAACGCGTAAAACAAATTGGCGATTATGTTTCATTCCACAAGTAAATTATTTTTTAATTAGTTGCATTGATCAATGATCACTACCTAGGTAGAAAGTTCATGTAATAATGTAATTATGCTTTCGTTTTTCAGGTTTCCATTTCACAACCAAGCAGTTTTTAAACAATGGGTAGAATTTATTGAAAAAAATAGTAAAATTCCTGGATCTAAATCAAAAAAAGTCACAAAATATTCATCAATCTGCAGTCAGCATTTTCTACAATCAGACTTTTCGCAATCCATATCTAGAAAGTTTTTGAAAAAAACTGCTGTACCAACAATATCCATGAAAAGTAAATCATTTCAAAGACAAAACAGTTCTTGTGAATATGAAACTACAGAAGTTGTGACAGACGATCTTTTGAGTAATATCATTTTTTGTCACCTATGTAAGGGAGCATCTAATCAGTCCTTTTGTACAATAGCAGATGAGCATTACTTTGGCTTGATACGAAAATGCTTTCCATATCTCTCCGTCAACTTCAGTTTCCTAAAGGTTCTTTGCAATGATTGTGCGAATAATTTGAACAATTTTTCAATGTTTATTGATCGAATCATCACTTCTCAAAGCTTTAGTTTGGATAATGGTCGCAACAATATTGTGGAAACTATTAAAGTGGAACCCATAGTTGAACCAAACCCACAGTTTGAAAGTGAATTGAAATTTCACAACAAAACTCCAAGCGTGCATGTTGCTAATTTAGGTCAACCTGATTTTAATGAAAGGATTGAGATGAACCATTTAACACCACAGAAAAAATGTGAAATCCTGGAAATCGTTGATATTAAACCATTTAATTTTAATATGACCATAAATCATGAGCCTTACGACGAAGAAGATGATATTCAAATATTAAGCCCGAAACAATTGAAAGTTGAACTGACCGATCCAGATGATGTTGGTGGAAATGAACTTGAACAAATAAGAAATTATATATTTGTTTCAACAGTGTTCTTACAGGATCATAATTATTCATGTAATTCGGTACCATTAAGATCAATTGATAATAATGTGAAGATGGAACATGAAGATTGTGGTGAAGAACGTTTTAATGCTGATCACGAGTCTTCTCACAATCTTTCTATAGATGCACCTATTGTAAAGCACTGTGATTTGTGTAAAAAAAGTTTCAAAACACCTAAAGAATACATAGTCCACAAAATTATTTCACATCAACGTCGAAATGCTACAAAAACTTTATATTGTCCCAACTGTAGAAAAAAATATTGTAACAATATCGTTAAATTGAACATTCACAAAAAAATATGTGTAAAAAATGTTGGCCGAACAAACAAGAAATTATTTGTAAGAAAAGAAGTTACGAAGAAAAGTTTTACAAAAATGATAAGAAAACCACAGTCAAGGAAAAAGGATTCTTACGTTTGTCCGACTTGTTCTAAAGTTTTTAGTGGACCCAAGAATCTTTACCAACACAAAGTATCTCATACAAATATTCATTATAGTTGCAATCTTTGTAATAAAAAGTTTAAACGGCCTCATGGACTTCGGCAACATGTAAAATCAATTCATGAAAAAAATAAGAAACATATTTGTCCTATATGCAACTACAGATATCTTCTTAAAGCTGATATGATAAAATGCAAGCATTCTAAGCTAAAGCAAATTTATATTGAATAGTTTCAAAATACTGGCGCTTAGGTAAACAAACCGTTCTATGTTGTGAAAATAAAATAGAAGCCCCGTTTAATAAGGGATGTTAAGTTATGCGACATAACTAAGTTGTACATCCCGTCGAGACATATGAAATGGCCAATCCGTGATCAATCATGCACGAACGACTTTCGTGGATTCGACCTTCCATAGTGAAGAGTGTGAAAATCGGCCCTCATAAGCTTCGTCAGTGCGAGAATGTTCCGCAGTATATAAATACTCGTCAAGCAACATGAATCAAAAATTTCGGTTCCGTTTTTTGAAATTTATTAAAAGGCCGTGTGTTCGTCTGAAAATTTCCTCTGTGAAGTGAACAATATAGAAAAAAAGATCATTGATTAAATATCAGATGGTGCAAATTTGAAGCAAAAAGGTTTTGCTCATGGTTTTTTATACCATAAATTCAATTTGTTCGACATTTTGAAAAAGAAAAATGGATAACTATTTTATTATCAGGTTAGTATTTTCAGAAAATATAGTCAATTGTTATGACTTTACAATATTAATTCTATCAATGTGCACATTTATTATGAAATAAATCTCGGACATAAGCTTAGTTTTCAAGACCTCTTAAAAGAGTAAAAAAATGCAGAGAAAACTGTCATTATCGATTTTTTTTTGTCTGGTTTTCACACAATATTAAAAATGGATGAGCTAGCATGTGTTAGTGAAAAGTGTATTTTTTCTTTTTTACTTTCTGTTCACTAGGAGCAGTTTTATTAATAAACACCTTCTTCCTGCGAACGTTTAATTGGTAATTTTGTGTTTTTTTGCATATAATACTACAGTAATATTTTTAATACGTCTACCCAAACACTTTCATGATGACGTCAAAAGTGTTAACTCTTTTTATTTATACAAGTATACTAATATAAAAAGGAATTTTTTCAAGTTTTGCATATATGTGAGAAATGTTCAGCTTTATCTTAGATATTATGCAAATGAAGCTTCAAATAACAATGAATAAACACGTAACAATGTCTTTTGTTCATTATCAAGATTGCAATATTGTTAATTTTAAAAAATGTAGATATATTCTCTTCAATTAATAGCCTTCTTATCACTGAGCGTAAAAGTGATATTTGTAAAAAAATAATTAGTGATACAAGTTAGTGAATTTTTTAGTTTCTTTTACTTTTTGTTTGAAAAAGAGGTGAATGAATTCGTAAGAAAAAAAATTAATGCAAAGTTGTTCTCTTTTTTGAATCCAAAAACTCGCTTTAAAATAGAAACATTTTTATAAAAACGAAGCAAGGTGCTAATGGTTGATAAATATAATACATATACATATAATATATCTAATCAGTTTGCTACTTATAACAAAATGCTTGTGTATGTTACTTAAAGTTTTTTTTAAATTCACCTTCTAAATTTAGCTGTAAAGTTATGAATTGAAATAATATTTTTTCTTTACATTTTAAACTTGATATTTATTTCTGTTTATAAAACATGGAGCATATTAGTAAAAAATTAAATTAGTCAAATTAGTTTTAAAAATCTTCATTTACTGCCTTATTATTCTATTTCTAAATAACATGGAATGATAAAAACTAATACTAATCCTTCGATTTTAAACTGATACACTTATTGACGAACATATCAAATTAACATGATGTGACATGAGAAGAATGATGTAAAGTTAGGAAAAGAGCACATTAAATTTTGTTAACAGTTCAAATTAGAATACGGTTCATGATTTTATAATTATTACCTAGATTATTATTACTATGTAAATACATGCCAGACAAAACGAAATTAATTTAGATGAATAAATAGCCGGATATTCTTTTTTTATTGTTCTTTTTATGGTGCACAAATGAAACTTGTGCTTATTCGTCAAAAAAAGCTCATATTTTTCAATGTTTTAAAAAGTTATATTTATAACTTAACATCTAATGATGATGGTGATCTATTACTGTATGAAGAAGCTCGATTGATTTCTTTTTCATTTCTATTATCATTAATGATACGAATATAATATTTAATAACAATTTATTAATTCTTTTCTCCTTTCTTAGAGTTTTATTCTAATTCACTGAATATTTGCCTCAACATATTCACTCAACACAAATAAATACATATTTGCTTGTCGAACTATCAGAAAAACTCATCATTATAATGACATCACGGTGAGTTAGAATTTGTAGCATATAGAAATTACATGTTTTCATAAAATCTTTTGTAGTTTGGATCGTTTGTTTATTTTATTAGAGTCGGGATCATCTGCTATCACGCGTCGAGCAGCAGCAAAACAAATTGGCGAAGTTCAAAAACTTCATCCACACGAGTTGCACAATTTATTGAACCGTTTGATTGTTTATATACATAGTAATAGCTGGGAAACGAGAATTGCGGCATCACAAGCAGTTCAATCTATTTTAGAAAATGTTCCCCAATGGAATCCAAAGCCCGTTGAAAAAAGAGAAATGAAAAGCAATAGTCGATCGATAATAAAAACTGATGAGAAATTAAGTTTTGAAATGTTTAATTTGAATTTAATTTTCGAGAGAGGAGCTCGCTTGATGGGAAGTGAGGGGAAAGAATTCGATTTTCCAGATGAAAATGATCAAATTACAACTCGAGAATTACTCATCAAACAAAGAGCTATTCTCAACGAAAAACTTGGGTTCTCGTCAGCAAAAAACCTTGGCATTAATATAGAAGAAATGCTTACACTTGAGGATATGACACCAAACAAAATCATTAAGACTGAATCTACGCAACATCCACAAATGCTAAATGTTCAAGATATCATAACTAATCAAGCGTCGCCTTCATCCAGCCAATCGATGAGTAGTCGTGAGATGAATAGAGCAAAGCGAAAAGCACGACAAAATCAAGGAACAGCTTCAGGATCATCACTAAGTCGAACAAATTCAATATGTAGTATCAAAGAAGAACCCAAAAGAAAAAAAATCAAAACTGAGAATAATACTAAAATATATTTTAATAATGAGCCTGTGCCAGATGTTACTGGTTCATGGAGTGATGCGACTGAATGGCCATTAGAGGCTTTTTGTTCTAAGCTTTTTATGGATTTGTTTAGTCCGCGATGGGAAATTCGTCATGGATCAGCAACGGCATTACGTGAATTAATGAGAACACATGTAAATGGCGGAGGAAAGAAGTCCTACATGACTGAAGATGAACAATGTGAAGCTCATAAATCATGGCTTGAAGATGCAGTGCTAAGACTGCTGTGTGTCCTTGCTCTTGATCGTTTCGGAGATTTTGTTTCAGATCAAGTCGTGGCACCAGTTCGTGAAACGTGTGCTCAAGTCATGGGAACAATCTTGAAAGAAATGCCTGATGATTTGGTAATGAAAACTGTTGAAATTCTTCAAAAATTCGTAAAAGAAAGTGATTGGGAAGTTCGTCATGGTGGAATTCTAGGAATTAAATATTTCATAGTTGTTCGTGAAGATTTAATTGCCACTTATTTACCAATTGTTATTAAAGACGTCCTTAATGGCCTTCTTGATACAGTTGATGATGTAAGTTCTGTATCGGCTTCAACTTTAATTCCAATTGCATCTCATTTGCCTACATTACTTTCTCACATTCAAGTATCAGAAATTGTTAAAATGCTTTGGGATTTACTTCTTGATCAAGATGAACTTGCTGCTGCATGTAATAATTTTATGGGATTGTTAGCTGCAATTTTGAGTTTACCAAATGCTTCACATTGGATTGAAATGGAATCAATGGATATGCTAATTCCAAGATTATGGCCTTTTTTAAGTCATCCATCAAGTTCTGTGAGAAGATCGACACTACAAACATTAAAGAAACTTACAGATGAGACAAATAATCATTCATTGAAAGTATTGCCATCGCCTTCATCATCAGATAATAGCAAAGATTCTGAATTACGCTTAAATTTCGGTGTTCGTTATTGGCCATCAAATCTTGTGCAAGAAGCAATGCGCTATATATATCAGCGAGTACTGGTTGAACATGTTGAAGATATTCAATGTCTTGTGGAAGATGTATGGGTAAATATTGTGACAAAATCTGATCTCGCTACTTTACTTCACGCTGCTTGTCCTTATGTATCTTGTTGGATGTGTCTTGCAATGCAACCAACACGACTTGCTTTTGATGCAAATCTTATTTTGAATGCAAAAACGCAATCGGGAAAATTAGTTGGCGACACTACTGCTATGCCAGTACCAAAATTGTATTTGGGAGGAACTGAGACAATTTCGCAAGATTTACGAGAAAAAAATGTTATCAGAGCACGGTATAAAGCTTGTCGGATGCTTGGAATTCTTAGTCAATTTCTTGTACTTCCAGCTCCTAATATTGTTTACAAAAAAACTGCTGAAAGTCCAATGCAATGTTATTCGAAACTTCTTCTTGGCTATTTGAGTTCACGATCATCACTTCAACGTATTATAAGCAGTATGATTATAACTTTCTGGGCTGAAAAAGATCCGATGATTTCAGCACCTGATCAGCTTCGTGAGCGTTTGAAGACCAGTTTGACTGAATATATTTATTTCGATGAGATTGCAACCATGGTGACAAGACTTCTTCAAGAGGCAAGCGACTACTTGGCATCTTTAAAACAATATAAAGTGCATTTGACACAATTCGATGGCATCAACATATTGTCACTTGATCAAATCAAAGAGCTATGCACGACAGCAACAGAAAACTTAAAAGAAAAATATCAACTAAAATCAAGAGTTGCGAATCTATTGGAGGAACGTAGAAAAAGTCTTTTAAATTCATTTACTCAAACGAGTTCTGAACAAACGCAATTAAGTATGAGCACGCAATCAGCACTTGCATGTGCTGCAACTCGCCTCAAATGTTTACCAGAAAAATTAAATCCGATTGTCAAACCTCTTATGGAATCAATTAAACGTGAAGAAAATGAAATCTTACAAAAAATGGCAGCTGATAGCTTAACGTGTTTGATGAGTCAAACAGTTAATCGAGAACCATCGCCAAACATTAAAATTATTACGAATTTATCAACATTGTTGAAGTCTGATGAAGACTTTACACCCGTCATAATGTTTACTGAATATGAAATAAAACAATTCAAGCCCAATAACACTGACAACAATAACAATCCATATTATGGTATAATTACATTGCAAAAGCAACTTCGAACAAAAGAAATATCAAATGGAAACATAGCAGGATCTTCTCGTGGTCCTGGACGTCCACCAGCACTAGAGATAACTATTACCGAAGACACACATGAATTTGACGATCATCCGCTTAAGAAAGTAAACAAAACTCAAAGAATAGGCGCAAGTTTTGCTATTGAAAGTATTTGTCAATATTTTGGTGAATTTCTTTCACAAGCAGTACCGACATTATGGCAACTTATGTTTGACGTTATCATGAAAGTTGATTTAGACTACATTCACCGAGTAACTCACAATAAAATTGTCCATGATGAAGCTAACAATCTTATAACTTCACTACAATTGATCGAAATTGCTTCTCCACACTTTCATGAAAAATTGCATTTCCAATTATTTCAAGCACTTTCAAAATTTTGCCTTTTGATACAACATCCTTTGAAAGCAATTCGACACATGGCATCACGTTGTATAGCAACTATAGCAGCAATTGACATCAAGCTTGTCATGACTCATGTGATTAATGATTTAATTCCACTGCTGTCACAAATAGAAAACCCAATAAATCGTGAAGGATCAATTGAAGTAATCACTTGTGTTGTAAACAAACTGCAGTTCAAAATAGTTCCATATGTTGTGCTTCTAATTGTACCAATATTAGGCCGTATGAGTGATCAAAATCATTCCGTACGTTTAATATCAACAAGCTGTTTTGCCACATTAATACAATTGATGCCTTTGGATGGAATATCGACTAATTCTAAAGAAGATTTGAGTGATGATCTGAGAGAAAGAAAAATGAAAGATAAAAAGTTTCTCGATTATCTCTTCAGACCAAAATCTATTCCTGATTTTAAAGTTCCCGTCCCAATCAATGCTGAGCTACGAAGCTATCAGCAATCTGGAGTAAATTGGCTGTGGTTCTTAAACAAATACAAGCTTCATGGAATTTTATGTGATGATATGGGATTAGGAAAAACATTACAAACCATTTGTATTCTTGCTGCTGATCATCATCACCGAACGATAGAAAATCAAACAAAACTTCCAAGTCTTGTCATTTGTCCTCCAACTCTGACTGGTCATTGGGTGTATGAAGTAAAGAAATTCATTGCAAACCATTTCTTATCTCCACTTCAATATTTTGGTCTACCAATTGAAAGAGAACGACTTCGTCATCAGTTTGGAAATTACAACTTAATTGTCGCATCTTACGACATTGTTCGAAAAGATATTGATTTTTTTCAAACCATACATTGGAATTATTGTGTCCTAGATGAGGGTCACATTATAAAAAATGGTAAAACAAAATCTTCGAAGGCAATAAAACTATTATCAGCTAATCATCGACTTATCTTGAGTGGGACTCCAATCCAAAACAATGTTCTTGAGTTATGGAGTTTATTTGACTTTCTTATGCCGGGATTCCTAGGAAGTGAGAAACAATTCCAAATTAAATTTAGCAAGCCAATTCTTGCTAGTCGTGATCCGAAAAGTTCGCCAAAAGAACAAGAAGCAGGTGCATTAGCAATGGAGTCTCTTCATCGTCAAGTTCTACCATTTCTTTTAAGACGGGTTAAGGAAGATGTTCTCACCGACTTGCCACCAAAAATCACTCAAGACTTGCTATGTGAATTGAGTCCATTACAAGAGAGACTTTATGAAGATTTTAGTAAAACTCATTTGGATTCGGATTTAAGAGAAAGTTTGGAAAATATTTCAATAACATCTGACAGCGTCAACAAAAAAACTCATGTTTTTCAAGCATTACGGTGAGAATAACTATTCTTAATTATTTTCTTTTTTTTATTTTTAAAATCGTTGTGAATTCATTTCAGATACTTGCAAAATGTTTGTAATCACCCTAAGCTTGTTCTTAAACCTCATCATCCTGAATATCAAAATATTATTGGCGATCTTCAAAAAGGGAATACGTCATTAGATGATATAGAGCATTCAGCAAAGTTACCAGCGCTTAAACAACTTTTACTCGATTGCGGAATTGGTACAAATGACGATATATCAGTGAATCAACATAGAGCCTTAGTCTTTTGTCAACTTAAAGGTATGATCCGTTAATAATACATAAATGGAAAAAAAAATTTAACATAAATATATTTTAGCAATGTTAGATATTATAGAAAACGATCTTCTCAAGAAACATCTTCCAAATGTTTCATATTTACGACTCGACGGAAGTATCGCTGCTAGTATGAGACATGAAATAGTTGCTAATTTCAATAATGATCCCTCCATCGATGTTTTGCTTTTAACAACACAGGTATTTTAATTAATATTACCAAATATTGATTTAAGGAAAAAAATTCATATATTTTCTGTTAGGTGGGTGGCTTAGGATTAAACTTGACAGGTGCTGATACTGTCATTTTTGTTGAACATGATTACAATCCAATGAAGGATCTTCAGGTTAATTTTGAGAAATACTTCTTATAAAGCAAAAAATTTAACAATTCATCTACTAATTTTAGGCTATGGACCGAGCACATAGAATTGGCCAAAAGAAAGTCGTTAATGTTTACCGATTAATTACAAGAAAATCATTAGAAGAAAAAATAATGGGACTGCAGAAGTTCAAATTATTAACAGCAAATACGGTTGTGAGTGTGAGTAATCAATCAATGGACACAATGGGCACTGATCAATTATTAGATTTATTCAATCTTTCCGAGAATGAAAAGGATAGTAAGAAACATAATCAAAATAAATCAAAAGGATCAATAAAATGCATGATTGAAAACTTACCGGAACTATGGGATGATAATCAATATGACGAAGAGTTTGATATAACACAATTTATTGAACAAATGAAGAAATAATAATTTGATACCTGTTTATCAGTATCTAATAAAAAATAAGTGAAATCATTAATTTATTGTTTTATTTGTAATCTCATTATATTATTTTCAGAGTGCTATGTTCGCAGTACATCCCAGCATCTTCCCTTGTAACTGTAGTGCGGACCATAGCAGCAGCTTGATTAGTCGGAAAAAATTAATATCCGACAGCATCCGAGAGGAGAAATTTAATTTTCTTACTTTATGTTTATGCTGCTGTAAAATTGAAACACAAATATTGAAAAAAATCTGTTTATAACTGTCGTTAATTTAATTTGAATGTTGCATTTTCTGAGAGGATAAAATGTTAAAACTGTTATAATAAAATTACGGCACGTCAGAAATTTATTAATACTTATTAATTCAATTTCTTCATTTCTTTATTTAATTTTATAAATATAACATTGTAATGGACAGGTACAAAAAAAGTAGATCGGAATGTGAGTTTTCATTAATGAGTAGTTTGATAACATTTAAACAAAAATCAAGTTTACGCTCTAGTTCAATCAAAAGAACGTAGTCGAAGTCGTTCTCCTAGAAACGAGAGAAGAAAAGATTCTACCCATTCTAGAGATGCTAAGGGCAGCTCGCTTTTTGAAGGTATTCGATGTTTTGGCGTGCTACAAATAAATACAATATTGCTTTTTTTCTGACTTCATAATAAAGGAAAAAGAAGAATTAGTTCTAGCAGTTCTGACGACGATACTACTCATCCAGAAACAACATCTTTTAAGAGTTCTACGACTTCTAAAAATGCTCCAATCACCTTAAAACCAACAACAATTTCAAAAACACCTGGAATTCGATTAAAATTAAATACTGCTATTAAAAAGACTACAACTCCGATTTCCAAGCCATCTGTAGCAAGTGCATTTAATGATGACAGTGATGAAGATATCGAAGAAATGCCAGCTGAATGTAAAATGAGAATGCGAAACATTGGAAAAAATACACCAACAAGTTCAGGTACCTATTTCTACTTTATAGGAAATTGAGAGTTTTATTCTTACTTAATTAATGTCGGTGCTTATTTTAGGTCCAAACTCATTTGGGAAAACAAAATTAGGATTTGTCGACAGTAAGAAAATATTTGAAAAGAAAATGCAACAAATGCTTAAGGACATGAGTGAATAAATACTTGAATGGAGTCTAATATATATTTTTATCGTTGATTTCTAAGTTACAGCATTTAAAGAAGTGAAAAACAATCTTTGATAACTCATAAAAATTTTCGTCAATATTCTCTTAAAAATAAGCAACTGCTTGTAAAGAAATATTTTACTTTTTATTAAATGGGTACATGTTTAATAATCTAGCTCCTCCAATAATTCCCAAAACTGAAAACAAATTGAGATGAAACATAAGAAAGTGTTTAATTGAAAGAAAAAATATAAAACATTATTTACCTAAAGATATTGCAGACATTCCATACCTATTAATCTTGGCTTTATTTAAGGAATGATAATAAACAAACGCTGATGAAATTAATAGTCCTCCACCTTTAATGCCAATTTTAAAGACACGATATATTTTTAACTGATTTAGCTACTTACCCGAGGTTAACCTACATTCTAAACAATCTTTATCTTTATCAGTCATCATTGTTCACAAGGTTGGTAAATCCTTCTATATAGCAGGTATTTTCTAAGTGTCTATTATTCCAGATTTTCCCTAAGATTTGTTTTTAATGTTATTTTATGAAAATCAAAAGCTAGATAGCTGATATCAAATAGAAATATTTAAAACCAACCAATATAAAAATATTCAACAATACAAATAACTCAGATCATTGCGAATCAGACGTAGGTAGGTAGTTATTTCTTTTCATGAAACTGTTAATAGGTATTTAGATTATTTCGAGATATCGTATAAATGCAATGTGAGTATTTATATTTTAGTCGGTATTCAGGTATTCAAAGATGAGTTTTGCTCAACTTTTGGAGTATCTCGAATTTGGCTCAATACCTATCTCTCGATAGACCTATTTTTAACCGCACCAATGAATTCTACAAAAGTCCATATCCTAAAATACAAAATTTGTGTAGCACGATTTGATAACGCTGCTAAAAATTTGTAGATCAGTTTTATTTGAACTCAAACCGTTAAAATCTTCAATTTTAATTTAGGTTTTTTTAACTTTAATTAAATATTTATTTTACTTATTCACTTATTTCAACTAGTTTTATGTCCACCAGTTATTTCGGCTGAGATCGAGTCGAAGTATTTGGCATACAAATGTATTTCATTATTCAAGATATCTAGGTAATTTTTTTGATAATTTTAATTCATATTTTATTGTTAAATATTTTTAATCCTTAACTACCTAATTACAGCAAATGTTCAGGAGGTGGTTGATTCATGTAAACTTTCTTCTTCCGACTTGAGTTATCCATGGCATGCTTATTTTTCATATGTTTATTCATGTTAGGCCAATCGATAAACTTCTGTTCACACCCAGGAAAACTGCAAACATAAGGACGTTCTCCTGTGTGAATGCGCTGAAATATTATTGATATGAGAATTATATAGGTATATTGCAAAATAAAATGAACAAATCCTTTAATTATTTCACTGATATGATCTTTTCAAAATTATTATTTTTAGATATTGCTGATATTGTACATATAAAGGATTATTGGGTAAAGAGTTGGGTAAAGATTCAATTGATTTTCCAATATAAAAATTTCTTCAGCGAACTCTTTACCCTATAAATACCTATTGAATTCATTTGAATAAGTTAATGCATAATATGCCTAAAGTTTCTTTAATGCTATATATGAAGTTAATTATTTGATAAGTATACTTACACGATGCGTCTGAAAAATAATAAGATCTTTAGATTATTATGTATCTTATTGAATGTTTTTTAAAAAAATACGAACAAAATAAATATGTATAGATAAAACTTTACTCACATTGAAGCCTGAAGCATGTTTAAATTTCCTGCCACAAAATTCACTAGAGCAGCAAAATTGCAAAATAAAATTATTTATTCATAGGAATGAGTGAAAGTTTTTAACTCTTACCAGGTGTATTCGTAATCATCTGTGTGAACTTTGAAATGTCTAGTCAATTTTGATTTCGTAAGAAACCTTTTAAGACAAACACTACATTCCTCTTTCAAAATTCTTGCAAAGTGAGTTCGCTCATGGCATCTTAGCTGTTTTTTGCATTTAAACCTTAACTCACAGTGATTGCATCCATATGGACGTTCCGATGTATGAACCAGCTGATGACTTCGCTACAACGAGGCAGAATAAGAAAATATATATCACCTTATTTGTACCAATGTTAAGAACTATATAGTATATACCATATCTGATAATCTTTTACAAATCTTTCCACATTGTTCACAAACCCATTCAGTATTAATCTTTAAATGAAAAACGTGGATGTGCTGTTTAATAAGAAATTTTGTATGTGCTTGGAAGCCGCATATGTCACAGAAAAAAAGCTCATCTTCCTTAAATTTCATATGCACAGACACATGTTGTTTTAAACTAAATCCACTTTCAAATAATCTGCCGCAATACAAACAAGTGTTTTTGTATTTCGGATGAAGGTGACGTCGGTGGTTGTACAAGCTCATTAGATTCCATCGAAACTCAGAACAAACATCGCAAGAAAACTTCAGATTTGGTTTGTGATTATCGATAACATGGTTTTGAAATGAAAAATAGCTTTTAAAGGATAATTTGCAGTCCATGCAAGGATATATAGGTTTTGTTTTTGTGTGTTCAATTTTGAAATGAGCTTCAAGTGATTTACTCGAGTCTATTGAAACTTTACATACAACACATCTCCAAATGTATGCCGACCATCCTAATAGCGGAATCCTCAGCAAACCACTTTCAGTAATTGTTCCATCGTCATTTTTCTCGCTTTCTAATAAGTCTAAAGTTTCAGGCTGTGATTCATATATTCCATTTATCTCATTTTTAAAAATGTCCTCTACTCTTGTACCTTTACATCGATCATTTGTGTAATTTTCCGATGAACTCTGTAACTTCTTTCTTCGTTTCTTGATTTTCAAGTGATTTGAGCTATAAACCTCTAGTTCAGGATAAAGTAAAGGAGGAGCTACTAATTCTGTATCTATCACTTCGATCTTAATTTCTTCCTTTACTTCAAAAGAATTTTCGCATTGTAATAATTGATTATTTAAGTTTTCCAATAAGCTTTGTTGAGTCTCTTTAATCCGTTTAAAGAATTCTAAAGAGCAATCGAGTTTTGAAATGCATTCAAAACAACAACATTGAGGCATTAATTTTTCGTTTGTCAATTTAATGTTAAACACTGTTTCCAGCTTAATTTCTATCATCCACTCGGGATCCCTAAAATTGCATAAATTTTCAAGGTATTTCTCTTCTCCACATAAACGACACTTATCCATTTTAATTATTTTTTTAAAATATGCCTTGAAAGTATAAATTCACAATTTCTCCAAGGAGAGATTTTATTTTCCGAGGGGATACAATTATTTTTTTGTGACATTATTGATAAATATTTATTATTTACAAAATACGCAATAAATATTTTTTCAGAAACTCAATAAAATTGTTCAAAATTACTTTTTCAAAGTGTCAAATTTTCGAAACAGAGATTGAAATGCTTGATCTTGAAGTAATTCCTGAAAGAGGATTGGGATGTCCAGAAAAGTTTTGGGAATTCATTTTGGGTGAGTTTAAAATTTGTTTCTTTGTTTCTTTGTTAGATTTTTGAAAATTTAATTCTTTGTTTATCTGCCTTATCTCAATTTTAAATAGGAATGCATTTTTCTCAAGCTGTTGCAATAATACAAACACAAGTTGGAACCATAAAGAATGTTCAAGTGCTATACAGTGATCATGTAAAATAATAATATATGAAAAAAAAATCGTTTTATTTTATCATTTCACTTTGTTCACAGGATCCATTAGGTATAGATATTGTAATTAATTTGCCATTGAGCGGACTGCGCTTGATTTTCGATGCAATCTCGCAACGTCTCAAGGCGATCGAGATATTCAACATGAAACTCGTTCGTTTACGCTACTGCGGGCTTCATTTTAATTCTCCTGAAGTTATCCCATCAATAGAACAAATTGAGAATTCATTTGGCTCAACACATCCAGCTATATATGATGCTGCAAAGAATTCCTTCGCTTTGAACTTTAGAGGATTAACGTTCTATTTTCATATCGATACGAAAATACAAACGAATTTCGCCAGTCATGGTCTTGGATCTCTACATTTTGGACCAGGCAATTCTCCTGTAGTCACCAAAATGATCTTGTACAACGGGAATAATGTTCAAGATTGTAAACCTCCCCCTCTACCCATTTCTTGCATGTTGAAACAGCTCTACATGGAATCAGCAACAGTCATCAGAAATGCATGTGGTACAAAAGGTCTTCGACTAAATATCTTTACTGAAGGATCTGTACGGTCATTAGAACCAAAAAAGCAATGTCTTACTCGTGACATTCTGTTTGGTGATTCATGTCAAGATGTTTGTACTAATATTGGTGCACCATCTCGAGTATTTTATAAATCCGAAGACAAAATGAAAATTCACTCCCCATCAGCTCATAAACGTGTTCAAAACCGTCGAAGTGATTATTTCTTTAATTATTTCACTTTAGGATTAGATGTTTTGTTTGATGCATGTACACAAAAAGCTAAAAAGTTTATTTTACATACAAACTATCCTGGACATTATAATTTCAATATGTATCATCGCTGTGAATTCAAATTAGAATTGAATGGAGACAAGTAAGTTGAAAATATGTAAAACTGATACCTATTGTCATTATTGACAATTTTCAACTTTTAGAACAACTAGCGAAAACTTGTTGAACACTACTCCTGTTACCGTTAATGCATATTCAAAATGGGACACTATCAGCTCACGATTGAATCCAGCAGACCGACCTGTTGTTCTTCATCGTGCTTCATCAACAAACTGCTCGAACTTATTTGGATCTACGTTTTGTTACGGTTATCAAGATATTATTTTTGAAGTTATGAATAATGGTCATATCGCTTCAGTAACCTTCTATAATACGTCACAAAATGTCTTTAGTCCCTGGGCTGGAACTCAGCAAAGTGGAGAGAAAAATAAGCTTTGTGATGAAATCAATTTGAATACAGCAACATGACCAAATACTTTTGTCCAACAATCAAATATTTAAACTTTTAAAGCATCTCTTTTAACAATTTATGAATTCAATTTAAGAATATGAATTAATATTTGAATGTTTATGAAAAATATAAAAATGAATGTAAAACATTAATTATACTTCATCATACATAAAAATATTTCCATAAAATAAATATTAAAATATTAAGAAGTTTGTGATTAATTCCAACGGATTTTTAAAGTTATTTTTTGAATTTTTGTATCAGTAGGTTATTGAAATTGGAATAAAAAATTTGGTCATCTAGGCACACAAATTTTTAGTCGCTAAAATAACGCAAAAAATTGACTTCATATAAAAATATCAAACTTTTATATACTATATTTCGCTTTTATTTATTGCCTAGTTCATAAAGAAACATACAAAACGCAAGTAAAAATGAAGAAAAGAAAAGATATGATGGATTCGGGTAGTTCTAACGAAGATGAAAGCAGCAAAAGTTCCGATGAAGGCGAAAACGATGCGCTTCAAAAGAAAAGGCAAAATACATCAGATTCCGAATCAGAAGCTGGTAAAAAGCATACTAACAAGAAATCAAGACGAATGACTCACTCATCATCATCAGAAGATGATTCTGTAGGTTCAGAGGATGAAAATAGTGACAAGGAAAGTGAAGGATTTCAAAGTACAACAAATGCACAAGTTATTACAAAAGCATTAAATGATGGAAATATATCTGATCTTGAAGAAGGCCAGATATATTCTGATAGTTCATCAAGCGAAAAAGAGGATGACGAATCTAGCAATTCGGAATTTGATGATGGCTATGGGGATGATTTAATGGGAAATGAAGAAGATCGAAATTACCTTGAAAAGCTATCAGAAAAAGAACGAGAAACTGAGCTTTTTAAGCGTGCTGAAAGGCGTGATCAACTTAAGAGACGTTGGGAAATTGAACGCAAATTAAAGCAAACAAGAAAAGTTGAAAATGCCAAGAACAAAAGTTTTAAGAAACCAGCCTCTAAAAAATCTAGAAAACAAAATGATAAACCTCCGAAAATATTACCTTTCACTTCAACAAGTGTTGAGGAACAAACGAAAGCACCATCGCCCATGTATGATACTTCATCTGAAATTCAATCGATTATTGAAAAATCAAATGATTACCGTGAAGAGTATTTTGATCCCAAGGAACGTTCAAAGGAAAGAAAGAAAAATGTAGAAATGAACAAGACCGATGACAAACGAAGCAATGCTATGGCAATGTTGAAAGCTCGACGAGAAGGAAAGCAAAAGAGAGAAGTTGAACGATCTGAAGCACTCAAACAAGTAGAAGATGAAAAGGAAGAGCTCGAAGGTGTAGCTGAAAAATCATCTTCAGTTAAGTTAAAGGCTCGTGACATCTATTCTGATGATAGTGACAGCGACAGTGAAGGGAAGCAATCACAAACAGGCAGATCTTCCTCCAGTCGTTCCTCTACATCATCTGATACTGATGACGAATCGCAAGCTGCTCTCAATAAGAAACCAATCTTTATTTCAACACTCGAAGATCTCAATAAGCTACGCATATCAAGGCATAAATTAGAAAAGTTTATTAACTTACCTATTTTCGAAAAAACTGTTGTTGGTTGTTTCGTACGGATTAACATAGGAAATAACAACTCAACTCAAAAGCTTGTTTATCGAGTCGCTGAAATAACAGCTGTCGTAGAAACACCTAAAATTTATGCTTTTGGAACTGGACGAACAAATAAAGGACTCAAATTAAAGCATGCTACACAAGAACGAGTCTTTAGATTAGAATTTGTTTCAAATCAGTAAGAAAAACAAAATGGTCTTGAAAATTGTTGAGTTTTTTAATATTTCCTTTTTTTAAGGGATTTCACCGAGTCCGAATTCGAGAAATGGAAAGAAATTTGTGAAAAATTTTCTGTTATAATGCCAACAGTCGATCTTATAGAGCAGAAGAGACGTGACATACAAGGAGCTCTTAATTACGAGTATAAAGATGAAGATATTGATCGAATTATTGAAGAGAAAAATCGATTTCGAGCGCATCCGACAAATTATGCCATGAGAAAGACACAATTAATGAAGGTTTGTTTGCTTTCATTTCATTTTTTTGTTTAATTAATTTTACCAATCAATAAAAGGAACGTGATGCAGCAATTTTACAAGGGAATGAGGAGATTGCAAATGAGATCAACTTAAAATTGCAAGAGTTAGAAGAGCGTGCAAACGAATTAGATAAACGTCGATCCAGTTCAATTCAATTGATTTCCTATATCAACAATCGAAATCGTCGGAAAAATGTAGAAGAGGCAGAAAAAGCAATCATTGAAGAAGCCCGAGCTACAAAAGGTTTAAAATTTTCTGATCCATTCACAAGAAGATCTACCAAACCGAAAATGGCATTCAAGGCATCACAAGAACCAGTTGAAGAAATAATGATTGCACCAGATCCCCCAAAAGCTACAAAACAGAGAGAAAAAAGAAATGAGGACAATTCCTCAGCTGAAAATTTATACTCTTTGCATGATTTTGAGATTGATCTGGATGTTCCTGTTCCAATATCAAATGTAGCAGCTTTTCCTAAACCTGTAGAAAAAATGCAGGATTCAGGACCAAAAATAAGAAGATCATTAAACTTGGAGGACTATAAGAAGAAACGTGGCCTCATATAACTAACATTATTTATTAAACTGCAGTTACAAAAAAGAATCGCAAACTGGACATTCATTTTAATGTAATTTCATAATGTATGTTCATAATAATTCTATACTTAACACTCAAAATATTTAGATGAATAAATAAATATTTTAAATTATCTATCTCTTAAATAAATATATCTGTCAGTGTTTATATTGAACAATTAGGGAATGTATTTGGCGATATACTCTACATAGGTTTTTATTATTTATCTAGATATCTAGTTAATACTTTACAAAACTAGATCATTTTTGGTACATCATTAAAGTAAGAAAATTATCAAAGTTAATCTAGTTTTTACATTTGCTCCTTAAACAGTCAATCCGAGAATTTTTGCAATAAAAATAAGATTGAACTTTTGACAACATCATTAACTTCTCCTTTTTAAGATTTGTAATCAAGAAAAATAAAATATATCTCATCTACTATCGTAAATGTTACTGTTGTATCATCAGGAAACGTAAAATCAACTGAATAATGCATTGCTTCAATTCATTATATTATGTACGGTTTTTTCAGCTTCAGTTTAGTACATTACCTTCAAGCTTGAATATTTAGCTTTTCCTTTAAACATAAGATCGATGTCAAAAAAATAATGAAAGTTATGATAATTTCTGAACGTAAAAATCGCTATTCTGTCTAACTGCATACATGATTTTAAAGTATAAACTGAATGACCAATTTTTTTAAATGAGGTACCTAGCTTGAAAGGTCCAAACCTTATTTTAAAATAAAAATAAGCTGAACTGGAAAAAGCTCAGTTTGAAAGTCTTAATTCACAAGAATAAAATTCCTTTTTATATGATAATAATAATATTATATTTATAATAACAATA